CGGAGGACACTTCTGACCCGAAGGACCAATCTTCAAATGAGTATAACTTTTTTGTTTGTTGAGCAATTTAAAAAAATGGTTCGACAATTTTGTTCCTTAACTCATCAAGTATGTACACAACAAATTTCGCGGAATTCTCTGCATTTTCATTGTCCAGTCAAGCATTACAGTGGAATTTTTTTCGAGTTTTCAAAAACTAATTTGGAATTTAGAATCAATTTTGGGACATATCTCATCATCCCTACCATCTTAGACCAAAAAGTATTACTCTCACCCATTTTTACTGTAATTGATAGGTCAAACCAATTGATAAATAAGAAACTGTCCGATAATAATGGCCTTGAAGGTTGAGATCAAGACCATACTCAAGGTGACCACGGATAGGGATGTCTATCATTGGAATCTCCAAAACCATAGAAGATAAAATAATGGATAAATTAGGAAAAAGGATGCGCACTTGTAGAGTTATCATCAAGCTTTAAAGAAAACCAGAAAATTCTGGTTACTTTTAAAGATATGCCAGAAAAACGGAAATTTCCAGATTTCGTTTTTTTTCTGCTCTTATTTGAACAGACACGACAAAATGAGTAACACTTTCTCTTTGCCACTTTTTGAGCTCTATAAGACACCGTTGAAAGAATTTTAATACAACATTTTGTTTAGGAGAAATCAGAAATCATCATTAACTCTGGCCTGTAAAAATACCTACTGCATTGCATAGCATTTTTTATTACAAGCATAACAATGTACAAATTCTCAAAAACTCACCTACCTCCAGAGGATATTTCTTAAAAAATGAATAAAAATACAATTTTCAATTCTAATACGTTTCTAACAATATTGGGCAATCTTTTATTTCAGCTAAACATTGTTTTGAAGTGATATTAGTCTTTACAGTACCTTGGGTCATGTTACCTACCACTGAAAGATTAAGCAAACATGTTTAAAATTTTGCTGTTTTTAACCCATGGAAAATACATATGGACAGACACTGAACATAATTGTGAGGAACCCAATGTGAAACATTAAAAAGAAGTCACTCTACAGATTCACAGATCAAGGATCAAAACTATTATTAGTAGATTATTATTATCTATTCCACAGAACACAATTGTTGGACCGTGTTTAATGATTGTTTCATTCCGGATATATCATATTTGATTCTCATCTAGTTCTACTCATAATAACGGTACAAAAATATAGAGACAATGATTAAAATAACACATACCAATTTCTTCTCCGTATTCGCTTTTATATCTCTAGCTAAGGTAAAGAAAGCTTCTTCCACTCGAATGCTAGCTTTCGCACTAGTTTCTATAAACTTAATACCATATTCAACAGCCAATTGTTCGCCTCTCTCCTTGGACACCTGTCGTTTATCTTCTAATTCGCATTTATTACCTAAAAGCATCTTCTCTACGTCCGACGACGCATTTTCCTCTATATTCCTAATCCAATTCTTAATGTTTTCGAAACTTTTCTCGTTCGTTATGTCGTATACTAGCATAATACCCATCGCGCCTCTGTAGTAAGCGGTCGTGATTGTGCGAAATCGTTCTTGTCCGGCGGTATCCCTAATAGCGGAGCAAATAGAATTACCTCAATAAGTCGAGACATTATCTTACCATATTTGTAGTTTAATTTTTTTCCCGTCTAAATCTATAGTTCTAATTTTAAAGTCGATTCCTGGAAGAAAACAAATAGTAAGTCTCTCGATTATTACGCTTAATTACAGGCATTAATTAAAGTTCTTAGAAAAAAAGTTGTGGAATTAAAGCAATTGAATGCTTTCACATGTAGTAACAATGTAAATACTTACTACAACAAAACCTTGTACAAAGGTGAAAAAAAAACATATCAAATTTAGATAACCATGTGATATCCTACAGGAAAACTGCATCAATTTTAAAAGATATGGGGAACTCCATTGCTCGATACACAATTTTGTGTTTCAAATTCACCATGAATCTTCCTTACCTATGTTGTATCGAATGCTCCGTGACTTCGCAAATGTTGAAAATGAAAACGTTTACATGTAGCAGCTATCCACAAATTGTCTTTGTAATGAACTTTTTTTTTAACTTAAAAAGGGGAAGGAAGTTCATGAACTTTAGAAGGTGTGGTTAAGATTCAAAACGTTATCTATTTATCTGAAACAAGCAACTAAAGTACACATTCCAGATGCAAACAGAGGCGCTAAGATGTCTGAAGTGCTGCGAGAAAGCAAACATCAACGGGACGAAGATATTCATACATAAAATACCATTTTTCTTATGAAAATAATTGTGACTCACCAATGGTGGATATAAACGTAGTGTTAAACGCGTCTTCAGAAAACCTAAATAAAACACACGTCTTTCCTACTCCCGAGTCACCGATTAATAACAATTTAAATAAATAGTCGTATGTTTTTGCCATTTTTCTTACAAAAAAAACTTCACTATTGTCACTACAAAAACCGTACCTCGCGTTTTAATTTGCTACTAACTTAACAGTTGTCAGCTTGACAGTTGACATTTTAAAATTTTGATAAAAAATAAATCCCTAGGCGACATACATTTGAAATTTGGTTTTGAATACTTTACATACAGTACCTACTAAAATAAAATAGCGTTTCGCTACTCATAAGTATAATATTATATTATTCTGAATAATAAATACACAGACTAAATAATTACTATGATATTTAGGGCGCCTATGCATTCTGGACTAAATTAAAGAATAATAATAAGGGAAGTATTGTATTAAGGTAAAAAATGACCTCGCACTGTTTTAACGGAAATACACGTTTTGAGGCACCGGGAATCCGCTTAGATCATACATATTAACATGGATGGAGCGACGCAGATCTTTAGGGAATCCGAATCAAACAAAATATCAATTATGTCGGTCGGTCTGTCTGTATTTTAATTTCCGGTTAAACGGCTTAACAAATTTGGTACATATATTCTTTTAGTCATAAAAGAAATAGCTGAAAAGCAGAATCGCGCATGCGCAGTTGTGAGGTTGGTACCTGCGCTAGTCACAGAAAATTTCGAGCTTTATATAGGTATGGAGAGTGAATTTCAAAATTTAAAGAAAACTTGATATAAGCACCTAAAATAAAGATGGCGGGTCACCCTGCTGAATTTCAATTATTTTTGACGTTAAATTAGGCTATAATATAATTTGAGATTGGGCAAGTTCGTGCCAGTTCGTTCATGTTATTTGACTGAGCATTTAAGGCATATAGAATATATATTGAATTCAAGTTTCCGTGTGTAGCTCACGCTATCCGACATCTGTCCTATATCTGCTCACCCATATAAGTTAGGAGTAGGACTTGGGAGTGTGTTCTGTTATGTTGTGTTAGTAAGGTAATGAACATCTGGAAATATTTCGCCGCACCATCTGTTACATACAATCTTAAAATGCTAAATGCAACAGGAGCGTCTTAAGGAAAGTATTTGGTAATTGCTGAACATTCACAGGTGTGATGAGGTTTATCGATGCCTTTAGGTACCAATTAGTTTGTGTTAAGTTTGGGGTTGTGAATAAAGGCAGCGTAATAACAAAAAGAGCAGTACTTTATTAGTAGGTACATTAGGTTGACTTACAGCAGCGAAAAGAGAGCGAGCGCATGGTACGCATCATAGTCATACAAGTACAAGATCGGTGGGGGAAATAATGAAAGCGGCAAATTTAATTTAACAGTTTGAAGGTAAGCAAGTTTTACCGATAAGAAAAAAAAGTGTTTAATTTTGTAGTAGCAGTAGAGAAGAGGCAGGAACTGGAAGAGGGAGAAATGTTTTAAATTGCAGAGTAAGACTTGAAAGTGGCTTTTTTTATGGTGGACATTAATCGTTGTTTTTTGATAGTCGCTTAACTAAAGAAGTGAAGTTTACGAAGCAGTTCGTCGGAGTGTTGTCTGTATCGATCAGGGATCGCTGATGGGAAGCCTTCCTTTAAGGTCTTCAAGTATCAGTGAAAGGAAGTTTTTTCCACCATCAAAAAGCCAACTATACATAATTACAACGAACCCAGTGTCATCTAAATCAAAATTTAAGTACAATCCATGAATCCCTAGGTGAACAGCGAATGGCGAAAGGCAAACGGTAAACAGCCATGGCGTCCGTTGAAACCCTTCCTCTACTATTTAACACATTTCTCGCTCTCTTGGCTCATCTTCGATTCCACCTCTTAATTCTTTAGTTAAAATTAAATAAACTTCTACAAACACCTAATACAATCCTAACAAATGTCCGTTATCTTTCCTGAACGTAATTTTCCAAGAAAATTGACAAATTAGAATATGGCTATTTAAATAAAAATTAGATATAGTCTAAACTATACGTACAATATAAATTGAACTTTTTTCCCTTCAGAATAATCGAAGTCAAATGCGAAAAAAAAGACTTCCCCATTTTTCTTCGTTTTTTTGTTTACGACAATATGCTTCGGGCGTTCCCAGCCAGGGAGACTATGATTTCGGATTCATCGGATTTTTTTGTTTTTGTACCCAATGCCTACACTTTTTTTCGTTGAGTCAGCATCCAAATTAGGCTACTTTTGCAGCTAATTTGACTGAACTAATTGAATAACAATGAAACAACCAAATTATAACAGTATCCTAATTAGTCTTCCCCTAAAATTGCATCGATTTCCATAGAAATTGTCGGAATTCAGGATTCCCCTTGTGGCATTGCTTGTGGTCTTGTAGAGCTCAAATAGTGGCAATGGGAAACTGTTTTCTTTAAATTTGCTGTATCTGTTTAAATAACATCAGAAAAAAATTTTAAAAAAATAATCGGCAAATTTCGATTTCTCTGTCATATGTTTGGAAATATCGGAATTCTCTGCTTTTTTACAACATGAGAAAATCTCCTTAATTGGGTCACTTCTAATTTCACCATCGTCGTATCTTCTATGCGGTTTCGGAGATCGCCATCATAGACATGCATTCTTATCTTGGACACTGTGTATAGGCGTTGAGTGAATATTCAATGGTATAGGACTATAGGTAATAGCTAGGTAGGTATATTAATTTTTTAAATCAAAACAAAGAGGTAAAGTTCCTATAGGTATTTGATTTTATATGATTTCTCAATTATAACTGGTCTTCAATTTCAATCACAACCGTAAAATAATGCCAATCTGCCCATTTGTAGGTTTTGGTATCAAGTACACCAGGAGGAATCCATTAAACACTTTCCGTTAAACCAACGATACTGCAACTGATTTTCTGGTGTATCTTCTTCACCATCGTCATAAATAATAATTTCTTCACTGTTCTAAAATATGGAATGATAGAATTAATATAATACGTAAACGGTATGTCTAACCATTAGAGTTAAAGGTGGGTAGATTCTTTTACATTCACCTCTGTTCATATGTTCTAAATAAGCTCGTAAGAAATTTCGCTTGTTTTCTGGGGACAGACATGGTCTGCATAATCCACACATTGGTGAAATGCAACTACTACTGCATAAAGCGCTATTACATTCGTCTGGATAAACCATGATGTTTTTATCGGCTACGCGCATTTCATTCTCTAAAGTAGACCTACGAAAGATAGCATTAATATTAACAGTATCGCAAATTAATGTACGCCCTAACATTTGATTACTTTTTACAGCATTATTCAGACCGACCAATCCCAAGAGGTTATAGATAATTTGTTCAAAAAACAACCGATTTGGAGGAAAATGTGCTGAAGATAAGTTAGGACTCATATTTGCTTCCATTAAGAACACCTCGAGATCTTCAGTAACAACAAAATCAAACCGCATCATTTCAAAAAAGTTTTCTTTTGACGGGAATCTAAAAAGAAACAATAATTACCTACATATATAATCATAAGATTTTTACCTTTTCAAACTTTCCACCAAATTCCGTTCTTTGGTTAAGCCTACAATTCTTATGGAGTCTTCAATTTGTTTCCAAATTATGGAAGGATCTCTGCCTTTTGATCTTAGGTATGCGTTTAATGACTCGCCCATTCCGTACCCTAAAGTTTTGTAATAATATTTGAGCCCTGGCACGTTCCAAGTTGGTAGATAATCGTCACCTACCACATACTTGTCTATATTTTGCGGATCAAAGGGGTAATATTTGACTGGACAAAACCTTTAATTAATTAAGTTATCAGGCGGTTAACCGGTAAACATAACCAACCTTAACAAAAAATCTCCCTTGTAAATGTAGATACGCAACGGATCTATTGATGTAAAAATTGCGTAAACCCCAATATCAAATTTGTATCCGCTAATTAACAATGGATCGTCTACAAACTCTTGTATGAATGTACTGTTACCGTTTAAATTGATATCCGTAATATTCTTAATCCGTATATCTCTGTGGTCGTTATTTTTTTCTACAAATTTCTTTCCTGGATTCGCTCCAGCGTACTCGAGAAATTTTTGTTTGTCTTTGGGCAACCGGAACGCTGGAGGAATGTATTTTATTCCACTGGTTGCCAATTCCACTTTGTTTGTAATATAACCCGATCCAGGAAACTTGTTAACTCTTTGGTGCGGTTTCAAATTCTTCAATTCCGAAGCTAATGTGCTGAAAGGATAGTTATGTGCCCATAACAAATCCCAGTCGGATGAAGTCGTGTTTATATATCCTATTCGATTGAGGACCGTAAATACATTATGCAAGTAACCACTCTCCAAATTGTGACCAAATGCTCTGACAGTTTTTTGGTGGTCTCTGGGTGCGTCATTTTGTAGTTTACATATGTATTGTATGTATTTGGGAGTTGTGTAGATTGCTAACCACATTCCGATGGATAATACAATTGTTACTATTGCCGTTTTGTAATACTGATGATTGGGTATATCTTCAATCTGCAATTTGAGTGTTATTGAAGTACCTATTCTGAAAAGAATAATAATTACCTACCTTTTTGGAAGCGGTATCAGATAGTGACATTTTTCTTTTATTAATAATAAGCACATCAACTTGGCAGAAATTCAAATCATTAATGTTTTTACGAAATTACTTTCTAAGCGTTTCTCTGATCAAATCGACTTTCCACTAATCACGGTCTTTGAATACTTATGTGTTTAGGTACTATCCCTAGAATACGTACCTACTAACCAACATTTGGTCAAAAGTTGCTCAAAAGTACGCGTGTGGATTAATCGCTGTGTTATTCTTGTTTTAACAAAACTAAATAAAGGAGTGTTCTTGCAGTGAAATGACTTTATTTGACCTCGTTTCATTAGAGATGCATGTGGAGGATGGCCGTCGCTAGTCCGATGTTACCTACTATAAAAATGTAGGTAACGAAAATCTACTGTTGGGTCTAGATACGTTGCACTACTTAAGCATAAGTACATAATATGTAAATGTACTCTGCAAATTAATTGATATTTCAATAATGTGATCGTGTGTTGTAAATGTAGTATACCTACATTTATCATTAGACAACAAAAAAAATTTAGCAAAAATGTAATTGTTATTTCGCTGTATCAATAATACAATATATTATTGTACCTACTGTTGCATGCAGTAAATAGCGAAAATCTGCAGCCAATTAATTAATTACCATCAGCAAGTTAGCAGGTAATAATTAGTAATAAGTACATAATTATTTAAACCGTTAAATTTAAATTTGTGGCCACCGGTTAATTTAATAATTTATTAGCCGTTATTGGATATATGAAGAATGGTATTCGTTGGCAAGCTAAAATTATTTTTGTGTGATCTATGGAAAGCTAATCGTAAAATGCCATTTTTGTGCAGTTACTCGTCCAAGTGGTTACCACTCACATTTTGAAATTTCCGTAATATGCCATTGAATATAAAGTGCTTATTCAATGGTAGCGCTAGTTGTCTAGAACAAAAAGAGACTCGAATCAAAAGCAACATATTTTAGCTCGTATTTTAGGTATAGTTGATCCGACTAAATAAGTATAACGGGCGATCAAAAATGAGTTGCTGTCGAGTCGCCTTTGGAAGTTCAAGTGAAGTACGATTTTCCGTGTAGGAATAAAAAAACAAAAATTCCAAAGGCGACTCGACAGCAAATCATTTTTGATCGCATAGTACTAGCGCCTATCTATATGTATGTATGGTAGGTACAAGTAGTAGGCGGGAAAAGGAACTGTATAGTATTGAATCGAGAAGTTTGGTTTTTTTCCTCAAAAACTTGACCAGCTCCCGCTTAAATTTTAATTTACACCGGGATAGTACAACCATAGTACCTAATGGTAAAACTATCACAAGTTTGTGTCAGAGGGTACTGTACTTCCCAATAATAATGTAAACAGTGATAGAGAGCAAGTGGAAAACTTGTCGGCAAGTAATTACTGCAACAAAATCTTACACGTCTAAGTAAACAAATTTTGAAAGGAAGTTGACATTTATATTTCAATTTTGTTGAAAGTTGGTGTGCAAGTGTTGTGCTACATGGAGGGAAAACGTGTGGTCAAAAGAAGACACGTCTTTAATTAACGCTTTTGAAGAATTTTCGGAGTTTTGGCAAATCAAATCAAAAATCTACAGGACGGACTCAAGAAACAAAACGCATTAATTAGATCGAAGCGCCCCACGTGATCAGAAGTTCAGAACGTTCTGGTAAATGAAAAAAATGATTTGCTATTAGTTAGAGAAGGAATTTAAAAAAACATAGGTTTCAGCGAGCGACGCTAAATATGCAATGCTGTTGCGTTTATGGAATATATTTACAAATATGCAAAATGAATTACGTCTTACGGAAAGTCGAATCGATGTCTGTAGGCCGTTTAAGCGTTTTTCCTGCCTGGTAATTACCCTGAACGGTCTCGTATAAGGGTTGAAGTGATCTCTTTCGGCGTTCCTTTCGCAAAAAACTTGTGAGCAGGTATGCAGCTCCGGATGGACGAAAATTCTTGACTTTCCATGTTTTCTTGCTTGGGATGGCCGTAAAAATCTTCGAAGGGCAAGTGCAATCTAATTAATCGAAAATGTAAACAAGCTAATATGAGCAAATTCTTCATAGTAAACAAACAACGTAACAAAAAATTGTAGATATCGGCTTCAGACAAAGTCTCGGTGACTTCAAAACTGTATCACAAAGCAACGGTACTAATATCGGTATAACACAGCTAATCTGAAGAATACAATGTAAGACTAAGACTATAAACTGATAATCTTCGTAGTAATTGGAAAGTAGGTAATGTAGATACAAACAGGTCTCAGTATCTGCATAGATTGTACCAGTAACTCAAATCTTGAGTAAAAGGAAAAACAAAGTATGTAGTATTTATTAGGTATAACGACAGATAATAGTTGGTAGAATTTTCCCAGCCAGTAATGTAGAAACTCGCGCGCATGACTCGCCAAATTAATCAATTATAAGATGGCGGGTCCAAATAAAAATGCACTGTTATCCACGTAATCAGTAATATAGAGTTAATAAACCTGGGCTATTATACATAATCAAGAATAGCGTTGATTATGTTTGATTATTCTTTTAAATTAATTGATTATTTGATCGATTATTTAAGTGATCGATTGTTTGATTAACCGATTATTTGATTCATCAATACAATAAATAATCGATGATTAAGTTAATTGTAATTGATTATTTATTAGATCGATCATTGGTTTACCCAAAAAGTAGCAGCCACAGTATAATAATAATAAAGTAAACAGAAACAAAAACTTCTCAACAAAAACAATCAAAACAGAAAAAAAACGTAGCTAAAAAAGAAGTGAATAAACAATGGTAGCGAGTAGAGTATCGGTAACTGTTATGAACCAGCATAATGTCAATTGTGATGGCGAGCGTTGCGCAAAAAAACGATTATTATCAAACGATAATTGGGTTGGATTGTTCTTATTAAATAAATCAACTACTATCGCCCAGCTAATCAGGAAAGCACAGTCACCATAATTTATGAAATCAGAAAATTATGACTTTTAATGATTTGCGCAATCGCGATTTTGACTTGATGTATTTCAGTTCTTAGTAAAATGTCTAACATATATGCCAAATTTGGTTCAATTCGATGCAATAGTTCGGCTATAATATGAAAAAACGTCAAAAATGACGAGTTTTTTTGTTACTTTGACCAGTGGTGTAGTGCCAAATTTAGCAGTGGGGGAGCCCTTAAAATGCAAGCCACCAAGGGTATCGAATACACCCCCCCCCCAAGCAAAATTGGGATCCAGGAAAATTTTTAAAAATTTGCAGTAAAATAAATGGGTTTTGAAACAATTTTAGTTCAGGCTTATCTAAGTCGCAAATATCACTAGTTATCATCACTTATCTTATCTCCGTCTCCTATCCTGTGCCGGAGCCCCGCTCCCCTCTCACAAGCAGTGAGAACACCACTACACCTGCAACGAACTTCCCCCTTTGCTCGTGCACAACCGGTATCTTAAATGATGAAAGCACAATTACTTCAAGTTCATTTAATTGATGACTAAGAATATAATTGTACAATTCAATTATCACACAGTAGACGGTCGGTCGGTCACTTGGGCGCCACCAAGACTTAACTCTGCACCCCCGAAGTCTTGGGAAAAGGGGCGGTCTTCTCGGACGGGGTGGAAAGCCTCCAGGTATTCTCAAGTGGAGAACGGAATATACCAGGGATCGGTAAGAGTTGACCACAAAATGGCGGCGGTCACTTCCGGATTACCTAAAACAAAATATGGCCGACGGCCCTAACCCATATATATAAGAGAAGCTTATATATATGCCCTAACCACAGAGTTGTATATAAGTAAATAGAGAGGCAGTACATACGACCTGCGCGTGGAAAAATAACTCCAACTACAGTGGCCGAATTTTAATGGCGGAGCCGTTGGGACTCATGCGCAGTGCGTGAAAGGGAATCAGTACGATTTTTGGGTGCATTCAGTTACATAATCACAAAACAAAACAGCAATAACTTTTCAAATGCTTCAGCTTCATTTGTAAATAAACAGACGCTTTGGAGCAATAATTTAAGCATGCCCATTACATTATACTCTTTACCGCCATTTCAATGTTTAGTAGGCGACGATCTGTACATATATAAAAGATATTTTAAAATGCTCCTAGAAAAGTGCAAGAAAAGATCAAATATATGGGTGGAAGGAAAACTCTTCGCAAGCAATTGTTGAAACTTGGTTTTCGATACAAGAAGTGTCGGGACAAACGTAGGTTGGTAATGGAAAGAAGTGACATTGTAGCAAAGAGTATACTCTTTGATTGTAGTATGGCATCTCGTTATTTAAGAAGATTAAAAGAAAATGAACAACCTGAATGTGACGAGAAACCCGTTATATACTTGGACGAAACCTATATTCACCCATCGTACGGAGTGAGTAAATGCTAACAATCAGATAAAGTATCGGAAGTTTATAATAGGGCTGGTCAGAGGTACATCGTAGTATGCTGGTAGTCGTTCTGGTTTTGTAGAGGATGTAGCACAGTAAATCGGGGGATTATTACGATGATATGAATCATACCAACTTTATGCAGTGGTTAGAGAAGCAGCTTATAACAAATTTACCAGCAAACTCACGCACCTTATCAATGTTCAAATAAATAAGCCACCAACAATGAATAATCGTAAGGAAGTGATACATTCTTGGTTAGAAGCAAATATAACATTCCTACGAGAAATGAATTCATTGACAATGTACAATTTATTGTGAACACCGGCAATTCCGATGATGATTAGTGGTCAAGTGACGATAATGAATGAAAAAAGTTAAAGGTTGTGTGTTAATTTAGTCAATGTGAGTGTTATTAATTTCAATGTGATTGTTTCAATAACTGTCCATATTTATTATTTACAGAGCAGAAGTGCATCAGAATTGTAAATTGTGTTGAACATGAACATCTAACAATCTTAAATGTGTTTACGTTTTGTAAAAATAAAATTATTAATTTTACTGTTTCCCCTTGAAGTAATGCAACTCATATCGCGTGGCCCACTTGTTTATATTTAGTAGAGTCAAATTTTGCATGAGAATGTACAGTCTAAATTTCCAACGTCCTCGGACACGCCCTGTCAGGAACCTTCTGAGCGTGGTGCCACTGTACCTACATACCCTCTGTCGATGCTCCATTTTTGAGATATTTGAGTTATTGGCATTTGAAGTTTGTCGACTTTGTGGCTACCCGTAGTCAAACTGTGTTTTTGGCATTGCACACCTGAAATTTTAGTCCCGCACCAAAATAAAATTTCAACTTATTTTATTCTTTCATTGCTTATTTTTATACTCACTGAGTGCATAAATAGATCTTTAAACTCGATCGCACGACAAATATACGATTTCCTTTATACCAGAATCTCAAAAAATCTTTTCTCGATTCTGATGTTGTAAGCCCCTTACCAGCTTTGTATTGTAGTCTACTGTATTAAAAGTTCTTAACGATTGTAATGTTTCTTATTTATTCAAGACACAGTGTTAACAACATCATTCACCACACATTGAATTTCTTTTCAATTTTTGTTGCAATGAGAAACCATATTATTCTCAAGCCGAACCTGCTTTAAGGATCATTTAATTTGAAGCCGGTTCTGTTGTCTATTACTGCGCACACTCACCAACGGCCTGCGCAAGGTTCAATTGGAGTCAATTTTTCGCTACAAGACTGTCTCTCTATTTACTTATATACAACTCTGTGGCCCTAACGGTAAATTTCCTAAAGGGAATAAAACAACACAGCACAAATCAATTAGCGGTGTCTAGAGGAAAGAAAAGCGGAAAAGCAAGGAGAACAGAATATACTTCCCCCCCTTTAATCAACGTAATTGAAAATTAAGCGCTTACCTTTGTTAATTAACGGTGGTGTTAGTTTTCTACAGCAAACGGTGATATGATAACGCTATCAATAGAAAATACGGTAGGTTAAGCTTAAGGCGGTAAAGAAGCTTAGAACGGTGGTAAAAGTTTACGGTAAGTGAAAAAAAAGGAAACTCAAAACGGTAGTGAAAAGGAAAGGGCAACGGATTGACTTACGGTCGCTAAAACGGGAAAACGGTAAAACAAAAGGGTTTCAGTGGATTTGGAATGATACGGTTTCGCAAATTAAAGAAATCAATAGGCGTACTTACAACTCGAAAGTATGAAGCAGAAAGATACTTCTCAAATTGAGCGTTTTCCTTTTAAAGGAAACCCATTTTGGTAGAAGTGGAACAGGGAATTCCCAAAGCATCGTTGCCTTCGCACCGAGCGCGGTGGAAAATAATTCGGTTATTAATTAATTACTGCTCCTGTGGTTATCTTAAAAATCTAAGACAACTTGCAAACAACTAGAAAAATTACAGCGCTTACCTCTCCCGACGATTTCTGACAACGTTTACCTGCTACTGCCCATTAACATGGCATCCATTAACAGCGCTTACCTAATTAAGCGTAATCAAACCTAAGTACTCATCAATCCAATCTGCAACTAGCTCTCTTGGACTTTTTTCTTTTCAAACGGAGCTATCGCTTTAGCACTCTTATCGCAACAAGCAGGCATATGGACGGGACTGCAAAACTTGTAAACAACTCGATCTGAACTCGTTCTATCCTTGATTTTACTTATTATGGGAATCTAAAACATCTTATAAATAATTAACGGCGCTGAAACCAAAGAAACATTAATTGTCCCTCATCTTCGCCACGACAACATCCTTCGGTGGTTACAAAAATAATTCCAAAATTCCAACAGGAGCGGTCGTAGGCGGACTAATTAATTACGGTATCTCCATGGCATCGCGGAAAATGCTCAATATCACGGTTTTCTTGCGTAACGAAGCCCAAACCAATTGTTACTATACCGGGTGGTCCTTGTAAATGGCAAACCAAACGCAGAAATTCCGGGTGCTTCGTTACACACCACTGACTTTGACACACTTGCGCATGAGCGATTCTACTCAAAAGCTTTTCAGCTATAAGAATGTACCTACCAAATTTGGTTCAAATGAGAGTACAGACACACATCATCGGGATTTTGTTTGATGCAGATTCCTGGGGCTTCACATCGCGTATTTTTGTGGGGGGTCATTTTTACCCCAATGCAATACCTCAGTACCAACGTGCGGGTGGTAAACATAAAATAAAATGGCAGCTACAAAATGAAAAAGTGAACTGATCTTACTAAATTAAAATACCACCAGACCACCTTTCTTATGTTATGACCGACATTTTTCTGTCGCGACACTGCTACGTGAGGCCTACTAAGCTGAAACAGAACTAAAACATTTAAAAAGTCACAACTCGCACAGCTTTCACCAAAATCATTTATATGCCAGTTTCGATCGAAACAGAAATTTATTGCCATCTAAATTGTTTTGTCATAACTAATTACTATAAAAGTAACAAAAGCACATTAAGAAATATTCAAATGATAAAAAAAAGAGGTAACTCTTAACAATAAACACGAATACAAATAAAATCACATGCGAGGCCGTTGTTCATATTTCATCCCAGCATCTTTGTGTGCTGATGACGAAAGGTGAATCCTCATTTCTCCAACTGAAGTACAAAAGAAATTGCATTTCATACAATTCATTTCATTGACTGTTCTCATTCTGCAAACAAGAAGGTCAAATTTACATACTCAAGACTACCTAACTTACCCCAATGCAACTTCTTCCATTTCCCTAATATTATTATCTAAGGCTGCTTCTTCCTTATTTGGGTTTAGTTTAACGCTCCAGTGTAGTGGCCAAATTTGCGAGGAATTGTTCTGTGTATTTGCTCGTAAGATGGCCGAATCATACAAAGTTTGTCCCCATACAGATGAATGTCTTACATACACACGTTCAATATTTTTACGTTTCATTTTCAAAATTCTACAAGTAAATGGTCCTTTTTACTGCTAATGATATTTGAGAACTTACTTGAGCAGCTGCTCTTTAATTTCTCTTTGACAAAGAGCCATTGAAGAAGAAGATGGAATTCCTCTACAACAAAACTCCATAACCTTAACGGCGTGATTCATCCACTGCCTCAATTGGTTAATCTAAAATTAGGATTGTACAAAATGCAAATAATGCGCCAAACGTACTTCATTCAAATCAGACTCTGTTAATTCTGTGTCTAAAGTTAAACAAATATCATGGGGAGGAAACATGGATCGATGCGTATTGTCATAACCACCCACTCCACACAGTATTGCACCAATTTGAGTTCCATCCGCGGTAGGTTTCGGTTCCATTGAAGGGCAGAACAACAGACTCATTAACATAGGAAATCCGTGGATGTTTGGCATTACTGTAGTATGTCGTAAATTTAGCATTGTACCGGAAGGATTCTGTCCAATATGGGCGGCAACTATCAACCTAAAAGGATATACTCGAGGCTAACATAACAAAATTAACCATGGTCAATTCTAGCACAATTTGTTAAGGGTTAGAGTAAGCATTCCCCTTTTTATTGCAGTAGCTATAGGTTGGGTAGAAAAACGTAGGAAAGAAGCGAGGGGGATGCTTTTGATTTTTTTTATCAAAGGCAATAGTCCTAATACACGCAAAGGCACGTGAGCGTTCTGGACAAGACGTACCTACCTGCTACAGTACAATCAACATGACCATGCATCTTGAAAATGAAGTGTTGGAGGAAGCTACTAACAAAGGGAATGTGAGGAGGGGGTTCAAAACTTCAAGTATCGGTGTGGGTAACAGTCCTAAGTGCCAAAACATGCAATCTCTGCTCCCAAGAAAGACTAGCAAAATATGCTAGTGCTCCTATTTGATCAAATTTTTACCTTTCGTGAGGGTCTTGTGGATCTGTGTCTAACAGTACAGCATTAACAGAACTTCCTTCAATCGTTATAGTTTTATTCATGCCGCTAGCCGTCACACTGAAGATTTGCATCTCCAATGGACTGTACGGTCCTTTCAAAGTCAAACTACTACTGCAGGAATTGCTTGGTAAATGGTAGTTTACTGAGTTTTGCGGCTGACATACTTCTTCGGGCAACGAAGCAAAATGTTCAGGATGCTCCGCGCAAAGTAACCTTTTATTATGGTTTTCCTATACAAAAACAATGTTAAGGATAGGGCTTACCATGCAATTGTTACATACTTTAGATAGAAAGCTTTCTTCTGCAGGTTCAGCGTACCCTTCATTAATGAGCCAATAGTTTTCTGAACGTGTAAAATCGCTCATTGACGTAACGTTGGTAGCATAAAGCTCCAAATGTACAACTTCATTAACAACAGAATAAATCTACAATTTTTCAATAAGTCCCATTTTTGTTGAGATCGAAACATTTACCTTGGCGGCTAACATTTTGTCTGCAGTACGCATGTCAAATTTCCTAACTGCTTCCTCCGACCACAAAGCTCTCGGATTCAAGACCATAGACGGTTGAATTTCGCTTAAGTGGCATTCAACAGCCTGAGCGGGACATGACATTAACGGTGTGTCGGGCAAGTAAAACAAATTAGCTGTATCCACAAACTCAGTATTTCCAAAGTCAATATACAAAACCTAAAATTGAATATATCATTTGTAAATAAAAGTTTGTCGCATGCTCTGTTCAAGAAGGTAAAATCGCCTGTGCCTTTTTACCAAGGCAACGTTAACAAGTTCTGACGAAAATCACGATCGTGCGGAAAGAAAACCGTATAAATGCATAATGGATAAATTGTGTCCCAATGGCATAGGAACTTGCATCGGTTCTTATTATAAAAGGCGCTTGGTAGTTCACCTGCCTCAATATGAGAGCGCAAGTTAGTAATCGTTTCACTTCTTCGCCTTTGTTTCTCTGGATTCTCACTTCCACAAAGCGTTTTTTTGTGTAGGATCGCATAGTTGTTTCGTTAGATAATTTGAAATTTTAAATTAAAAAAAAATATCTCGGGAAAAATGTAATATCAATCTTGTCAGTAAAATGATACTACTTGACTAGGAAATTAAACTACTCGGGGTCGACAGGAGGCAGGAAAAGTAGTTAAAGCGTTACTGCCACTGTCTAAAATAAAAATTTCCTGACGTAAAGTAGGCATGAAAATGAAGGGTTCATTACAAATAATGCATGATTGCCGCAAGAGCCTGAATTTATAAATGAGAAGAATGTGTGGACGCCAGACCCATCAAAACGATGCATTCAAAGGTATTGCAAAAATACATACACACATTTAATTAAATACTTATTATTTATAAACTTTAGGTATAATTCTATCGTGGGGTTTTTGTAGGAAATTTCATCCTCTACCCACAATTTATCTGAATCTATTACGGTTTGCCCTGGGCTTTGAAATAAATGCGCGCAATTGTGATTTTCGTAAGTAAACATGATTATTATTTTATTATTTTTTTTATTTTGCCTTTATTTTTTAAGTGGGCGGAGTTTCAGCCGAGGCTGCTCTACCAACCCAACCCACTATACATTTACAAATATCCATGCCCGAACCCGGATTCGAACCAGGGACCCTGTACCGCAGTCGAGCTTCCACTGAACTGCGCTACACGGGCCGATTAAACTCTACTAGTGGAAGACTAGCCCAACATTGCCTCTTTTACATTGCATTGACTATAAACTGCATTCATCTACTATCTACAAATAGAGTCCATAAACTGATTGAAATCAGTTATGAAATTAATTGCAAATTTGACAATTGTTAATAATTTCGGAATTATTACCGATTATTAATATTTAACAACAAAACGATATAAAGCAAGTATACTTTTTTTGTGATCTAATAAATTGCATCTAATTGCGCATACCCATAGGTATATTTCAATTCCTTTTAGAGTAATGAATTCACCTATATCTATGAATTTGCGGTGTGTACTTCAATATGAGAATTTACCTGTGCTAGAGATGCTTGCTTTTTACCAAAGGAATTTAATGAGATAACTTTGCAACGATAAAACTGATCGTCGTCGGAAAATTTTGCAGCATAAACCGTGTCTATCACAGGCATTGTCTTTCCCAGCGGTTGCAATTGGACTGTCTCTTTATTAAGTTCCTCGTAAATGGCCGGCAATAAGGGGCTTAGCGTTGAACCGTTGCTACACAAATGAGCCCAAAAATGTCCAGCATCAACTCTCTACAAAAGAGGTTTGTTTTTTTGATATTGAAATTAATCTCACTTACATGGGATATTCTTAGAATTAAAAAAGTCATGTCTAATGTTGGGACAATTGGAGAAAATTGTACTACGGAATCATCCTCTAAAATGCTGCTTACTCGTTCCAACGAAGGTAAAGATCGCCTAGTCGACCCAAGTGGTTGAATCCCGACAGATTTTGCAATAGCCCAGGCTTTATCAGAACTGCTATAAAAATACGACAATTTGGAGTAGATGATAAAAAAATACATTTTAATTCTATTACCTCATTACAGCGATTCTGTGAGTCAACTGCAACTGTCTCTGCCGTACTGCACGATATACCTCGGTTCGAATCTTTCCTGGCATTGTCGTTACAAACCTTTGGCCATCAATCATAACAGTCTCAAATTGTTTGGGCGTCATAAATTCCACATACACCTTACTAAAAGTAAGAAACGTGAGAATTACAACAACAAAAAAGCAACAAAAATCAGGTACCTGCTGTTATCAAAGCTAACATGCATGTCAGTAGCGCAATCTTTTAGGATAGCTTTAATCGAATTTGCATAAAGTGGACCAGGTTGCTTGTGGTCGAAACCTGTAAAGTAGATGGTCTTGAATGGATCACGCCCCCCTATGGTTTTGACAGCTTCACGTTCATCAATTTGACCAGCATCCACGGATCGTTTGAAATAATTTGGGTAAAAAGCTCCGCACATTACAACCTTAAATGAGATTAAATATTTTAGGAATTTGCGGAGCAGAACCAACAATAAAATTTATATTAATACAGGACTAGTTACTAAATGAACTAGACAAAGTAACCAATATACTAGTTATTAAACGATGGGTCTTAAAGTTCTTTCTTCATCCACTCCACGTTGTCATCTTATCCATCATCTTCTCGGTTTTTTATTTTTAATTGCTTGTGTTATTTTTTGTTACTTTGATTCATCATTTTTACTTTTTGTAGTTTCAATTTTTGGTTTTGAACCTGACTGCATACTTTGATACAGATTGATATGATTGACAGGTCCGTTCTTCGCGAAAAATATTGATTTGATTAAGAAAATTCCAGAGTCACCACGCTAAAATTGTTTAAATGAATTATCAAAGCGTCTTTAGCAAATGGGGAGTATTTTCAATTCCTCTTTGTCAACACGTTTCTTTTTAGGTGTTTCCATACGTTGATACTTGATACTTTGGCATATGCCTGGCGTAGCCGCCTCTCCAAGAATTTAGTCAACTATCGTAGGGATGTATCCCTGGTAGGAACTAACAGGGGTGCCTCTCTGCCAGTATTGTTGCCATTGCGCTGTTAATTTAAATTACTTATCTTTGTTTTACCTATATCGCAATCCGAAACCCATTTATTAATGAGGTACGTAAGTTTGAATTAATTGAAATTAAGTCTGATTTTGGCATTCTAGTTTTTGGATGTATCTTTCATGTAACAAACATTAACCATGAAGTACAGCCTTGAAGAAGGTAAACAAACTTTTTATTTTACTAAAGAAACAAATACTTTATCTGTTTTGTTTTCTAGAATTTGTACAAAATACCCCAATAATAAAATCAAATATAGCGTCCATCTGCATGATGCAAGCCGCGCATGCGTAGTATGAACTTTATCAGCTGTGGAGATACTGACCTTAATTAAAATTGGCAATTCAGTTTCAGAATGGACAACATTCCCAGGTCCTTCTTCGGGCTGGATATTCATTCTAGCTAACCGTGATTGTATTTCTTTCACAAGAATGTGCCATTCATTCAAAGCCCTTTGAGCTACAAAATTTTTTTCACACCACAATTTCTCTGCTTTTGGATTGGGATGTAGTCGCTTCCTTCTTTGCCACACCTAAAATAATCTTGAAAAAAATTGAAATTTAAACATTTTTGAAGTACTGACATTATACAGATGCAGGTAAGCGACGATATCACTCGCAGAGCCGTCTGCCCATTGTAAACGATTTGTGTATGCTTTAAGACGTTCTTTGAATGGAGTTTTAAATATGCTTATAGAACATCCAGTTGCTATTAAGGATGGTAAGGTTTAATCGAAATACTTTCCGTTACTTAACTCACCCATAATAATCGCAGCTTCGAGACAGCTAAAAATATGTCCAAGAAATATAAATTTGGATAAATGGACATCTAAAGGTAACATAGCGATCACTTCACCCATGAAAGTTAGATCGCCATCATTCATCACTTTTTTGCCATCTTGACACACAGTCAACGCACCAATCTAGTTAAACATATAAATTATCGCATTACAAAAATATTCCTATACCTCTTTTAAGTACAAGACGGTACTATCAATACTATCTAAGGCAGGTGGATTCATAGCAAGAGCTAAAATAGCCTTAGGCGGTTCTTTTATATCCAACAACTTAGATGCCAGAACGACATGATTCAAGGGCGCCCTCAATATTTCCGGTTCTACCGATTTCGGAAGATACAACTAAAAGCAAATACTAATAAGACCGTCCATTCATAAGTCTATTAAAATACATCAAAAAATTGTGTCGGAACAAAACGGTAGACACGACCATCGCTTACTCGTCCAACTCTACCAGCGCGTTGAGTACAGTTAACATGTGACGCCCATTGCAGTTGCAAACTTTGATACTGTGTATCGGGATCCAAGACCATAGTTTTAGTTAAACAAAAATCGATAACTACAATGTCTGTTAAAGAAAGGCGTACAAGGAAGGATGTTTAAATTACCGTATGTAATATCGGGTACTGTAATAGAACTTTCGGCAATATTCGTAGATAATATAATTTTTCTGACTCCCGATGGTGGTGGGAAGAAAACCTTTCTTTGTTCTTCTGTGGTAATGCTCGAATGAAGTGGATGAATCAACCAGCCTACAGTTGGCGTCTGTTTATCTTCGCCAACTTTCTGAGATGAATTCCTAAAAAAGTGATTTGATGTAAACTTACAATTTCGAATTTTGTAAGTAAATCAGACCTTTATACAGGGTGGCCATTTGAAAACGAAACAGAGCCTATTTTGGGAACCTCACAACATTTACGAAAAAATCCTCGGACCCGTCAATTTTTGATTCAAGGGGGAACCATTTTTTTGCTAGTTTCGCCCCCCCTAAGGGCAAAGCGCTAGCGGGGGGACTACCGCCCCCAAAATTTTAAATCGAATGGGGGGTCGAGTGATACCTTATTTTGAAGGTATTTTTATGTGGATTATAACCCTTAACTTTTAAATCGCTACTAATTTGCCTAGCCGATACAGGGGCTAATAAAAGTTATAAAAACGTGTCAACATTTTCTTATGAAAAAAAAATGTAAATGAATTAGTTAAATTTTGGTTATTGTTGAGAGCGTTATTATAGCAACATTTTGAAGTTTAATAGTGATTGTCAATTGATGTTGTCAAATCATAGTAGTGACAAATAGCACTTTAAAGTTATTTAGTTGCAAAATCGGTACATTGAACTTGAACAGTGATAATGGTTTATCCACTTCCTGAAAGAGTTGAAATAAATGCTCCTTTTTCTATTGGGCTGATTCAAATCCCAGAATATTTCGTGTGGTGCATACACAACATCCCGAAAAATTGAATGTTTGGGCTGGCATTTTTGGTAACCATATCCTAGGCCCCTTCTATTTACCTCGCAATCTAACAGGAGAGATGTACCTGGAGTTATTAGAAAATACGATTCATCCAGCATTAGTGGAGATACTAGAAAATAACAACGAGTACTTGGAAAATCGTCTAGTTTTTCAGCAAGATGGTGCGCCACCCCACTATGCTGCAGGGGTTCGTCAATATTTGGACCAAACGTTTCCAGGACAATGGATTGGTAGAAGAGGAGCTATTGAATGGCCTCCTCGTTCCCCGGACTTAAGTCCGTTACATTTTTTTTATGGGGGCATTTAAAAACTAGGATGTATGCTAGTCAGCCAACATCGTTAGACAACTTGCGACAAAGAATAATTGATGAATGTCGTCAAATCACCCCCAGGAGTTTTGCAAAAAGTACGGGAAAGGTTTGAACAAAACCTGTATTATTGTATGGAAGTCGAAGGCCAACATTTACTTGATTGAGTTTAGCTTTAAGCACTTAAAATAAAATTGATTTAAATCTGAAGAGTTATAATCTACATAAAAATACCTTCAAAATAAGGTATCACTCGACCCCCCATTCGATTTAAAATTTTGGGGGCACTTGTTACCCCCGTTATGGCTTTGCTCCCAGGGGGGGCGAAACTAGCAAAAAAATGGTTCCCCCTTGGATAAAAAATTGACGGGTACGAGGATTTTTTCGTAAATGTTTTGAGGTCCCCAAAATAAGCTCTGTTTCGTTTTCAAATGGCCACCCTGTATATTAATACAAGAAACTGACATTGAAAACCGGTCGCAAATTATAGCGCCACGACATTGCAGTAGGGGGGTCAACAGTAAGCTGTCATATTTGGTTTAAACTTTATTGATGGTTTTATGTGCTTTATTATTGTTATTGTTATGGATAAATTCATAACATTAGGGTATTTAGTTATATCACCAATCTGCCATGTTAAATAACCTTGGTAGTACAATTATTTTGCTTCTTAATTTTTCGTCATTCTACACCGAGCCGTGTAGATGGCGCTCTTTTTCGTGTTGCAGCTTACGCAAATGCAAACAGTAGCGAGTTTCCTGTATTGATAAGGTATTTGCCATCGTCTATTAATGACTGTCCTGTTCTAAGCATTTAGTGAGTGCATTAGATGTAGAAAACTAGTCCTCTGTAACCGTTTCAAAAATTTGGTTTTGAATTTGTGTATTGTTACACGTAAAAAAATTTGCACATATACCGCTTCATAGCGAACATGAATAAAAGTATGTCTGACGATAACAAGAAACGTATTGGGGACACGGGTGCGGTTGCCACCATCTCTTCGAACCTAAGAGTTTGGTTCCGTTCTTTTAAAGCCGAGCATGAATCTGGAGAATCTGAGAGCAGCGTTGGCGACGACTTACCAAGGAGCACAGTAGTGAGAGAATGTGCCCAAGGTGGGGTGCTATCGCCACTCTGCGGAACTTTAGTATAGAGCCTTTTCTGCCGCTTCAATGACAGTGGTTACTATACGCTGGGGTATGCGGACGATATGTCCATACTAATAACTGGTAAATTTGAGGCTACTTTATGCAGACTGATGCAATCAGCTGTTAGAGTAACTGAAGAATCGTGTAGGGAACATTCATTGGTTCTCTTCATAAGAAAGAGATAGGTAGAGGGTTTTCAGACTCCCCTGATATTCCAAGAACACCTCCAATTTCAGAGTCAGGAATCACACTTGAAAAAAAAACTGAATTGGAGCAAACATATCCAGCTCTGAAAAAGCAAATAGGGCTTTCTGGCAAAGTCGCCGCGCAATTGGGAGACTTTGGGGATCTTTCCCGAAGGCTGTCTTGTGGCTGTACACCACAGTGATAAGACCTATGTTCTGCTATGGAGCATGAACTTCCATATCACCCAACCACTAGGCAAACTTCCTACTGTATTCCAATCAGAGTTGGTAGAACTCAAGGTAGAATTACAGCTCATTGCAAGAAATGTTTTTATTTTTTAAGCATAACATGAAGAACGACTATCAGAATATCCAGTGACAGCAAGCCTGTCCTGCAGGTACTAGGTCACTGTAAAATTACCTCTAGGTTGGTTTCCGAATGTCACCATGCACTCGAGCAAGTAGCAAGCAGCAACACCCTTGAGCTCGCATGGGTCAAAGGGCAAAGCGCTGGAACGGAAGGTAATGAGAAAACCAATGAGTTCCACAGTCAACTCTTCCACTTACAGTTGCAATTGGAAGCAAGTTAATAAAGACACCCAAAACCCAGCATAGGGCTAGGTGGAACATTATTGTCGCCATGCGAGAGAAGCCTTGAAAAGGCCATCTCGCAGCCGCACACGGCTATCAAGAAAGAACCTGAGGTTACTTGTGGGCATACTTTCTGGGCACTGCACACTAAACAAACTCATGCACCTTATGGGTTTGGTTCATCTCACTGAGATGGCTTGAGTAACGTCGAGGGGTAGAATGACTCTAATCAGAAAGGGCTTGAGTTTGAGGCCTAGATACCTCCCTATCGTAATGCAGCATCCTGTAGTCACTTACTTTTAGGAATTTGCATAAGGAACACGCATTCAAAATCTATGCTATACACCAGGTACAGCGCGGAAACTTCCTTTTTTTAAAGTGGGCGTGGTTTAGTGAGAGGAGGGCTGTGGTAGGGTCTCACTGGTTAGTTTTTCACTATTATTATTACAATGGCACTTTGGTTCAGTGAGGAGCGTGCGTTTGCAGTGGAATGTTATTTTTCATGCGCTTTCTCATTTGTACCGTTGCAGCATGCACTTTGTGCACGCTTTCCGCCTCACATTTTCAGTTGTTCTGAAGACCTCTACCCATGATAAAATGGATTTTCTATCAGGAACAGTACTTTGAGGTGCTTTATTTACAAAATACAGGTTATTATTGTTTCAACAACCCTTTTGAAACTTCATACAAGTTTCATAATATACCCTTAATTTAATGTTACACTGCTTAGTTTGCCTATGTAACTTTTAAAGAATCCCCATACCATAAATTTTGGATAAATTATAATTTTTTGTATTTCCGCTTAGGAGTGAAGCATTTTGGCGTACGAGTTTTACAAAAAATTTTCGATTCGTTATTTGCCTTCGCAGACATTTTTGCACTCCTTTTAGAAGGGTTTGGGAAGATTTTTAAAATGTGAAAGCACATACTCAAAATTGAAACAAAACAAATCATACTTATCCTTCCTATGATTGCCATTTTAAGTAAATTTACTTACATTAAAGAATCGTGAGCTTCTTCTATTTCCAAAATCCCTGGCAAGAATACCAAAACATGTCCGATTTTTGTTTCTTTCGTAATGGGATCGATTTGATCCAATTTATCAAATGTGCGTACAAGACCAGTAAATAAAGTATACAATGAGGGGTCTATTTTTGGTTCACTTATGTTGAAAGCGGGCGCCTGCAATATTTTAAAGAAATGGTCATTCCGATACCTAGTAGGTCTACATTACCGATTTTTGAAGTTGATCTATGTAAAACTTTTGCACGCTGTATCTACTGGGCTTGTTTATGTTTAGAACAGGAGGTGGGAGCATTTGAGTATCATGGGCGTTCATAAAGTAATCTGCAAATTCATCAGTATCTAAGGTAGCAGACATTAACAAAACCTAAAATGCACAATAAATGAATGCTCGAAGTGCAATTTTGTTTTCACCTTTGTGTTGTACGAATTAGTGTTGAGAAAGCGCCGTACCAGTAGTAATAGAAAATCCATATCCTGATTCCTCTCGTGCACTTCGTCTATTATAATGTGTGTGTAATCGTTGAGATTTTTTTCTTTAACCAATTTTTGTAACAACACTCCTGTTGTTACGTACGTAAGTAGAGTATTGAAACCAGTCTGTTTCTCCAATCCCACCTATTGCGAAAATATTTAAGATTCACCATCACCATTGTTCAAAGTATACCTGGTAACCGCAAACTTCCCCTAATGGCCATGCTCGTTCCTCACACACACGTTTAGCAACACTTATGGCAGCTATTCGACGTGGCTGAGTCACAACTATTTTACACGGTTTGTCTTGCATTCTGCACTCGTCTAGAATAAACTGCGGTACTCTGGTAGTTTTACCACAACCCGTTGGACCTTGCACTATTACAACTGGATTCACAGCCAATAAACTTAAAATCTGAAATTGAGGGTATAACCAAAATCGAATCGACTCATTTATAAGAAATTTGCTTTACCTCTGAACGATAGTCGTCAATGTTCAAATACTCGGACTGCTTATCGAATCGATATTTCCTGTAGACTTCTTTGATTTCTTCTTCTTCTAGTTGATGAACCTCCACTCTACCCATTGAAGATAGCAAGTCCTCAACTACCTCCACGTTGGACATGAGATCACTCTGTAAACAGGCAATATTTCAAAAACTGAATTTTTTTTTAATAGGATACTTTATACAAAGTTATCCTTATTTTTTCTATCTTCCTATATTAAATATATGTATATTAAATATATGTAATATATCAGGACGTATTTCTTCTTATGCATTGAAAAGACTTCATTTGTATATAGTAAGAAATAAAGATTATTATTATTATTATTATTATTATATGTAATCTTAGTTGGAAAACGATTCATTTACATTTCTTGCGACAAACATTTGGAAGAGAATTACGATTACTTTTTTTTTAAATTTTTGTACCTGTGGCTGTGTTGCAAAAATTGCACTCTTTTAGCATGTAACGCTGCAGATTTGTTACAAACAAATAGAGTTCAAGAATAAGGTCGTTAAGTCATCTTTGGATGCAATTAATTTCTACCTGAGAAATTTTATTTTTAATAACGGCGGTTCAGTACTTCTGGTCGTTATTATTTACTCACTTCTCACTATCTTCAAAACAACACTAAAAAAAAAAGCTTTTTTATTATTATAAAGTTTGCCACCAAGTGCTAAGATAACGAATATTACAATATGCAGGAATACCACGATAGTACGAGTATAATGTTGAAAGGTGTTGGGCCGACAGACGCCACACTAGAATGCCCAATACCAACTCATAAAAGTCTAAATAGAGAAATATATAATCTGTCACACCCAGTAAAGTCAAGTTTGGCATATTGTTCTCCTCTATACAAGGAGCAATAAAGAGTGGCCGTTTATTTAGCGGACTTTTACCGTGTGCAGTGGAAAGTTTCTTTCCCCATGCAACAAAAAAAAACGACATAAACTGATTTCTCTCAAATAAAAAGTGCCCACTTAAATATTAAACATATTAAGGGCCAGTTTTTCCCTCTCGATAAATTTATTAGGCAAATAAGTAAGTTAAATACCTTGACTATATCAACAATGGTATCCACGTATTCGCTCGTTTATTCAAAGAGTAAAGTTATTAGGCAGTGGAAAAACCGGGCCTAAAAAACATTCCTACATTGAAATTTAAAAAATGTACACCAAGCCAACTACCAGGCAAAATAAAGGAGATTGTGTAACATTGAAGACAATGTTACAGAAATCATTGCTCTTCACTTGTGGTGTCTTTACAGTGCCATAGATTATTCATTTACAGATGATAAATTTACTTACATGAAAACTAAAAATACTTTTAATAATTGTATTGTACCTATCACCTATTATAAGTCAATTTAGTTGTGTGATCCTACTTGGATACTACAATACTAATTGTCAGCTAATAGAACAGTCATACTCAGCACTGGAACCAGTTACTGTAAGCTGCTGGTCCCTGTGTATGTTTTTAATAAAAAATTAATTAAAATTTACTAATAAACGAAGTAGGTAGGCAGATACTATTTTTTTAAACCAGAATTTTTAGTACATCCGGCTTTACGGCTCAGTGGTAAGAGCGTTGGGTTATAAATCCGGAGGTTGGGTGTTCGAACCTGGGTTGAGGTGAATTTTTCAACTGTGGCGGAGATGGAAATTACCTTAGACCAGTTCCAAGCATTCTACCGGCTACTCCGAATTAGGTTTTCCTGCATTTTTCCTAATTCGTAAGGAAAATACCGGAGTAGTATAAACCAACTTAAGACCTTTTGCAGAGGCACCTCTAAATAGCATTATGCGGGTCACTCTGTAATTGGGCGCATGCCTGTTGAGGGCCCAGAACTAAGAGAGGGATAATAAATAATAAAAAAAAATAATAATAATAAGTACTTACAAAATTAGCCTTCATCAAGAAACTGACAACATTGACAAACTGAAAGGAATACTGTTTGAGATAATGGGACATTTACGGTGTGAAACTTTGGATAATTCATCCAATTTAGGGGGGTTGGTAGAAATTGCAGTGGAACACGTTATGACCATATCAAAATCTACCAACATGGTTAGACCGGTTTACTTGACAGGGGTATTAAGAGAATTCCAGTGGATTACTCACCATGGAAACAATTGCAACCACAGCCATAGCTACCAAGTACCAATACAGTTAATCCGGTTGAATTATCATAAACACCTGTAAAGTCTGATTGACGTCCTCAGGCGTAATTTTAGAAGTTTACGTCTACATCAGTAGAAGCACAGTTTGCGATTTCACAGCTACCTACCATTAGGGATTTAAAATTCTCGAAATCGGGAAGTACTTACCTCCTTCTTGCTACGTAATTTAGCATACAACATCAGTTCCTTGTCGAGGTACTCTTTTGCGTAGGTATTTGATTTATTCTTTTCCAAATGCATATACTCCTCATCGTCACTGGAAAAGCTCTCATCTTCAATTACAATATTTCCGTCCACCTGCCCAGTTGGTACACAAATTTTTTGAAGCGGTTTGTTTACATTCATCAAATCCTTGAAGAGATCCATTTCACAAGCGTTTAAGTAGTTCGTAAACAACCAAAAATTCTTTCCACTATTCTTCACTCATTTAAAATACAACGAAATTCAACTTGGAAATATAGTCCTTTAACGAAACGAAACAGCATGAGATTATTTAAACATAAAAATTTAGCATCCTTTCCTTTCCCACATATCACAGATTACTTACATCAAGTGAATAGAGCCACAGAATAAGTGGTTAAGGTCACATTCAACAAAAGCACCTTGAGTCCTGTACAGGTTCAGTTTTAAGGGTCAATTGCAACCTCAAAATTAAGTGTCCCTTAAAGTTAAGCATCACTTAAATACCATAACAACGATCGTCTTAATAATCGTTACCATAGATTTTAAGTTCGACTTAACTTTAAGCAAGGTTTAATTTTGTTGATGCAACTGGGGCTAGTCACATCATTGATTATAGACACTGTATAATGAATGGTCACAAAGACTTATAGCAAATTATCATTGTATTACAGTGTGAATCAGACTTCGTAGTTAAAAAATGCACTATAGCACAGACAACATATGTTGTCTGTGACTATAATAATATACCGGGTGGGGTGGTGCCTAGAGCGACGCAACATAGGGATTTCAATGGTAAATTGGTAGCAAACATTTCATGATCTTGGATACCAGGAGATCACTGAGGTGGAACAACTATAAATGAATAAACACAAAACTCCCCCATCACGACATTTGTGCTTCAATAACAAGAAATGTTGCTAACTACCAGTATCATGACTTTGAGGCTATATATCTACCGAACCGTAGATGTGGCTGGGTTCCTGTGTGAAGCAAAAATGAATACTAACGAAACACTCTTAAGGATTCTGCCATCACGGCGGTATTTGTGTTTCATTAATAAAAAATCTGTGGCTAACCTCCAGCCCCTAACTTTGGGGCAAATACATCTCCTGAACCGTAGGTCTGTGGCAAGTTTCTGAAGTGAAGCATACAGCACTAAAGGCCGCTTTACATACTGCAATTTTTCATGCAAGACCATGCAATACGCAATAAAACTTGCCCAGAAGCATGCGCGTTTGAGAAACAGCTGATTCATTTTGGCAATTCACTTGCAATTGCAGGTTAGCGGTCGCGCGCGATTTTTATTGCACTTGCACGTGATATTTTGGGGGAAAGTATTGACAACGCCAGGTTCTAGAATTCCCAAACGTTGAAACTAGACTTTGTTTACTATAGGCGCTTTCTTTCGGCTACTTCGCAATCATGATTTCGAGATCGTGATTCGTAGGATCACGTTTTACGAAAGAACGCGCGAATTTGAATCAAAGTTTGGTTAAGTTTACGTAGCGCACATTTGCATTCGAATTATGTATTTTTTGTTTGGATTATGAAAATAATTTAAATACAAGTGGAAGTACTTGCACGATTATGCTCCTCTTCAGTTACAAATATTGACTAATCTAACATTTGAGCAATCCTTGCATTTATAGGTTAGGAATTCGTGTCAAAAAAATTTTATGTTCAGTTTGTTCACGATTTTAGCAATCATGATTATAAGATCACACTTCGAAAGAACGTGATTTGACAATCCAAACGCGTTTGGATCAACGAAAGAAAGCGCCTTATTACTACACAAATTGAAGCTGCGACTGCCTTTTTTCGATTAAAGTGTCTATTCATTTTTACTCAAAACGCATTCAGAATTATAACAACACCTGATGAATTTTGAATAGAATAAAGCTTTTAGTTCAATTTTAAATGCGAATGTTGGTAACAAACTATTGCAAAAAGAAAATTGCCGCGTGTAAAACCAAAGTGCAATAATTATTGCATGTACAGTATTTTTGCAATTAAACTTGCTGCAACTGTATTGCACAAAGAATTGCAGTATGTAAAGCGGCCTTAAGGACTTTGCATGATGACGTCATTTGTGCTTCGTATCGGTGGCTAACTTCCTGGGCATCGATTCCCGAAGTTAGTCGATATGCTCCGTGATGTGCATGTGATGTGACCGGCTGCCATGACGTCATGATCGTATACGATAGGGATAAGTTCAAGTTTAGCTGCATTCCCGAATCGTGGACAAACTTTATGCGCTAACCAATCACAGACAAGAATTGAACTGTCATTTGTCAGTTTTGTATTTTGTTTTGTTTTTGCATTATGGATACTGCTATTAATAACCAGAAAATCCTCGAACAATTCCATGTTTTATTTCACAGAAAATATGTGAATTTATAGGTTAGGGCACTGAATAACCTCTATAGCAAAACAGCTGCAAGATCCGTCCTGTAGCTGCAACTGCGCATGACTTTCACGCAACGAGTGGTCTAGACCAGTCGTTGCGTTCGATCAACTTTTCGCTCGATGTGGTAGATTCGAGAATGCAGTGGCATTGACGATTGACGTTCACATCAAGGTCAGTCGATGTGAACAAAACACATCTTCGGGAATCGATGCCCTGGATCCCTTCAATGGTGCATGGAAATTCGTCCACTGTACGAGCGCAATAGTGCTGAAATGAATTTAGAAGAAGACTTCGGGAATCGACGCCTGCTTCTGAATAATGTAACTAAATTTAGTTACGCGATTTATTTATGTACAATTAAATTATTAATAAATTTATAACAGTCCTCAAATAGATTGATTTATAAAAGTTAATTATTATTTATTACTTACACCTATACCAAAGAATACTTAATAATATTACTCTGCCTGTACCTACTTAAATTTATAACATGTAAATTTATAATACGAGCGCAAATTTCATTATTTATCACTTCGGTATCGATATAGGACCTTTCAGATGTCGTAAAGATTAAAATCAATTGGGCTATTTGGGCCCTAGTACAAGCATTGAATTTATAACTATCTATAAATTCAATGGTACAAGTGGAAGAATTTAAATACCTGGGAGCCACTGTAGATCGGAAAGGAATAGGAGAAAGAGAAATAAAACATAGAATCAAGGAAAGTAGAAAAGTAATCAAATGTCTCAATTCGCTATGATGGGATAAGAACTTGCATAAAGAATTCAAAAAAAGAATAGACCATACGTTATGGTAGAATCGGTACTCTGTTATGGATGTGAGATCTGGTAATCAATGTAAAAATGAAGCGCAGAATTCAAGCGGAGGAGATGGATTACCTCAGACTAGTGCCAGAGTATCTAGACTTCAACACATCTAAACGAAGAAATTAGACAACACATGAAAATAGAGCGAACAACTATAGGCAGAATTGAAGTACGCAAGTTATGCTGGCTCAAAAGAATATTCCAATATGGCAACCTCCAGGAAAAGACACGCGCGGAAGACCACGAGAGTCGTAGTACGAAGGAATAAGGAAAGCCATGGACGAACGAGATTAAAGATGCGGATATATATGACCCTGGATATATATAGAAGCGCCTAAATTTTCGTTGGCCAGTGACGTAAACACTCAATTTAAAATATTGCATTAACTAGGATTGAGTATTGAAATATAAAGCGGCGAGGATAAAGATTCAAAATAACGCCAAAATTTTCAGTATATAGACGCCGACAGCAAACGACCGTCTCATATTTGTGAAAAACGATATGATAATGGCGACGCCCAGCGTCGCTTTTGACAGCGCGCCGCTCTATTGATCTCTTTTCTATTTTTCGTAAACAACCGTTTTCCAGCTTAGTAGATTATTGAAACATAATGAAACGCCAAAGCGTTAGAACGTTATCCTTAGTCGTGTGCACATTTACCTATCTACTAATCGGCGCGGCCGTTTTCGATTCCCTGGAATCCGACGAAGAGTTAAGGAGGGATGAGATGCTGAAGGGTATTAGATTTTATAAAATTGCAACCATCGCCTGCTTTGCCCGTGCTCGATGAAAATTGGATTTAATTTCCCTAGGTTTTCAGATACATCGAATGCAATCAAAAGGAAATACAATATATCGGACGACGACTACAGAATGATAGAATTGGTTATAATAGAATATAAGCCACATAAGGCGGGGCCGCAATGGAAATTTGCTGGTTCGTTTTACTTTGCGACGGTAGTTTTGGCTATGATCGGCTATGGTCACTCCACACCGGTCACGGCAGGTGGAAAAGCCTTTTGCATGGGCTACGCAATGGTAAGGTAGATAGATGAATTGCAATTAATGGCACTGATGGAAGGTGTTTTAGGTGGGTATACCACTAGGTTTAGTAATGTTCCAAAGTATTGGTGAGCGTTTGAATAAATTCGCTTCGGTAGTTATTAAGCAAATGAAAAAATATTTGCACTGCAAGCGCGTAGAAGCAACCGAAATGAATTTAATGTTAGCAACTGGCATCTTATCATCAATAATCATTACTACTGGCGCAGCAGTATTTTCGCGCTACGAAGGCTGGACGTACTTTGACAGTTTTTATTATTGCTTCGTTACCCTGACCACCATCGGCTTTGGAGATTACGTTGCGTTACAGGTATTCCCCAACATTCGAATACCTTGATACCTCCATAATTTTGTTTTTAGAACGATAATGCATTGCAAACTAAGCCTGGTTACGTAGCGTTAAGCTTAATTTTCATTCTTTTCGGATTAGCAGTAGTGGCAGCTAGCATTAACCTTCTCGTTTTACGATTTATGACAATGTAAGTACCTTTTATTCAAACAGTTTTCTGCTTTTAACTCGCCGTTATGTTTAGGAACGCTGAAGATATTCGCCGAGACGATGCCGAACTACAACCATCATCTCAGGAGGTGTTGACGTTGGAGGGCGAAGTAAACGGTAGACTTTTGGCGGGTCATGCTCTAATTGGAGACGATGATATTGACCAAACGTCAGTGTGTTCTTGTAACTGTTTAGGAGCCAATCATACAGATAATCATGAAACTCTACTAGAGAACTGTTACCGTCCATCACATATTATCCTTTCCGCTAACTTAAAAGTTAAAAGAGCATCCGTGTGACATTCGCTTCATTATAAATTTAGTCTTCCATGAACGCGCTATCAAATACCTAGTTTTTTTTAGTCTCAGACCGCAGAAATCGAAACCATTAAAATTAAAAAATGATATAGATTATTAAGACAGATACGAATAACTTTGTAATAAACATTTTGTACTTTTACAGGTCATTTTTATACTCACTGTAATGTATTGAATATAATCTTTACAAATCACTAGGAATAGATTGTCGAACGTGGTTAGAATTTGTTACTTTACGTAATTGAGATACAATTGCAAGTAGAACAGAAATTCTAAACTATACTAGGTACTTCCAATTTTGCCATAACACACACACACACCTCTCCCACATACAAACACTCCAAGTTAACATTGCTGTAGTGATCCATTCTTTTTTTAGACGACAAATTGTTTACAAAACCTTTCCAAATATTGGGATGTACCCTTCAACACGAATATTTGAATTTCGGTCATGATAATTAACGAGAACACTTGACTGGCAATGTTGTATAAGTATCTAATGGCCGTTTGTACCGACAAATTTAAGCACTAGCTTAGCTTAAGCGTAGCTTAAAATCCATGGGAACGATTATTGAGACAATGGTTGTCATGGATTTTAAGCTACGCTTAAGCTAAGCTAGCGCTTAAATTTGTCGGTGCAAACGGCCATTTACACATTAAAAAAGTAGGGAAAGTAATTTTTTTTGCATTTTTTTGGAATAGAATTTCGATTGAAAGACGAATATTTATGCAGTTAAAAAATTTCTGCTCTATTAGCTATTTGCATCTCTGTTAAATACTTTTTATATAATGCAAAGAAAACTGTATCATATTATACAAACTAAAATAGCAGATAGGTTTCTAAATATTTACAAATTTAAATTAAGTAGTGCCGACTTTCAAACAATACAGTAGGTTTAGGCCACTAACGCACTAGACAGCCTGGCTGCGGCAGCCACGGTATGGTAACTAGTGAATGCTCAGGCACTGGGCGAGCTCGATTAACCAATCGTGTGTCGGATTGCCTAGTGCGTTACTGGGCTTAATTTCCGTTAAAAATATCAATACATAATTCCTGCCCAGTAAAAGAAATCATTAAAATATAGAGAACATAATGCAGTGAAGCGTAAAGTACGTACAACAATTGTGGAATTGGATTAGGTTTAGTACACGTTTCCTATTTTCATTTTAATGAATGATTTAACAATGTCGCACTGGATGGCAAAAAGCAAAATCATGTATATGGAATTTTTTTAGTTTATGAAATCCTACCCTCAGACAGTGCTAGTACGTTATTGAGATACGTTAAATTATTTAAATGACTTAAATGAAACAAATATATCTTTATTTTTTATATCACGATGCTGACATAAAAACTATTCAGATATCTGACAAATCTGTCCTAAAATGTTGAATGTAACACAATTTTACATAAACCTCGTTATATCACTAGTTATGTAAAAAACAGCAAAAAATGAATTATTATTATAATAATTATGTATTATTAAAATGTTTCTTTTTAAAATGTGTGTCGCCTAGGTATAGCTGGATGTAGATAACTGGACAACTTGTGCCCATTGTATGTTGGGTAAATTATTCAAAAATGTTGGTACCTACTGATCTAAACAAGTAAAAGGCACAATCATACGGAAAACTAGCAAAATGTTTGATTTCGGATGATCCTGTATTTAGTGCTCAGAGACAATATCTAGACAATCCGTTTGCATATACTCTTTGAAAATTAGTAACCGTTCCTTTAAACATTATTTTATAGAAAGTGAAAAATTATGATCTTTCTCATCAAGGACGTTAAAAACAATCCTGAGTAAAAATGCCATACTGTTTTGCGCAAACAAATAAAAAATACTCTGTCGTCCGGTCTTTTAACGTCCTCAAAACTTTCCTTTTGTACTTACTTTGAGATGACATTCTAACTACTTGCCAATTTTTGTACTGGTAGCGTTTTGATATACTAAATATTTTGATAGAACTTTCTTTTTTTTAAATAATTGTAAACATTTTTTTAATAACAACAAAAAATTGGTCCATTAAATAGTAGCAGTATGTCGACTACGGAAACTAAATCCGAATTGTATTGGATGTGTAGGGATAAACTCAATGCAGTTTGCATTTAAATGTCTCTTGTTCTATTACATCACACATGAAAACTACTGTAGCGCAATCGTTTAGATGGGGTATCCTGAATAGTTTCTACCTATTCCCGAAACAATGTACTCAAAACTAAAATCTGTTCCTTCAATCCGTTTCATTTCAGTGATTGCTGTTAAAAATACCTCCGAAGTCATTACATTCCTCAAATTGGCAGAAAAAATCTCATTGACTAGCTACCTAGAATATTGTTATCAACGTTAAATGTTATAAGAAAAAATGATGCTTGTAGTTAACAAATTTGATGTACGCTTATAATTGTGATATAATACACCCTTTTGTGATAGTTTAATTCATTGTATTTGTATACCTTACTATTTATTTGAATCAAATAAATTTCATAGGATGATAACACTAAATCATTGTTAATTGTACCCACTTGTTTACAAATTTTTTCAAGGAGAATTGATCTTTTTCTCTCTACTTGAATAATCAAAATCGTTGCGCCTCTGTTAACTTATTTGTCAATCCTGTACATGTTAAGTACTATGTATATTTTTTTTTGCAGACTTGATCAATGCCACATACTTTGGTCTATGATCTTATAAAGTTATTATTATACCTATTATTATTATCTGCTTCAGACCACTTGTGATAGCAAATTAAGACTAATAAATCTAAATTTCAAATTAGAAGAGATCGTTAACCACCGCGCCCGCTTTCTGCAATATGTTTCTTGTTATCGCCAGATATACTTTTGTTCATGTTCGCTATAAAGCGGTATATGTGTCAATTTGCCTTTGTTTAAATAAAATACAAATTCAAAACCAAATTTTTTAAAATCGCTAAGCGACCACCTGTTACATAATCGTTTCTTTCAGTCAGGTCACAGCAAGCTGTGGTCAGGTCGTGAATATTCTGCGCTTGGTAATTCATAAGATACCCAAAAAATTATACTAACATTTTAGAAGGTAGGTAATTCTACTTACTTCACAAAATATTCAAAAAATATGTAATATACTGATTTTGTGTTTTTATTTGAAGAACCATAAAGAAATAAGCTCCCTTCTCATTCCCATTTTTATCATTCCACAAGATTACAAGACCATACAGATTTCTAACATTTACAGTTTCTGAAATCCTCGTACTGTTCATTATTATCTGGGACACCTTGTATAGACTAATTAAAAATTGGAATTGAATTGTTAATTTTGAAAATGAAATTATCAGTTCTATATAAATCAGAAAAAAGACGTGGGGTCATTGGTTTCTGTAAAAAATACATAACAAGAGTAAAATGAGCACCATGCTAAAGAATTAAAATATTTTGTTTGCCTCTTTACCTCGCTCATTACGGACACATTCTTGAGCGTATTCTTGATAAGGACAAGAAGCTGAATAAAGATAGGACCTAGAATGCCGGAAAAAAACTTTAATACTTTGACAGACTTACCAGTAAAGTAGATTTAAGTAATGACGAAAATTAACTCTTGTACGCATAACAATAAGAAATCCATTTTTCAATTACTAAACATGTAAAAACTGTTGGTTAAAAAGAAGGTAATTGTTTACTTAGTGACAGTTTCTATATTTCTATCACACATTATTATAAAATGCATTTAAATGCGTAAATACATCACTATTATACCCTTCCAACATAGGCCGGCCACGTTTATAACCACACGACTCAAACAACTGCATTCTTGGTGTCTGGTACCAAAGATTTTTTATTTTACTTGCAATCGACGTATCCAACGTATTTAGCTGAATCACACCAAAATGGAAAATTTGACCATCTGTATGAATACACTGAACGGTTACTGGTTGAGGTAACACTTTCACATCCTACAAGCATATTTTAGCACATTACCTTAATACATCCTTTAAAAAATTTACTCCAAATTTCTGGCGCGCATACGATGCAGCGACAGTGTAGGCTTTCAGCAATGACCGTCCCAAGAATTGGTCTTCTGTCACAGGTTCTTCAAAAAGATTGCGAATATCGGTTTTATTGTAATGTACGAAGACAGTATGGGGACAAGATTTTTGTATAAAGCTCTCTACCGCTGGAAACAAAACATTTTTGTCAGTTACAACCCCAAAAATAAATATTACATATTTAAAATGTACTTAAGTAATATATGGCATAGGTTTACTCTATGCTACTGCTCAATGGCCAACAGTAACAAGTGTTCCATCACGGCCAATATGTGGTTGAAAGTAAATAATTAAATCAAAAACTGAAAAAGATACTTACGATATAAGTTTTTTAAGTCATAAATATTTTCCACATTTAAGCTAACGGTATATTTCACTGGATCCATTACCGGCAATTCCAAATTTTCCGTTGTCTCAGAGGAAATAGGGGGTAAAGGATTAGACGATGTTACCAAGCAATCGCCTGTTAATTGAAATTGGAATAGTTCTCCTGCTTTTTCAAATGGATACCAGAATGGCAAATCATTAATAGCAAGCCTCTGTTTGACTAAATTCTGATCGGCCAATAGTTCGATTGCTAGTAGTAGTTTAGTAACAATCAACTTGCTAAAACACAGGTGAGAAATGAGCACTACAGGTGGATAAGTTCATACTTCACTCGTTTTTCTGAAACCCCGTAATCGCGGGGGAAGTTCCAAGCTGGTCTCTCAGGATCTTTTCTCTTGGGCAATTTCACTTGCTCAGCATCGAACAGGTGAGAATTTAGAATAATACTTCTCACATTATTATCAATCTTGCTTGATGGTTTCTTAAGTTCAATAGAAAATGGAAGGCCATTGTGAGGTTCAACAGTATTAGTAATAATTTTAGCTTGCTTCAGTCCTTCTACAAGTACATCATTATCTGTATATGTGTGACAAATTCGGTCATGCCAATTTGGATGGGTGTTATCAAACTTTACGGGCTGCGGTATATAATCAGGAACTTCATCGATTCTAAAAGCAGCAAGTCAAACAAGTGCAGTAAAAGAGCACTGCATCAATTACAGATCTACTCTAGCAGGATCCAATATATCTCTTGGTTGATACAGTGGTATCCCTCTATCTGCAAGAATTTTTGCAATTCCTGTGTCACTGGCAACCTTCTTCCCTTGAGTTCTCCAGTTTTTCTTGAAATGCCATCCAATATGTTGTCGAAACAAGACGCTATAAAGTTTCATTTTGTGCTAATATTGGAAATTATTAATTAGAAATCAACATTTTAATTCAGATACTATAACCTAAAAATGTGTTCTGTGCTACAAAACAGCGTAAGCGTAGCCACTACCAACCAAACCATCCCTGTGTCACCGATGTGACGGATTTATTGTACATACATGGTGCTTCGGTTTATAAAAATGAGATCCGAAGAAATGTTACCACTCAAAATGAATTACGCCAGTAATTAACTTGTTTATTAAAGGCAGAACGCTTAGGAGATCCAATTGATTCATCCTATCGATCTCTGTACCATCACCCACTCCAACATTCACACCATCATTTTCCCCTAACACTCCACCGCCTCAACCGCTAGTCAACTTAGTTGCGGAGATAGAAAGTTGTAATAGTATTTTTTATAACGATTAAAAACCACACATTTCCAACAGACCAACACACGGCCGCATGACGGTCATACTGAGAGTGCGGTCAGTACAGTTTGTCTTTTTTGCAAAAATATTTTGGAAAAAACTATTCTACAATCGATATCCAAAGTAGGCATTTGCGCTCATATTTGACAACGCAAACGTCCTCTTTTTCGAGAAATGTCAGTTTGTCGATAAGCGACAAAAAGAGTTTTTGTCCTTGAGAGAATGGTTTAAAACCTGAGGCTTGCCAAGGGCTTTAATATGAGAACAAAAACTAGTTTAATCCAGGTTGCTTATACTATTTTTTCCAATAGCCACCGATTTAAATCCATTTTTCCATGAATTGTTCACAAAAAAAAAAAAAAAATGAGGGTAGAAAAAAATCTTGTGTGTAATTCGAGCGCAAATTGATTGTTGATTTCAAGAGAAACCAAAAACAAATATTCATCATCAACAGTTAATTATTGTAAATGTTTTTTAATTTTGCGTGTTCAGTGCTTTGTACTTACAAAAACATTGAGAATTAAGGATTTTTGATTCGGATCTGCATTCTTTCAGAATAGGTCAATTCAATATCCAGCTTTCAATTTTGTTTTTCTTGTGCAAATTAATGTATTGATAACCCAATGCTTAATGTTTTTCTGATTTAACCACTGCAATTGTGAGAAAAACATGACTTTTATTATGATAAAATATTTTTATTAAATATCACTTTCTTAAGATAAAAACTCAATCATCATCATCTTCCTTAATGTCTAATTCATCTTCCAGTTTCTTATCCCAATCTTTCATTTTGGCAGACATTAAAAAGTCATCTCTAAGTACGTTCCATGAAGGTGCATCTTCTGGTTCTGCTTTAGCCTTAGCCTGTTTAACTTTCCCTTTTTTAACATTTTGTTGTCCACCCATCAAAACATTCAAAAACTCCTTTTTATTTATATTTTTTAAAACTTTATCCTTTTTAACTTCCAAAGAACCTGCATCCTTTAATTTTGAGTCGATATCCTTTTGTTGTTTTTTAACGGCATTAAATAACTGAACAACACCTTTTGTGGCAATTTTGGAGAGTGTACGTTCACGATCCTTGTCTAATATGTTGGGTTTCACACGATATGATGGTAAATCTTTTCGCTAAAATTATACCGTGAACAACTACCAAGATATTAAATACCTACTTTCTTTGCTTTTGGTTCATCCTCGTCAGAAGACTCTTCAATAGTTCCTGTTCGTATCCGCCCGTCTTCTGTTTCTATTTCAAATCCAGCATCGCTTTTGGCTTTCTTCTTTTTTAAATCCGTGATTTTTCTAGCTTTTGATAAAACCACAGTTTTTTTGCCTTGTGGCTTATTTGTCTTTAATATCTTAGCAATAGAATCTGCCCAACCAGAATTAGTCTGGTCATCTTCACCATCGTCTGAAACCTCGGCTTCTTCCTCATTGCTAATTTCGCCTTCAGAACCTACTTCGTCGTCGCTGTCTATTTTGGTATCTGTAAAGCAATTAGTCACCTATTTGGTCATATTAATATTGAAAACAAACCGTCGGTTTCAATTAATAACCTTTTGGTCTTCATGGCCATTTTTTGTTTTGCTTTTCGAAAAGCATGTAAAATAAATTGAGGTTATAACAATAGACTACATCGAACTTATATACAGAGTGAGACATTATCATAAAATTTCCTTGTGGATTTGATATGAAAGCGGTTTTTCGCACTCAGCATGGTAAATCGTACTCGTACGTCGTACTGTTTCTAATTTGAACAAAAAGCGTGAAAAAGTTACGAAGAGAGGTGTGAAGAAAAAGATCAAGAAAGTGATTAAAATAGGTAGTTTATTAGTTCAGCGAAAAATTGATGGTCAACATTACAATACAACATGTTTACAGCAAAATTTTGTAATGAATAGGTACATAACTTGCACAGTGACTCAGAACTGTGGGTAGAACTCACAGAGTTGTATATAGTAAATAGAAGAGCAGTACATACGATCAGTGGGCGTCGAGAAATAACCCCAAATACAGTAGGCACCTATACTTATATAATTTAAACTTGTGACGTCTTTTATTTCAATGGTTGTGACACATATGCGCGGTGCTTGAAAGTGGGAATAAAAACCTGAACGAGCCATTAATTGATAAGGGTTTTTGCTGTTACACGGTACAAACTAAAAAAGCTAGATTAGATAGTTTAAACAGTGAAAAAAGGTTTTCGCCTTAAGTGCTATGACATACTATGCTGAAAACCGCATGCGGGAAACCGCATGCTGGAAAATATACTATTTCATGAGTTTTGTTAAAAATGAGGATAACTTGGAAGACAGGGACATTTATTGCTATAATTGTTTCCATATAGTACGGTCCACTAACCCAGTTAAACCGAAATTATAGAAAAGCTCTATTGAAATACTTTTTAACTTTTTAATAAACTGATAATTATAACTGATCATCTAATTGTATGCTTATCTCATAATACTAACAACTAAGACAGATGGAATATCTGCGTATGATCTTTAAATTTACTTAAATCGTGCAAATTATCCCACCAAACAGCCAAACGGTATTTAACTATTAGGTTCATCCAGGGACTCAAAGGACCATCAAGTGTGTGCAAGTATGACTTAAATTCACTTTTAGGAACATAAGCAATTGCAGATACTTCATTTGGGTTAGGATTTAGCTTAACATCGTCTTGGAAAAAAAGTATGTAATCGATTTCGTATTCCCCCCATTTACCATCTCCCTGAATTTTATATTTTACTCGTGTAAGATATTCAAATCGATCCAATGGCAAATGATCTCGGGGAATTCCAAGTTCGTAATTAAGCCGTCGTATAGCAGCTTTTTTAATTCCTAAAGCATCATTGACGTCATCCTCCCCAGCGACACTTGCTAGAGGATGGCTACAACACGAATTTGAATAATAACCGGGAAAGGTAATCTGAAATGTCATGATGCTGCTACTAGGAAACTCGCTGAAAATACTTACTTTAGTATCAGCTCGTTTCTGCATTAACAAATCTCCTTTTTTATTGAACAAAAAGACACTAAAAGCTCTGTGTAGAGGGAGATAACCGTCTTCTTTTACAGCATGGCATTCTTTTTTCGTAGCTGTGCCAATCACTTTATCGTTGTCATCCACAAGAAAGCACATCTCGTTTAATAATTTTACCTGAGTTGGATCCAGTGTTGAACAAGATCTTGTTAAATTCGAGGACCATTTCGGACAGCATCTTTTTGTACCCAACCGTAAAACTGTACAGATCATATTTGAAAAAAAAAATTCAATTCAATTTACGCGAAATGTTCAAATGAGACTAGGATACTGTAACACGTTTGGGGCCTTTATACATGTATATAAACCATCAAACAAGATCAAAGATCATAGAATTTCACGGCATATCGCCTGATAAGATTTATTTGAATTCTTTGCGATATTGGCGATTTAAAACTTTTTTTTCTCGCGACATTGTTACTTTAGCCATTAATTAAAATGCATGTTTGTACTCTCACTGACAAAAGTAATAATCGCCGAATAGGTAAAGCAACTAACATTTGAATATAACTGAGAAATGCCAACCACCAAAGTAAGGTACATCTCTCCCTGAAGAAACCGACGGAGGCCGATGTGATAGACATGTTGGTTCCTTATACTGAACAGTTTACCTATTAGGCGATCATTACTTTTGTCAATGACCGTACCCAGACTTAATTTCATTTTTTCTCACAATTTACGATAACTGTGTGAACAATTCACACAAACCTGAGTCAATATATAGCACCTAATTGTAGTTTCAAGATCATTTATTGAAATATGTAGGTAGGTACTGATATGATAGAGAACTGTTAAGAATGGAGTGTTATTGCTTTGCACAAATAGAAGGATTACTATTCAATTTGTTATCAAACCTCCCAGGAAAATCTCTTTCCTGCGAACAAATGTCCGGTAAATATTATTAAATTATTCCAGGGCCTTTCAGACTTTTTTCCACTATAGTTATCTAATGAATAAGATATTACGCCATTATTTTTGGTTTTATATAAAGCTACATTATTTGATATACATAAAATATCATTTTTATTTTTAGCGCATTTTTTATATTTTATAACACATGTTCTACCCTTCATGGTATTCTAATGAAAGATCTCATCGAAATAAATTGGTGTGTACAAACTATAACTTTCCCGTGCGACTCGTTTTCGAGATCAGTGAGCGACGCGGACTGAGGGGAGGGGGTTAAAAATAAATTTGATCTCTCATTGTATTCTAATTAAAGGTTTCAACCCTGGTCTCAACGAACGGAACCGTTTTCTACCAACTACTGCCCTTCTTTCCTCTTATCAAAGTATGTGGTGCAGGGGGCAGGGGGGAGTGGCACTAGTTTTATCCTTCATGGTACTCTAATGAAAGGTCTCAACGAAAGAAATTAATTTCTACCAACCATAGCCCTCCTCCTCGACCTCTTATCGTGATCGGGTATATTCCCTTATACCTCAAGAACGGATTGTCGGAATAGAGTAGGTACTCACAAAGGGCGATTGAGACGTCTGGAAGAAATATATCCATGCATGGGTGATGTCAAAATAAAAGCTATTTCGGTTTAAAAAAATGCGCGTTATATGCAGAAGAGTTGTGCACGATTTATACTTGTTTTAGTTTCTTATCGACGAAGGTGTAACTTAAGTACGAAAAAAATTGGGTAGTGAAGTGTTTAGTTACATATCTAGATACTTTTGAAAAAATGTAACGATATCTAGGTAACTATATATATATAGATTCATTTTTCATTATACCTATCTGGGCATCTTTTTTTGTTTTGTACCTACATATTGTTTGTGTATAAAAAGTTAAAGGCCCCGTGAAGTAAAAAATTTAAATTTACAAGAAAAAAACAATAAATAGTTATCCCGACAAAAACAAGTACCAAAAAATCCGGGCTTTCTACGTTCAGTAGATCGCTCGTAACACACGTTTAAAATTCCGTCGACCGATTCGGTGACGTCACCGCTCCCTGTTGAGTACGCAGGTCCTACATAGCGCACCTACTAACTCTGCAGTCGTGAATGCACAGCGATTTTAATCGATCTTTTTGAACGTACGTTAGACAATCAGATAATACGCAACTGCAAATGTATAATAGCCTAGCCGGTAAGTGTGGGAGCGGTGACGTCACCGCATTCGTAGTAAATATTTAAACCCCTGTAACTAGGAAACGGGACATGACACTGACACCGGATTTTTTTGGTTGCGTTTCTAAGAATATTATCTTTAGTTTCAATGTAGTCACAATTTATGCTTCACTGGGCCTTTAATAAAATTATCGAGTTATATTACTTAATAATTCTGAGAGCTCTATAATCTGTTCACCCAACAGATTCAATTATTTAGGCCACTCCCAATAAGTTTTGGCCAATGTAATAGCAGACCGGCCCATTCACAGTCACAAAAATTATAACAAGTTAAAAAGTAATCGTAAACGATTTACATAAAGCGCATTTCCACTTGCATTCATTTCCTATTTGTAAGATGCAACTTTTGTTAAAATTGTAAAAATCCGACCACAAATATGAAAGATAGCGTTGCACATGTGCAATCCATTTTTGACGTGCTACTTCAATTTCAGTTTATAAGAAGAGTTTCATTTCAATGATTTTCTAAATAAGAAAGTTGGAACTGCGCGTGCGCAAACCTAAATTTTGAAACTGGCGTTAAATTTGCTTTTATTCCAAGTGGCTATGTATCAAATCGGACATTTCTAAACAAAGTTATCGTTCACACGGACAGATAGATGGACAGACAGACAAAGGAACAGACGGACAGACCAACAGGCAGACGACAGATAGCAATGCAAAATTATAAACGACCTCTAGGATCGTTAATAAACGGCAAAAGTGTAAAATTATGGAACATGTAAAAAACGGTTTTTTGTTTTTTTTACAATAACTTTTTTTGTAAACGGTACAGAAAAAATTCCTTCCTTGGTACAAAACTCGACACCATAACGAACCAAATGATAAAGAACTAGTAGCGTCGCAAAACGAGCGGACGGACGGAAGGACGGACGGACAAAGTGGCCACAATAGCGCATTTTTTCTTTATTGTGGAAATGCGCTAAAAACTGTGAAATTTAAAATCGCATGTCACATTGTATGACCAAGTTATAAAGTGTTATGTTTTGAATATTGATCTTGAAACACACAGCAGTACATTATAGATTCAAATTGTTTATTAAGGTCAAAAAGATTAGTTTGTTCGTATAAATGAAATTACCGGCAAATTGAGGCAAGGCAAATAGAAAACGCAATGACAGGTTTGACGTTACGGATGTCAATTCAGATACGGTACTTAATTATAATTGGAAGCAAATAGTTAATAATAATAATAATAATAATAAACCAAAAACCCAAGCAACCCCACAAATACAACCTCAAGAACAAAGAAACACCATAAATACAAGCAACGCAACATGTACTACAAAGACAGGTCCATCCAATAAAGTTACACGCCCTAGCACAATTAAAAAACACAAAACTCCTTCTTCACAGAAACACACCACGTTATCACAACCCACTCGTATTCAACCCAAACGCAAAGCCAAAGAAACACTTACACAATAAACTCCATTTAATAAAATTACAGGAATTATTATAATGATATTACTGTTTTGTTTTCTTCTTTCCTGATATCGTTGACTATTGTGGCCATTAATAGCTATGTTGGTAAGTATGAATTACATACTATCCCTAGATTTCCAATGTGAGTGTGCGAATATTTATTTTATTTTTTATTTTTTATTTTTCTTTAGAACCCTACACTAGACACAGACACAGACACTAATCGTTACTTGATTTTAATCCGTGCGATTAGTTAACCAGGCTAGACCTGAGTTCTCACAAGAAACACCGACCATAATAATAATGTCTTTTATTAGCTACATTACAACAACATATATAAAGTACAGAAAAAAAAACAACATTCTGCGTGCTAAGTAGCTAATTGGGCGAAGTTCGAATGCAGTATCAGCAGAAACTGCATTCGCTCTTCCACTTAACCCATTTCCCAAATATACATATAAAGTTTTGAACGAAAGACTATATGGCTTCTAAATAATATAACATAAACTGGTGTGCGTGGTTGCAGCACAATTCATGAACGATTGATGAGTGCTGAAAATGTGAGTTAATGAGCGCGTGATTCGGTATGAGGGCTAAATAAATCCTATAAGATAACCAAATTGACAACGAGTTTATTGCAACTGACGATTAAGTAATAATAGTTGGATGTACTTTTTGAATTTGTGAGGAGGCAATCTTTTATACGAGTTTGGCAATGAGTTGTAAAGTTTCGCTATGTTGTAGCTAAAAGAGCGCTCATAAAGAGTGCTGATTTATGGAATGGTGGGGTGATTAATGCAGCGTACCTACTATTTGAGCTGAATCCGACCTTCTCATAGAGGTACCAATATGGAGTCTTCCCAGAGATTATTTTATGGTATAATGTAGCAGAGTGAGCGAATCTCCTATTTTCCATATTAAGCCATTTCATCTCATGTAATTTATGAGAGATTCGATTATACTTTCTAACACCATAAATCAAACGCAAACATGAGTTTTGTATTTTTTGTATCCTGTACTTATCGGCTGCGTCCAAACAAGGTCCGTACAATGCATCACAATAATTAAACTAGGAAAGGACGAGCGATTCGCACAGAATACTTTTTATCTGCTGACTAATGGAGCGCCTGTTACGAAAAATTAATTTCAAATTTAAAAAAGCTTTCTTAATCATCTCTGAAACTTGTTTTTTGAATCTAAGGTCAGAATCCAATACCACACCAAGGTTTTTTGCATAATCTTGAATTGGTAAGGTAGAGCCCTTTACACGTATTCGCACTGAATCTTTGTGTCGTTCCCTTGCCTTTCTCTTCCCAAACATCATAGCCAGTGATTTTGAAGTGTTAATGTGCAAACCATGGTCCTCGGACGTTTCAACTATTCTGCATATATCACTATTCATGAATTCAACCGCTTGTTCAATATTGCATTCGAGAAAGTCGTAGTGCAATTGGGTATCATCTGCATATTGATGAAATTTAGCATGCTTAGTTGCGTGTGTTACAGGTTTTGAATATTCGGCCAATTAAAAATGTTCATTTAAATTTGCCGGGAATTTTTCGGGAGGAGCTTAACTGCATCTGTTCGGTGAACAGATAATAGGTGGAGACGTTGCCAATGAATTAAACATGTCTATTCCTATTGCCACATTATATTACTGATAATGTGATGGTGTTTATAGAAATACTACTTTTGGAGTAGGTATTCATAAAATGAGTAAAATAATAAAGAAGAAATATTTTGAAACTAAATAAACGTATCAAAAGATTAGTTTCACACAGAACACGGGTAATAGACCATTTCTTATTGGAGGGATTTGTCAATGTAAACAATCTTAAAGGCATGATTTAAGTAGATGGTAGTAAATTGGGCCACATGTTTATATTTGAGACAAACAAATTTCAGTTTGTAATAAATTTAAGCCGTTTACTTACGTAGGTAACTAATGTGGAAAAATGTTTGTCTATACTACTTGAATTCTTAAAAAAAATTTATATCCATCAAAAGCATTTAAATGCTTTCCAAAAACATTTAAATAGTCCAAAAGTATTTAAATACTCTTGAAAGTATATAATTAATACCTTAAGGTAAGGAAATTTCCACCTACTTTTCTAAACGCTTACACAGCGACAAAATACAGGCACAATACACGACTTACCAGAGCACTGTCCTTCAATTCAATGACTATGAAAGCGTTTTCACAGCAACAATTAGTAGACTAATACAGCCTGCCGAAGTACAGCCACTCAGGCGCTGTCGATTTAATGTTTTCTCAGGCACAATATGCAATTCATTTGCTGGCAAAACGTATGATCCAAAGGGGAATACTTGTGCTACCATCCTAATTAACATCTCCATTATCTTAAACTTGCACATTGGAAGATGAAGTCGTTTTATCTGGTCTTTTTGCTTAAGGCAGCAGTGAGTATATAATCAAAATGTCCACTAGCTTTGAATTTTTATTCCATTAGAAACCATCTATGCAGAGATAATACGTATAAAAATAACACTTTTCAAATCTTTTCCATAACCCCAAATAATTCAGATTTATTATTCAATGGTATAACAATACCCATATATAATCGAATATATTATTATTATTATATAATGCAGTATGAATCGGTAACCTTTCCCATTTTTTAAACTAGAAATCAAGTTTAATAAATTGATCACAACATATACTTAAAGGATGTGAAGCCAATACATGCAACATAGGAATGTTAAAATCGGAGTATGGCGATATTTTGTTCCTATTAAATTGGGCTTAAAATTTCATCTTCGTGTAATGCATTTTGAAGTGTAAGTTCAATAAAGAAGAAAATATTAAGATATTTAATTATCATTAATACCCCAAGGTTGTCCGTATTAATTCTACACCCTGTATAGCGTAAGTGCAATCCTTACCTGCTATTCACGTAAAGAGGTAAACTGACCATTAAGTTATGCCTTAATTCTAATTATGACCACAATAAAATGCCACATGATTAATAACAATAATAATTAGGACAGATCCAATATTTGCTTATGATCTTTAAATTTACTTAAATCGTGCAAATTATCCCACCAAACAGACAAACGTTTTTTAACTATTAGCTGCATCCAGGGAGTCAAAGGACCATCGAGCGTATGCAAGTACGACTTAAATTCACTTTTAGGAACATAAGCAATTGCAGATATTTCATTTGGGTTAGGTTTTAGCTTAACATCATCTTGGAAAAAGAGTATGAAATCGATTTCGTATTCCCCCCATTTACCATCTCCCTGATCTTTATATTTTATTCGTGTAAGATATTCAAATCGATCCAATGGTAAATGATCTCGGGGAATTCCCAGTTCATAATTAAGCCGTCGTATAGCAGCTTTTTTAATTCCTAAAGCATCATTGACGTCATCCTCCCCAGAGACACTTGCTAGAGGATGGCTACAACACGAATTTGAATAATAACCAGGATAGGTAATCTGAAATGTCATGATACTGCTACTAAGAAACTCGCTGAAAATACTTACTTTAGTATCAGCTCGTTTCTGCATTAACAAATCTCCTTTTTTATTGAACAAAAAGACACTAAAAGCTCTGTGTAGAGGGAGATAACCGTCTTCTTTTACAACATGGCATTCTTTTTTGGTAGCTGTGCCAATCACTTTATCGTTGTCATCCACAAGAAAGCACATCTCGTTTAATAATTTTACCTGAGTTGGATCCAGTGTTGAACAAGATCTTGTTAAATTCGAGGACCATTTCGGATAGCATCTTTTTGTACTCAACCGTAAAACTGTACAGATCATATTTGAAAAAAAAATGCAATTCAATTTACGCGAAATGTTCAAATGAGACTAGGATATTGTAACACGTTTGGGGCCTTTCTACATGTAGGTATATAAACCATCAAACAAGAACAAAGATAATAGAATTTCACGGCCTATCGCCAGATAAGATTTATTTGAAATCTTTGCGATACTGGCGTTTTAAAACTTTTTTTCTCATGACATTGTTACTTTAACCATTATTTAGAATGCATGTTTGTACTCTCACTGACAAAAGTAATAATCGCCGAATAGGTAAAGCAACTAACATTTGAATATATTGTGCAACTGGCAACCACCAAAGTAACGTATCTCTCCCTGAAGAAATCGACGGAGGCCGATGTGATAGACATGTTGGTTCCTCATACTGCACAATTTACCTATTAAGCGATCATTACTTTTGTCAATGACCGTACCCAGACTTAATTTCATTTTTTCTCACAATTTACGATAACGGTGTGAAGAATTCACACAAACCTGTGTCAATATATAGCACCTAATTGCAGTTTCAAGATCATTTATTGAAATATGTAGGTACTGATATGACATTAAGAATTGAGTGTTATTGCTTTGCACAAATTCAAGGATTATTATTCAATTTGTTATCAAACCTCTCAGGAAAATTGGAATTGAACATGATCCATAACTCGTATGTGGTAGGAATCTTCTACTATTAATGCTATTAATTTGCAATGATAAATGTGAATTTCAAGTACCTATATAGAAAACCTCCTTACACAGATAGATAACCTAATTCCTGCCAATAGTAAGACACCTTTAGCTCATAAATTAGCAGGTTTGAATGCCTTAATTAACAGAGCTTTGAAAATTCCGATGAAAATTGATAAATTCAATGAGGAAATTAGTTTAATCAAACAGATAGCACTCAGTTATGGTTATGATCCAAATCTTGTGTCACGTATCATTTAGGTAATAAGAAAAGATATATATAAACTAGATTTACGTAATTGTTGTCGATTGACACTATTAGATGAGGATTGTAAAAGAACTTATATTGGAAGCATCCCCCATTTGGGTTTCTGAACTGAACTGATTCAAAAAGAATTTAGTAAATCAAAAATATTTGTTGCTTACAGGTGGCTTCTAATATTAGTAATCAATTTTGCAAAAACAAAGATAAATTAGAGAGGTTAACGAGATCTGGGGTGTATGAGTTACAATGTGGTAGTTGCAACAGTATCGGCATGACCACCCGTAGTTTTACAGATCGCGTAAATGAACACCGGAAATTAATTAAGGCCAATAATTTACTAGATTGTGAGTCTAATTATTCTGCGCATGTTTTGGAGACGAATCACTCCTTTGACATTACTAAGAATGTCAAGATTTTACATTTCCACGATAATTACCAGAATTTAATTAAAGAGCAGTTTAAAATATTTCAGTCGATTCAAGACCAGACTGTGAACTATAGAATGCACACGTTTCTTGATAAATGTTCTTGATGTTTGTTTTGTTTTGTAATTGTGTAAGGTATCACTTCGCTAAAAGCTGTCCACTAATTATTGTAGGCTTTGATAATGGCATAATTTGCCGAAGTATATGTCACCATTTATAAATTAAATTATAATGTGGTGAAGACTTGGTGTTTTTCCCTCGTGGATACTCTCAGGAAAATCTCTTTCCTGCAAGCAAATGTCCGGTACATATTATTAAATTGCCAATATTTTAGTAAGATATTACGCCATTATATTTTTGATTTTATATATAGGTACATTATTTGATATACATAAAATATAATTTTTACTTTTTTAGTTTCTTATTGACAAAGGTGTAACTTTAGTACGTAAAAAATTGGGTAGTAGCATTGAATAAACTTAATTTTGTATTCAATGGTAGTAGGTAGAAGGTACGAAAACGTACCTATAGGCAGTGTTATGATACATATCTAGATACTTCTAGCATTGCACCTAGATAAGGTACAGTAAATGGATACTTCTGAAGTATCTAGTTACCTAATCTAGATTTCTTTTGAAAAAATGTTACGAGATCTAGGTAACTATATTTAATTTCATTTTTCATTATACCTCTCTGGGCATCTTATAGGTACTTAGATACTTTGTTTTTGTACATATTTTTTGTCAAATATAAAAAGTTAAAAAAATTATCGTTATATTACATACATGAAAGTAAATTAATAGGTACCTACGAAAAAACAACCACAAAAATATCGTGCTAATTCTGAGAGCTCTAGTGGTATGACATGTTGACACAAACGGATGCTACCCACGCTTCAAAATTATACAATAAGTACTAGCATTGACTTTTTTTTTTAGTCAATGGTACTAGGTAGTGTTGTTATGGTAACGTAGTTTACGTGATACTTGAATTCTGTTCCTTTCTATTTATCCCGGCAAACTACGATTTTTGTACTCACAAATGAAATTTATTATACACAAAAAGTGGGTCTCGGTGAAATAGGTTAACGATTGCAACATTCGAACGCTAATATCAATTTTTGTTTCCAAGTAATTATCATCTTTTTACACAAACTCAAACTATTAGATGCATTTTTTTTAAACTCAATTACAGTGCCTTTCAGCCTTTTTCCACGATATGTTATCTAGATACAAAATATAAATATCTATATCTGTATATATCTCAGTACACTGGAACAAATGTACGTATCTAAAATGTGTAAAATGTTTTAAATATATCAGCTGTATCTAAATAATCAAATAAAAATATCTGTCACAACACTTCCTATAGGTACCTATGTTATATAATGCTGCACCCATCAAAAGTCTGAAGTCATCACATAGAATAATAGAACTGATCCCTAAGTCATCCTATATGTCTTTCCGAAATGGTAGTACGAAAACAATTTTGACGTTGTCGAATTGTAATGTTTAAGGATTGATGATCTTCAACTTTGACCGTGAGGGCTACAGAGAGTAACTGTGGTGACGTTGGGCACGCGTCTGTTTTAGGTTGTTTGTAGGTTTAATATTGGTTGTTTAAGTTTTTTTTAAAAACTCATACAGAGCATAATGTATTCCATAATAATCATTTTTTGCACAAAAAATGGGTATGCCCAACCAAGAAAAGTTGGACATTAGGTTTTTGTAGGTTTACGATCGTCTTCTTAAATTTGTTTCAAATGCAAACCTACACAAAAGGTGAGTTCCATTATCCGTTTCAGGAGTGAACAGAGCCTACCTACGGTGGAAAAGGTCACGTGATGACTTGAGCAAATTAATATAACTGTACAATAAACGAACGGAATGGAGTGAATGGACCTCAGAGTAAGGAATGAAGATAGAGATACCTTGATGCTCATCTAAGAGTGCCATTATCTCGCCCTGTTTACAAACATTGCAGGAAGCGAACTTTTCACATTTCACAAGAATATTAATAACACTGTAGCGAATATTCCAGAAATCTCAATAGACATCGAGGAGCCATCAAAAATTAGTCATCGACGATAAAGAACGAAAGCTGATGCGAAGTAATTTTTCCGAGAAATATGACGTATTTTGTAAGTAAGTAACAAATAGTTCCCACTGTTGTAAATTGCGTAATTGTAAATGATAAATAATAATTACTGTTATAAATTAATCCATTTTAAGATTGTTATAAATTTATTATTAGTTAATTTTAAATAAATAAAACCACGTCAAATTTAAGTTACAATACAAATATTTGGAAGGATCTAAATGGATTTATACGAGTTGTGAAAAGTTAAGAAAGAAAAGTTAAAATTAAACTCCTTAAGAAAATTAATTTTGTTTAGTGTTACGACAGCATGATTTAAGTAGATAGTAGTAAATTGGACCACATGTTTATATCTGAGACGAACAAATTTCAGTTTTTAATAAATTTAAGCTGTTTACTTACGTAACTAATGTGGAAAAATGTTTGCCTATAACTCTACTATACTATTTGAATTCTTAAAAAAATATTTATATCCATCAAAAGCATTTAAATGCTTTCCAAAAATATTTAAATGCTTTCCAAAAATATTTAAATGCCCCAAAAACATTTAAATAGTCCAAAAGTATTTATATAATTACGTAATACTTTTCCACCTACTTTTTTAAATGCTTACACAGCAACAAAATACAGGTACAATACACGACTTACCAGAGCACTGTCCTTCAATTCAATGACTACGAAAGCGTTTTCACAGCAACAATTAGTAGACTAATACAGCCTGCCGAAGTACAGCCACTCAGCCGCTGTCGATTTAATGTTTTCTCAGGCACAATATGCAATTCATTTGCTGGCAAAACGTATGATCCAAAGGTGCTACTTTGGGCCCCTACCATCCTAATTAACATCTCCATTATCTCCGAGATTATCTCAAACTTTCGCATTGGAAGGTGAAGTCGTTTCATCTGGTCTTTTTGCTTGAGGCAGCAGCGAGTATATAATCAAAATGTCCACTAGCTTTGAATTTTTATTCCATTAGAAACCATCTATGCAGAGATAATATGTACAAAAATAACACTTTTCAAATCTTTTCCATAACCCCAAACTAAATAAATAAATATGCATTTATCAAAATATATAAACAAATATATGTTTTGTTAACCTTTAACAATGCCTCTTCATCACAGAGAGTAACAATACCCAGGTATAAACGAGTATATAATGCAGTATGAATCGGTAACCTTTCCCATTTTTTAAACTAGAAATCAAGTTTAATAAATTGATCAGAACATACACTTAAAGGATGTGAAACCAATACATGCAACATAGGAATGTTAAAATCGGAGTATGGCGATATTTTGTCCCTATTAAATTGGGCTTAAAATTTCATCTTCGTGTAATGCATTTTGAAGTGTAAGTTCAATAAAGAAGAAAATATTAAGATATTTAATTATCATTAATACCCCAAGGTTGTCCATATTAATTCTACACCCTGTATAGGTAAGTGAATTCCTTACCTGCTATTCACGTAAAGAGGTAAACTAACCATTTATGTCTTAATTCTACTTATGACCACAATAAAATGCCACATGATTAATAATAATAATAATTAGGACAGATCCAATATTTGCTTATGATCTTTAAATTTACTTAAATCGTGCAAATTATCCCACCAAACAGACAAACGTTTTTTAACTATTAGCTGCATCCAGGGAGTCAAAGGACCATCGAGCGTATGCAAGTACGACTTAAATTCACTTTTAGGAACATAAGCAATTGCTGATACTTCGTTTGGGTTAGGATTTAGCTTAACATCATCTTGGAAAAATAGTATGTAATCGATTTCGTATTCCCCCCATTTACCATCTCCCTGATCCTTATATTTTATTCGTGTAAGATATTCAAATCGATCCAATGGTAAATGATCTCGGGGAATTCCCAGTTCGTAATTAAGCCGTCGTATAGCAGCTTTTTTAATTCCTAAAGCATCATTGACGTCATCCTCCCCAGCGACACTTGCTAGAGGATGGCTACAACACGAATTTGAATAATAACCGGGATAGGTAACCTGAAATGTCATGATGCTGCTACTAGGCAACTCGCTGAAAAAACTTACTTTAGTATCAGCTCGTTTCTGCATCAACAAATCTCCTTTTTTATCAAACAAAAAGACACTAAAAGCTCTGTGTAGAAGGACATTACCGTCTTCTTTTACAGCGTGGCATTCTTTTTTGGTAGCTGTACCAATCACTTTATCGTTGTCATCCACAAGAAAGCACATCTCGTTTAATAATTCTTCCTGAGTTGGATCCAATGTTGAACAAGATCTTGTTAAATTCGAGAACCATTTTGACAAACATCTTTTTGAACCCAACCCTAACATTGTAGAGATCAAATTTTTAAAAATCTCTATTGAATTTATGCAAAATGTTCAAATGAGACTAAGCAATAATGTAACACGCTTGGCACACGCTTCTAGATGTATATCACAATAAAAAAAGATCAAAAAGTCATACAATTTCAGAACTTATCTTCAGGTTAAGATCTATTTGAATTTTCTGTATTGGTTCAACCTTTAAAGAACACTCACTTATCACATTATCATTCTTCATGAATAAACAAATGCTTTATCAATGTTTATAAACCATCGTGAAAGTAATGATGCAGTAAACTAGATCACAAAACACAACACAAACTAGATATATATAACTCGCCAGGAAAGATTGCCGGTCACAGCACACCTTGTGTTGATCTACAATCTATGATTGTCTTAAGATGCGAGCGACTTCCAGAATAGGATCCTGCCAATGTTGAACGAAAAGTCTTTTTGTTCAACATTGACACGATACTATCCTGGAAGTCGATCACATCTTTAGAAAAACATAGATTGTAGACCGGAATCAAGTGTTCTGTGACCGGCAATCTTTCCTGGCAAGAGGTTTACATTTCCTTAGATCATGACATTTCTTAATTCTTGACCACAGAACTGTGACGTGACCGTGGTTGAGAAACAAGCAACTTTCTTTAGTGTCTAAACTACCGTCATGGTACTGCCTTGAGTAAAGGCGAATTCACATCAGAGACATGGAGAGAGGAGATCGGTGATCGACGAGTGCGCATCCAAGAAAGGGTGCGACCTCATGGGCGCTGCCATTTTTACACCCTTTTTGTCATGTTGTGTTTATAGTGGTGTTATTTTAGCGTGTGTTCGTGTTTAGGAGAGCTTTTTTCGAGGTTTAAGTGTTTATTTTGTAACGTCAACGTCACTGGCATTTTCTTTTGTTCATTTGGATTGAGATATTAGTTTCTTCCTACGGAGCTGCTGCCGAATAGAGTGTAGTGTATGAAGATTGCGTTAGATGTCTCTGGGTTGCGTCAGTAAACCTTTATAGTCCTGTTCAAATTTCGCGCTTCAATGGGTGTCAAAATGGCAGCCCCCTTGTTTTGTAACTTCGCGCAGTTTCATGCGTTATCTCCTCTCTCCATGTCTCTGATTCACATACCTACATCCAATATACACGTCAACGCTAATATCCAAAGTGCCACTGTTAATTTACGCTTCTGTTTTAATTGTTCTTTTTACATGTGTGTTTGATTCCATTCATGTATAATAAATCCCATGTATCTACAATGTCTAGATACTTTGGAAAAAGGTATGTACAATATTAGACACTTTAAAAGTATCTGTTCCTAACTACAAGTATCTAGATGTATCACACGGCAAGTCCTTAGGGATTGCTATCCTGGCGGCGGATGGACATCTTCGCCAGTGATGTCTATCCCAAGGAATGCGAGCGACGGCACTCCAAATTGGCATTTGGCATGCGGTAACAATTGATTTGTTTTAAAATTTAAATCAAAGTGAGTGCAATATGAAGGCCTCAAACTCATAACTTTGTACGTTAACGCACTTCACCTCTCACTTCTTGTTTTGCGTAATTTTATAATTTATATTTATGCAATTAACTTGTATAATGATCCACTGTTTATTGCTGCTCAATTGTTACCCTAAGCTGACTATAGTTGGCTATATCTTCAAAACAGTCGAGAATAAAAATAGTTTATTAGCGTTTTTTGTCTTCAAATAACCTCTACTTCAATTTCCCAAAGTACCTATTGCCCATTCCTCCTGGGACACCCTGTATACAACTCGAAAGTAACCATGTTCTGTTGAAATTCAAATAAAAGGTAATATAAGTAAATTTACTGATCCATAATTTATGTGCATTACGAAACAATTGGTCACTCAAAGCAAGGTTTAAATCCTTTTTTTCTATTTAAATAATATTAATATAAAAATGAAGCAATACATCAAACACGTGTTAAACGATTTTTAAATTATGAAAAAGATTTAAAGCAAAAATTACTCATGGTTTGATCAAACTTCAAAAAAATGATTTGTTACAACTCTGGAAATAAAAAATAACTTACTTTATAATGTATTATTAGTCCAAATAGGATACTCTTTGGGAGTATTTCTGTTTTAAATTTAGTTATTTACAAATGTTCAATTCAAATAAATAGAAAGTCGCATTTTCTTCAGTAGATTAACAAACGGAAATCTGTCAAAGTAAAGAAAACACTATACATATTATGGTAATATCTTAAAACTATTTATTGAATTAATCAGCCACTGTACAGTTTGATATTTAATTTGGTCGGGAAAGGTTTTCCTCTTAAGGTTTTTTGCCTCATCATATATAAGGTAGCAAGAAACTGTTGCATTACTTTCAGTTTTGCAAGTGTGATATGGATAAGACACAGTGTAGTTGGATCCACTAGGAGCACGTGTATCTATTTTACCTCCCCCTAGATAGATTAATGTTTTAATATCTTCTGAAGTATACTCCATATCGTTTACAGTCTTTTTTGATATGTTGACCAAATAAAAATGAATTCCATCAAATAATTTCGGTAACTTATTTAAGGAATTCAATCCAGCTTTTGATATTGCATAGTTTGGTACATCTGCAAAGTAGTTCATTGGGTTAAGTGCAGAATGTTTTGATATTAAATCGCCGACAACTGTAATCAGAGGATTGGTTTAATTTTTTTAAAGGTGCTACGAGTACTTACAATCCATGCTGCAAATGATGGCCCCTTGAAGCATTGCAGCTTGTAAATACATTAAGTTGGGTTTGTCGTTGCCAATTACAAAGTATTTTACATTTGAAAAGTTCAGTAAATGAGCCTTTTGCATTAAAGTTACACCTGGCAATTGTCCAATTCTATCCGAGATATCTTTACTGACATTATTCAAAAATATTCTCAACTCGGGAATAACATATGTTCGCACAATGGAAGGAAGCATATTTGTCATACAAATTGCATCTCTCATGTCATCACTGTCGCACAAATCTCTGCAATCCTGCCAGTTATTGGTACGAAAACTAATTACTCACCTACAAAGGTGTTTTTCCATCTTTATTGTAAGCTGTACATCTAGCACCATGTTGTATAAGCAACTTAGCGATCTCATCGTTCTTTTCCAGTACAGCACTATGAAGAGGTGTTAAATAATCCAAGCCGGGGACATTAACCAGCGCACCATTGGCCAAAAGTAATTTAACAATACCAACTCTTTGGTTTAAAACCGCTTCATGCTACATCAAAGATCTGTACTTGACAACATAGGCAACATAAATAAATTACTAATGGAGTCCAAGATGCAAAATCTTGTACGTTAACGTCCATTCCAGATTCAACAAGTGTTGACACTGAAGCGATGTTTCCTGCTCGACAATATTTATGCAATTGTGTCTCCCCATTGTGGTGACGCTTGTAGTTGTAAGAGTCCGAAATGAACAGGTAACTAATTTTAGTTGTACCACCTACATGAAAACTTGTAGTCTAGAGTAATCTTTTCTTAAATGTGCCCCTTACTTACCATTTTGAATGGAGTTAATAAATTGGTACAAACTGTTGACATGAGATAAAATTGTGTTTATATCCTCAGAATTTTTTATGTTCTTGGACCGATGTTTACTGTTACACACTGGGCAGCTTCCACTTAGTTTGTGGCAGTCATCACATAACAAATGAGTACAGCTACTCAGTCGTTTTAAACACAGTTGAAAAGTACCGCTAGATTCATTTAGTCAAGTACATGGTCATATAAAATGGAACATTAATATAGGCTTACCAATCATTACAAGAAGTATCGGTTCTCAAGCTGTTAATTGAGGATAATAGATCACTTTCCGAGGACATCTTTAAGGCTCGGATACAGTAATCTTTATGCAGAATGTTTATTGCATGATAACTCTCTTGGTATACAAAACAGAAATAATTGAGGTTATGTTATGAAAAATTCCCTCCAAATATGTACCACCGAGTCAGAGGTTTGTAACCTGTAGGAGTATTATGCAAGTTCAAATTAGAAATAGAAATTTGAATTTTTTGGAAACGTCCAACATGCATTTCAATTTATTTTATAGGTAATAATAATTAATTGAATTGAATTTTATGTACCGGAACCCCTACCAAAGTCTACCAAACTTATCGGCGGGTTCCACTGAACTATATTTTATACAGGGTCGGTCACAGGAACGTGATATACTCGTATGTTCTTAAATGTATAGTACTTGGACGATCGTTTTAGGAGGATCAGGTCGCCGGGTTAATGTATATCAATGGCTAGACCAACGCCTGTATGCATAACGGCTGTTCAGTACGATTTCCAGTCTAAATGCAAGTATTTCCTCACGTAACAATATTGCAATAGGCAACCAACCTTCAAACAACTGCAACAATACTAAAAAAATTGCTAGCACAGATACCACTGCTACCACTGGCACGATGCAATAGTTCAACCGTAATATGCAATAAAATTGACAGATTTTTGTTAGTTTGACACACTTGCGCATTTTAATTCTGCCCAAAAGCTGTTCAGCTCTTCCTTTATGTCTAAGAATAGGTGTACCAAATTTGGTTTCAATCGGTTCAGCCGTTTAGCCCAACATGAGAGTACAGACAGACAGACATACCAACCGACATCATAGAGCTTTTGCTTGATTCGCATTCATGGCACTTCATAACGTGCATTTACGAGAAGGAACGCAAAATGAAGCATTATGATGGCGTAAATAGTAGGTATAATTTATTTTGAATAAGTTATTTTAATCGTCAATAATCTCGAATAAGCAATAGCGAAACTGTTGTTCATGGTTAAGATACTTTAGTGCAATTTATTGATAAGAAAGCATAATAAATATAAAGCCAATACACAAAACATGATAGCAAATACAGGTTTTAAGCAAGTCGGAAAACAAAAAAAATTAGTTGGGGTACAAGCAGGTAACAAAAAGAGGTAGCTGTGCAACGCCCTCCGCCGCAACATCGCGCACCGTGTCAATTTTGCTCTAACAATTTGAAACGTTAAAGTTGCATTAAGAAGATCTAGTCTGATAATCCACGCCCTTAGACCATATAGTACATGGACTGCTAATTGTAACGAAAATATGGTCAAGGACATCGCCTGGGTATGTGAGTTTCAGGGTAAACGAGTCTGTCCGAAGTTGTCCGAATAGACACGATTTGAGAATGTCAACCTATAAATTAACAAACGTCAATGAATTAATCGCCTAGATATGCCAAAAAAGCAAACCTATTGTTATTAGTGGACGTGTAGAAGATAATCAAGGATATTTAAAGCTTCCTGTACTATGTGGTTACTATAAAAACTACTCTTTACGCGATCCGTGTGGTGTTCATACGACTTTAGTTTACCCTGAGATTCACATACCCACGACTACAGTGCCCTCTATCCGTGACCACCCTTTTGTATTGAAAGCATAGGGGTAATAGCAGTCCATGTACTATATGGTGTAAGTCCACGCCACAAATACCAATCAAACAACCAATAAACAAAATTTCAAAGGGATTCCCAAAGGTTGTCAAACGGCCCCAAAGGTTTTTAGAGCCCTTGAAAGTTCTTACAAAACGCTTGCCATGGTTCCAGAGATTTCCAATAGGTATAAATATCAATCTCAAAATGACTGCAAGAGTGTCCAAGGGTCTTTCAACGAATGTTTAAGGAAAAATCTTTGGATTTCTTGAAAAGTATTAGGTTTTAGAATCTCTAAAAGTGATCACCAATATTCATGAGTTTTGTTAAATATTTTTTACAGTTTTTTTCAGAGCTTTGAAGGAACTTTAAGAAGATCTTTTAGGTCCTTTCAAATCATTCGGATCTTCCCGTTTTAGGGTACCCTTTAGAGCATAAGGAAGTAGACGAAACAGTTTGGAGATGAGGATTGACTAGGAACCGTTTAGAAGCCCCCACAATATTCACCCCTTAACTTTTAGGCGAGACAGACCAGTTCTAGGAAAAGCAGCTTTAAAGTCTAGGGCAAAACACGACTTATTTAAAGATTCAACAATAAATTGTTAATGTACTGTAAGGTAAATTCAAATGCATGATTTATTTATGTAATATTAATTATTAATTAATATAGAAAAGTCTTGTACAGTAGTACATCAATTTATAGCATGTAAATTTATCACATACGAGCGCTTCACTATTTGTCACTTCGGCATCATGAATATTGGAACTTACTTTTAGTACGTTTCAATAACGAATAGAAAGTTTCTACAAAAAATCAAGTACATTCTCGAAAACTGTAGAATGTGTCTCATATTTCAGGGAAATAATGTCTTGCCTTCACTTTCATTCCTTATTGCCGTTGACTAACCTTTCATCGACTTCATGGAACCTGCTCTGCTGGCGCCCCGATGTCTGTGATCCCCGCTACAATACAATGTAGATAAATGCAAATCTTCTGCTCATTACTTTCTAAGCGCGTTTGTTCAACTTTGAGCAAATAAATACATTTATTACAATGTCGGATAATGTTTATTTAAAGTTAATAAAATGTGTCAAAATGTAAGTAAGGATGTAAGGATCGAGGTAACTAATGACGATTGCTATTTCAACAAATGAACAATAGAAACAAATAATTAGAAAATTGTATTATATAGCTAGAGAAGGTAGGCATAGTAATTATAAGAACAAGCAAACGTTACAAATTGCAACATGAATTATGAATGAAGTAACAGGTGCTGCCACCTTTCTTTCGATTTGATGGAACCAGTAAGAGCGGGCTCATTACCATATAACGCTTCTTTCAGTAAACGTCGAAGTTTTAATAAATGTGTATGTAGGTAATAACTACCTATGCACATTTTCCAGTAAAATTAAACAGAATATGTGCAACACTTAGTAAAATAATTCATAATCTAACGTAATAGTTTATTCTCCATAACTTCCAAAATGTGGAGACGTTTATTGATATATTGTTTCATAATGCGTAAGTATGAAATTCTCCTTTTTATGACCAGTATCATTTAAAATGAAAACACAATTAGTTTATATACGTGTAGAGACATGTTAAAGAGGATCGCCCTATTTATAATTTACACTTCGAGCATATCAAGTAATCAAGCTCCAATGAGCACTTTGATCGTAGATTATAAGCAGAGCATTGCTCTATACACTTTATTCAGTTGCTTAGTTAATCTTTTATTTCATTAAACATTTATTTTTAATTTAGTTTAATCGATCAGTTTCCACTGAACCTTGAATATAAAATATTCAATCTCGCAAGTTATCCTTGCTTACTGGTAGAAATTGAGCAGAAAAATTGTCCAAAAAAGTTAACTGTGAGTATTTTAGAAGTTCCTACAGGATATGTATACTGTATACATGGTACAACATCTAAATATGTTTTTTTCCAAATAAACTGAGGGTAGGAAACATTTGATCTGGAAGATAATCTCTTTTTCTATCCGATTTTGTCAACAATAGTACGGTATGTCATACTCGAAGGATACGTAAGTATTATCGAACGAAATATGGTAGTTGGTGATCTTATGACTAATGACTTGCCAAATAACGAATTTGTTTGTTTAAAAAAAAATGGAAAAAAAACGAATTATTCGAGATATATTGTAACGTAAATTTAATATCGCACACGAACGAAAATTAGAATACGGAAGTCAAAGCGATAATATTCAAATTAATTAATATGAATGGTAGATCTTCATTTGTTGTAGGTAGTTATTTTGGTTGCATAAAGTCAGGCATCCTTTAGAAGACTTTTTATCCTGTAAAAGTAGACATAGGAAATTCCTATAAGAAATCCCTATGTCTACTTCTACATGAATATCACTGTATATTCGCTACAATGTGCAAAAATTGTATGCAATCCTGGCAATTTCCTTTGTCCGTTCTACATTAAAACTGCAATTTTTGAAACTGAACAAACTACAATGTTTAATAAACTCTTTCTACTACAGTTCCTCAAGCAATAAGAGCAGTTCAAATAAACTACATAAAAGTTCCATCAGCCGTACAAAATGACTCAGAGCACTCCATTATACTAGAGTGCAATTACTCGCTGCGTCCAGATGATGCCGGACTGGTTGTTAAATGGTTCCTAAACGACGCCGTTGTTTACCAATGGATACCTCCAAAAGAACCGCAAGCATTAGGCGTAATGAAAGGCAAACTTAATCTCGACTATGTATCATCAAACGATCCAAAAATGATGTACAGATCAATGAATATTATTAACCCTACAACCGAGTTGGCCGGTGAATACAAATGCACCGTGTCCACATTTACTGATGAAGATTTCAGTCTGAAGAATATGATTGTTTTTGGTGAGTGATTCTGTTGTCAACAATGATATCTTTTTATTCCTTTTAGTTCCCGAAACTTCTCTGGAATTGTCTCATAGCGGTTTTAGTAATAAGCAAATAAACTTCACGTGCACTGCTTCAGAAGTCTATCCTGAACCCAAGCTTATCATTTTCAAGGATGTTAAGGATGAATATCACGACAGGTATATATGTTGATGATCGGTTATTGTGGTCAAACCCGCCCTATTTACAGGAAATATCTAGATGCCGTTGAGTGGAGTACAAGTAGACTGCCCAGCGGAAGATTCTCTCTAACTACAACGACTTCAGTCCTCTTGGACACCATATCGCCTGGTTCTCTGGTACATTGTGATTTAAAAATTCCTGGTACTGGTTACGTCAAGCGAAAAACGATGCTTTACTACCCTATTAGTAAGGACAGTTCTCAAAACTCTACTGTAGACCCAACAGAAAATGTAATGTGACTTGTATGTTCTGCACTTTTTAAACGACCAAGATGAGAATCCTATAATTGTAGCTTGTGTACTTAACTCTAAAGTTTATAATTCCACTTTCATTGCCCTAGATCATGTTAAACTTCCGCACTTTCCAAGGTAAGTACCGGCTAAATATCGCTAAATAGAGCATGCTACTACCGTTGAGTGAAGGATTAATTACTCAATGCTACTACCGTATTACTCAATGCTACTACCTTATAACCCAACCATTTACTAAGCTATTTCGGATGTTAAAAAATGCACAAGAGTTGTGCACAATTTATACCTGTTAATGCTGGTGTTAATTATGCTGATTGAAAGAATTTGCACCTAATAAATCCTGTGAATAATGAAATGTATCTGTAAAATTTCCATTTTAACGCATTTCTACAAAAATTAAAAAAAAATGCGCTATTGTGGGCACTTTGTCCGTCCCTCTGTCTGTCCGTCCCTACAGCCGTTCGGTGGCTACTACTTCTTTATCTTAAGAGCTATTTTCTACTTTTCTCGCTATTGGGTCGTTATGCTTGCACCAAGAAAGGAATTTTTTCTGTGCCGCTTACGAAAAAAAGTGATCGTCAAAAATCAATTTTGTTCATGTACCATCATTTTACACTTTCCTCGAGATGATGATTTATAATGTTGTATTGCTGTCTGTCTGTCTATCTGTCTGTATCCGTCTGTCAGTCTGTGTGTCTGTGTGCAATCCAATATTTTTATTTGGTAAGATATTTAGAGGATTTTTGTATGTAGACACCTCGAATAGTGGTACACTAATAATGAATCAAAAAATTTGTTTTGCGCTTGCGCAATCCGATTCAACTATAAACACGTAAAACAATAATTGCTCATGCCCAGACCCGCAAATTCGTTATTTGTAAACCAATTCTTCTAAAATTTTAGGATGAGATTCTTTTCGTAAACTAAGATGAAGTAGTACGTCAAATGTGCAACGCTAATTTTCTTATTTGTGACCGGATTTTTACAAAATTTTAAGAGAAGTTTCATCTTACAAATGAGAAAAAATACATTTTATTAAGACTATAATTAATTAAAGTCACTAAATATAGAAAGTACCGCAATCCATTGGGCTCGTGTGTTAGAGAGAGAACGCATGATTTTTGCCCAAAAATGGCGGAAGTTACCAGATTCTAGTAACTTTAATGTTAGGGATTGTTCCACCTGTTTGGAGATATCTGTATATATTTTTATAAAACATGACAGTACTATGAAGTTAGGTTATAAAAAATGACAGCTATTCAGATTTTATTTGTCAATTTTTTTAAGTTGGCAGCAAATTTGCCCAAAAATGGCGGATGATTGCGGTACTTTCTATATCTAGTGACTTTATAATTAATAATCTTATTTAAATAAATAATTCAGATATTAACGTTTATTGAAAAACATTTGAAAAAGATCAAGGTAGGTAAGATTGGTTGCATATCTTAAGGGGTATTTGACATATATTTGGGAATTGAACATAGGAGATTTGCTGTTAAGTTGTAGTATCATGGGAGATTTGTATGTTCAGAGTTAGAGTAACTGTAAATAATTATGTGTTTTAAATAAGTAGGTAATGTTAAATGTTGTTGTGCATTATTGAACGTTTTTAAAATAAGAAACATTACCTAATAAAGTATTTCTATTTTCAAGCAGACATGGATAATGGACGAGGTGAGTTTTATTAAAATTAGATAGGTGTCTAAAGCAGTAGACATTAAAGTTTTAAATCGGATTTTAGGGAATTGAAGAAGCTCTTACATTAAGCAATGTCTCAAAATTTGGTGCCTACTTATTTTATTGTAATCTCTAAATTAAATATGAGCACACATATACAATGCTTAATAAATGGAACTTGATTTAACAGAATAACGAGAAATTAAATACATTAATCCTGTAATATGATTGTCCAATTTCACAAGTTAATCTAGTCCTATACAAGCCCCGTAGGTACCTACATTTCGCTTAAATAAACCATTACCAATTTATTATTTAATTTTACTCTCATTTTATACAAGCTGTGTCCAACGACGAGATGAGTAGATTATGACTTGTTGTTTAGTCACTTCGTACGACACGCAGTGCCCTCTGCGGTAGGGGTATACTTTCCCGCCCCTACACGGGTCGGTTAAAAAACACAGCATTAGTATATCCAACCCGATGAAAAGAGAGAAAACAACCCTTTTAAATTATATTTGTACATATATTACACGTAAGGCATAAATCTTATTTTTATGAAGTTTTTCTTTGGTTGCTCACTAACTCACGCTTTACAATTAAGAATTACTTACAATAAAATACAGTCTGATCTATTTCACTAGTGATAAAACACTGTCAAATTAGCAATTAAAACATTTACCGATATTGATATTATTTTGATATGTTTCAGACTCCACCATCACCCAACAGAAGAATCGATTGTGGAAAATTTGTGTATTTTGCTTAGCTATATCGCTATTAAATTAATTGCGTTCTTATCCATAAAGTTTGTCGCCTCTTTATATCAAAATCAACATGAAATATTCGTGCTTTCTGTTTTGAACTTAAGTGTAAACTCCCTCTGTAACTTTGATTATTATATCTGTGACGTAACTAACGAAAGACTTCCCCACCTGGTACTAATATTCAAAGTTTTAATTGTGACAAACGTATCATTTTTATGCTGCGTTTTACACATTTATTTATAAGTTTATGATTTTAATAACCTCGGGTGTTATAGACAGATATTAAACGCCTTCCCATACCGAGCAATTTGGAAACTGCCATAATTTAGTGTATTGCACGAAACATTATGAGTGTATTCGATTTATGTAATAAATCAAAGTATTTCTATTCTACTACTTAATTTATAGACCTACCTACATAGTGTCAAAAAGCTTATACCTAGACCAATTTCAAGTGTATGAAATTTGTACCAAGTAACGGTAGACTCTGTCCATCAGTTACAAGGGCGACATAAAATGAAGCTCAGGTTTTCTTTTGTTCTCGAAGTAAATGTCTTCTACTCTTCCGCATATGCCCATACACAATATTTTTTCTAATCTTTACATTTAAAGTGATACTTTTCATCACCAGTAGCGAAATACTATACTTTTGTGGTTGTGAAAAGTAAGGTGTTTGACAACGTCAACAAGTTTTAAAAAGTGTCATTTTAAATGTCAAAATTAGAAAAAGGTTATTTCACACTTCACAGTACATCCCTGAATATCGCATCAAGCATCAACCACGATGTCTATAAGATGGATGGACTGAAATGAAGGTGGAGCGTAAACAAACTTGAAAGAAATCTACAGCATGTTGGTCGTTCCTCAAATCCTCAAACCTTACATAACAACGTTCTCTGCGCTTTTGGTCGACTACACAGAAAAAATTTTTATTAATTTATTATTATTTTATCTGTAATGTACACATATATTACAAAGTTTATATAAATTTACCACTCAATATCTTACACCTACATAGTACCTACCTAATTAAAAAAATAACAGCTACTGTTTTAACTTTACTTCGCTGTCACGTGTTGAATCGACAATGTGTTGTCTCAAAAGTGTGAGCTGTTTAAGATAATCACTAGGAAAACTACTGGTTTTCCTTATCGAATGACGAGGTAAACTGCCATAGTCTGATGACGTGCCTTGGCTGTTCAAACTGTAATCCTCCGATTCTTCGGTCGACTGCAACGTACACAATAGTGGCCTTTTTCTCTCAATTTTGCTGATGTACTCTTCCAATTTGTCACACGAGTCTTTTACTAGAGCTTCGTACTCGTTTACAGGAATTTGAAATGGCGTTTCGGTATTCGCGGACACGTCGTGACAAGCACGTGGTGTTGTTTGCGATGAGGCTTCTTCGACGGCGGTGGCTTGTGCGGAAAAATCGTAACTGGTGGTGTGGTCGTTCCAGTTTGGTAAGGCGCTTATGTCGTTCACTGTCAGTTGCACGTCGTATGATTGTTCGGATTGAAATTTAATGGCCGCTTTAGACAAATTCTTTAGTAGGTCTGTGGCTTCCTCCATAAATTTAGACAATGCATTTAATACACGATCATTTTCTTTGGGGGAAAATTTAATCTGTTGATCTTCATCTGTATCTACCGCTCTCGAATATCTCCTTTTTCGTTCGGGCGCTTTCAACACTTTTGGTTGATAACAAGTTGAAGTGCACAAAGGAGGTACGTTCCCCATTGAAGCGTACGCCATTTCAAAATGTGGTTCGCAAATATAATGGCATTGATGTGTGAACGTTTGGGGAGAGGTTTGCTGTTGTGGTCCGTACGAAGGTGTGATATTGATCGAGGATAAGTTTTCTAATGAGTTGGTTTCAATGACACAGTTCGCTGCACACATGGGGAGTATTGATGAATTGAAATATTGACACGAATATGAAGACTCCGACGTTGTTTCGTAGGATGCGTATTTTTCCCTCAATAGGCTGGCTTGTAATGGCTCTGGAGATGGATTTACATTGCCGTGTTCCAAGGAATTATGATTGCTTATGATATCTGGAGTTGGAAGGTTAACACTACCCGCCTGATTGTTATCATCTAGACTATCATCAGATGCAATATCTGATAGTCTTTGACGGCCGATGTAATTGTGCGATACGTTTATGTTAACAGTGTTAGTATAAATCGGACCACCATGTGCAGGATTCACTATTTCTATCGCGGGCTCCTTTATACTTTGAAGATATTTGGTAAAAGACACAGCAGAATTTTGTTGCTCCCGTGCCTTTTGAGTTTCTGTTAAAAGAAAATAATGTATATTAGTTCAGACATAAAGGAAATACCTTACTCTCTGGTTCAGATAAAAACATAAGAATAAAGTGACATGTCAGATTAGACCCTACCGCTATCGTAACGTTTGGACAGATTGTTGAAAAGGTTCTCAAATATCTGTTAATTTTCTTAAAAGAACCTTATGCGTCAACCAGCTTAGGCGAGAGCTTAGGTATCAGAAAAAATATATTGCGCTCGCTCTTTGCAAAATTCTAATTACTTACTTTGTACCTGACCAACAAACGTATGGCACTATCCTTTGTTCTAAATACCTAAAACATTTGACTGCGCAGGCAACGATATCGTCCGGGGTAAATACACAAGAGCTTGATTTTTAATCGGATAATTTTATTTTTACACGAAAGTTACAACGGAAAAAACTAGAGATCAAAAGCGTGATTCGCAACAGATGATTGGAATGTATTAATCTTAAATAAAATAGAAACCTATGGGTGACGAGGGAATCTTCACAAACTTTTGAAAAGTTATCTAACTAATAGAAGGCAGTTTGCGCACTGTTAAGGAGTCAATTCAAAAGAGCATGTCATAGAGGGGTTCCTGCCCTTTACTCCACATGTTGTACTGTAACGATTATCTTTTAAAAATATAAATGATTTGACTTAACGATTTACATTCAAATTCGTTTCACTCAACCAATATCATCGAAGAAAAAATTTAGTTTTAAGTCAATGGAAGACATTTTATTATGAAAATTTTGAAGCAAAAATAAGCTCTACCGTTGTGTGTTGGTAGTACTAGCGGTATACCAAAAGATACTGCATTTTCTTATACCAAGGTGCCACTTGGTACAGCTGTTCCTTAGAGCCATTTAGACTATTTGGCCCGAAGAACACTTGACATTTTCCGTGTGGGTAGATTTTAGAGGGGGTGGGGGTTATTTATTGTAATATTTTTTTTTAAACTAAATATAGCCTAGAGACGAGATCTGGGTGTCGATTTCGTATGATTTTAACCCGAGGAATCCAATCTCAGACGAGGTCAGCGATGTACTCAGGTGATTCTTCATAGGCTTATACATTTTTTACCCCATGTTTTAATATAATCTTATGTTTTGTTAATGTGTATTTTTATTAAATAGAATAAAATAAGTTTATATATTAAAAACTTTGGAATATCTTGGGCTTCACCCAGTGGCGTAAATACAATGTCTCAAAGGTACGCAATGAGGACGGGCCCCGACTTAAAAGGGGCCCCAAAAAATGTACAAAAAATGTAATTTTTATATAAAAAATACTGAAAAAAATTGAAAATTTCCCGAACTCCTTCAATGTTACGCTTGTGTTAATTATTTACATAGTTTGCGTTACTAAAGGAACAGATAACATTGTTCACAGGCGGTAAATAGGTACCTATAGGTGAAAAATCCGGACCAATATCTACAATATACAAAAATTAACAATCCGAGGAAGTAACTATTGAATTTAAATCATCATATCATATCATTTAAATCTGACCTTAATTTAATACGAAATTTGATATGCTCAAAAGTAGCCAGCTCAAAGAGATTTAAAAGCAACTCCACCCGTTTCCCATTTGTGAAACATAAAATTCCGAAGTCTCTTACATAAAGTACCTTCATGAAACACTTTGTTAATTAGCGGGACCTTCTGCAGTCCAGAAGATATCTGAAGGTGCTGAATACGGTAACCTTAAACTGAACTTGTATTTCGAGATGAATGCGACTAAGTACTTTTAACACTCTAGCATTTACCTCTGCATGGACGAAACAGTTACCGTCATTCAAAAAAGGCGGATTCATACACAAAGAATAGAAATCGCTAATCAAACTTAATAACTAAATGAGTTTAAATGTATCTCCAGCGGTGTCTGTAGATACGCCACCTGTACTTTCGTTTGAAATTTTGAAAGCAGACATCTCAGAATGGACGAAAATACCATAGTGGAACCTCCAAGAGAAAAGCAAAAAACGAACTTTGAACAGCGAAGAAATAAGTTCAGAGTTGAGCAACGTCGGAAGATCGATATGAGGGTGATATCTTTATTAAAGAATCCGAATCTTCTGGAGTGTATTTCTAGTGAACTTTCATTTATATATTTTTAAGATGGTTGTCATTAGAAATCCAAGCGGTTATATTAAGCGTAAGGGAAAGGGCCCCCAAATATTTTTGAGGACGGGCCTTTAAAATGAAGTTACGCCACTGGTTTCACCGCGTGCGACGTCTTCAAAAAGTGCAGTAGGGAAGCCTCTCATGCAGTTCCGATGCCAGTAGGTTATTTTTGTTATCATAAATGAATTCCCTGGCCCCAAAAACATAAGTCTAGACACCTTACACGACCCGGTGTGCCTTAAAAATATAATTCGATCAAAAGTCTGTCATTTTCTAAAAATGGCGGCTTTTCACGGACTTCCGGTATCCGGATTACATTTCTGGCGCTACCATTGGATTCCTCGGGTTAAAATCATACGAAATCGACACCCAGATCTCGTCTCTAGGCCATATTTAGTTTTTAAAAAAATGTTACAATAAATCACCCCCAACCCCTCTAAAATCTACCCACACGGAAAATGTCAAGTGTTCTTCGGGTCAAATCGTTTAAATGGCTCTAAGGAACAACTGTACCAAGTGGCACCTTGGTATAAAAAAATGCAGTATATCTTTCAAGAATTTCCGTTATACCGCTAGTACTATGGGGTTTGGCACCTTCACACGAGTAGTCATTCTTCAAAAAGGGCATTAAAAGCACTGCTTAGTTTCAAGAAATTTTAATCTTACCAGAAACCTTTGAGGAACAGATTAATGTTTCCTATAGTAGGTACCTATACAACGACTAACATTTGTTAAACTCAATATAAGCAATAGATTGCTAACTTTACGCATTTCGTGTGTTCTATTTAGAAAAATGAGGTTAAATCCGATAACTTCTTTATTTGCCTCTGTATACTTATTTTAAATAAGCTATAAAGTTATAAAGAAACTTTTGTGATAAACATTTTTCTGTACCTCTTTTGAGTAAGAACATTGATCCTGAATTTTTCGAGAATTTCGAGAAAATAAAGCACAAGATGTATATTTTTTTTAGAGCAGTAACAATTTATTATGCGGAGACAATTGTGACTCTATCAAAGTGTCGAAAATGGAACGCCCCGTACCTACATTCAAAAAAGTTTCTAAAATTGTCGCATTATGTTGTTCGTTCGAATCCATTTATCCAATAAAAAAAACCTTATTCTAACTAAAGGGTTGGCAATAAAATATTAATATGTTATTTAGAGTGATATGAAAAACAATTCAAGTCAGTTAGCCACTATTTGTTGTAGGAATGATTCATTTTTAATTATTTATTAAATACATAATAATTCTGTGCTAATACCGTGAAAAGTCATTGCCGACAACATATAATGTGATAAACTTTTGGCCGCTCCTGTATCTGGTATAAGAGTATATGTCAATAGTGTAATAATAATAATAAACGAGTTCTTGACCTTCAAGTTTGATTTCGAGACCGTCAATTGCTCCGGACTGAATGACTGGGTTCAAGACGGGTAGTATTTTACGTGGCCACAGTTGCTTTGGCTTCACAGAGCGACCCTAATGTCTACTTCTGAATAAGTATATCGCGATATCACGCCTACTATCTAGCATCGCCAACTACCATTTTGGTCTACAACTTCGTTGATCATTTTGGAAATTTTTATCTATAATTCAACTTTCAAAGGACAAGGGATAGAGGTCAGATGGTGGGCACTTTCTTTGGAAACCTATGGTCACAATGGCCGAGAGTCGAGAACTGGCGGTGTTTAATACGGTATTATTCTCCCACCTCATCCAATGAGGATATTTAAATACTTTGATTTCTATTATTTTATTACCCCCTAACTAATTACGCAGATCAAGTAAATAAAGCAAGTATAAAAATTCGTAAACTTACCGCACGAGGTTTCGGATTGTGTACCGCACGAACGTGTAACCACAAAATTGTTATTTTCCGTGCCGTCTCTAAACGTTTCGAAACCACATTCAACCGATGCATCTTTCATTTCAATATCCATTGTAGCTACCTCAATGTCCCTCACTTCCGCCAGCGCAAACCTTAAATCATCGACGTCAGTCGAAATTTCTTTCACACGCATAACCGGGTATAAATCGGTTTGCGTTTCCACCGATCTCCTTCTGTGAGCCTTTAATGCCTTTTGCGTTAATTCCTGTAATCTCAATCTGGCATTTGTGCATATCGTTAGTTCTTTAGGCACGTCTTCGCTGGGCGATTTGATTTCTTCCGTTTCTGTACCGGCTTCTTTCTTTTTCGATGTGCCATACAATCGACTGGTGACGGCCGCCACAATTTTGGCACGTGGTTGTACAGTCGGCTTCTTCACCAAGTCACTTTTCTGAGGCCCCTTTTCTTCGGTTACGACTCCTTTTTCAACCTTTTTTGGTAAATTATCCACGGACTTTTTCAAAAGTGAACTTCTCAGCGAGGTAGATTTCTCAAGACTTCTTTTATGCAAAAGTGACGGTTGTGAAAGTCTCTTAGGTTTCTCCTTGGAAGTGCTCGAGATTACTTCTTGTGATCCATACGCTCTACTTGTTTTAGCGTTCATTATGTCAGTTTCGACGCTGTACGTACGGCGAATCTTGGGCAATTGTCTTTTTTCGGATTTCACTGCACTAGTCACATTCATTACCGGTAAAAGCGTTTCTCGTGTAGCATACGTAGGTTTAATGACACTACGCGAAACAGAATCTATGGATTCCTCTTCTTCTTGTTCGATGAGGGTCGAAACATGAACCGGATTATCTTTTACGATGGCACTGTCTGAGTTATTCACGGCGTTCTCCAGATTGGTAGACAAGTCTGGTGGATGTATAAATAGCTTGGAATCCTGCATTGTTAGAAATTAGTATTTAACCTCACTAATATAAACAATTACTTGAATTTTGGCGAGTATCTCCTTTAATTTTAATATTTCCGCGCGAAGTTCGCGAATTGTCCTCTCTTTGGGATCATCAATAACGACTGGCCGCGATAAAATTCGCTTGGCTCTTTGCCCGAACCGCAAAGTGTTTATAGTTTCATTGTAAGATGCGTTTGAAGGAGAAATAGCTAAAAGAGATTTCTAAACTAACATGTATAAATATCGAAAGTCCGTACTTGCTATCATGGTCGTTTTGGAATTTCCGCCGAGAGTGTCCTTGAGGAGCCATGTTAATACGGAATCTCGATACGGAACAAAGCGTTTCCGTCGATTTTGGAGAGCTTTCGCACTGTGATCCGCTAAAATGTTATCACGAACGTAAAGGATCGCGAGGAATACAAAGTTATAGTATACCTAAGGTGGAAATGACGTTACCAAAAGCAACCAAACTCTTGTTTATAGTGGCACCTTCTTTGAGTGTACATACATTTTGATAATTATTTCCGGCCCTCTCGCTACCTGCCAAGTCGATCAGATGTAGTTGCACACCTTCTCCATACGTTAACGTGAAAACGGAATGGCTTCTACTGGAATTGGGATTTGTTAAAGTTGCGGAAACTCTTCTGTTCGCATTCCCTACATGTAACCATTTTAGAATAGTCGCCGGATTATCAGCTGTACGTTTTGTTAGCCCTGAAACAATTTTTATTGTAATCAAACTGATCAGCCAAAAGATATATTTTCCTTTTTCCGAAATCGATCTAATGGTCAATCAATAGTTGTTAGTACCTAGAAGCAAATTTTCTTCCCTCAGCAAATTAGATACGCTCTGAATGCAATAGTCAATAGAACAAAGGCGCAAAGTTAAGAACATATTTTATTTCATATTCTAGGTAGAAACCACATCGTGAAAAATTTACCGGTATTTCAGACTGAGTTATAAACAAGAATCATGACAAAATTAATAGAACTGAAAGTTGTCGAATTTCATGTCTAACTTGAGGAAGGGGGCCTTGATACGACATTTGTCAATAGTGTTCGTCAAAAGCGACTTGAAGCTGCGCTGATTAAGGAAGGGATAACTCCCTTGGAGGATTTGTTGGAATTAGAAAATCTCCGACATCTTTCTAAAAAAATTAAACATAATTATAAAAGGATGAAAGAAGAAATTACCTAAAAAATGGAAGAAGTTTAAGAGGTGAATATGTGGAAACTTCCATATAACGTGTTTGGGACAGATTGGACAAATAGAGAGAATCTATAAAAAACCCTTATTGTGCCTATTCCTTGCCTCTTGCCTCCTGAACAACGTTATAACTACACGAAACTAGTGAAGAGGATGAAAATGACCTACAGTCACTCTCATATGGCGGAGGTATTAAAAATAGGGCTCAAAAGGTTATTAAAAGTTTGCAAGAATGCGGAGCGTATGTTGCAAGATTGTGTCGCATTGTTTGTCACGATGTACCTGCTGTGGTTTGAATAAGTTGTCAGTCGATATCTTCCGGAAAGCTATTTGATTAGCGGCACCTAACACTTTGACTGCCTCGTTAGCCAAAGCTCTCGAAGAAGCAGCTCACGGTACAATGAAGAAAAGCAGTAACGTTAGAGGTTATTTTTTCATCCAAGCGTTAGAGCTATAAAGGAGGATGACATCGTTCAAAACATATTGGTGACGGCACTGACTTGGACTTCTGAAGTTCAAGCTGTCAAAACTAGGTATAGTGGCAAAGAAACAGCTCCGTTAGAATTGCGAAGAACTTGGGCATTTCCTCAAGCGATGTCAAAAGTCTCGTGGAAGACCTCGTGGTAAATGCACCGATGCACAGTGAAGCAGCAATGCGGATTCCGTTTGGAAGTTCCTGTATTTGAAGAAACTGTTTTGGTAGCCGATATTGAAAACGATTTTATTTTGGGTATGGACGTCATGAGGTAATGCGGGTTCAAGATTGATTTAAATGAAGGTAATTCATCCACTTGAGTGCGGCCTGTCGCCAGTGATTTTAAGCGAGGACACTAGATCATTTTCATGGCACGATTGGACAGCAAATTCAGTGAAGACAGTATTTCGTTCTTGGATTGCGAAAGTGGTGCTCTAAAATTGGGTCGAGGAAAAGAAAAGAGCGCTCGAGCACCGAGCACTTTAAGTAAATGCGTGGAAGACTTGTGAAGTCTACCCGGACATTATTGTGGTGGGAAAACCTTCGAATCCACATGAAGAATCTGCCAAATGTCTTGCGTCGGCCAATCTAAAACTTTCGCCAAAGAAGTGCCATATTTTCCAGAGTACAGATCAATATTTAGGACATTTTGTATCGATCAGTGGTGTTGCTGTTAACCCTGAGAAGGCCAGAGCCGTTAAAGAATGGCCAAATCTCAGGTAAAAGGTTTTCTTAGCCTGTGCACCTATTACCGACGATTTGTGGCTGTTTTTTACTCCCTTTGACTCGCCTTACTGAAGATGCTAACGATTTTCATTGACTTTTCAGGAGATGAAAAAGCGTTTAACAACTTAACGAGTGCGCCGATGCTGTGTTATCCTATATCGGACGGGGCATTAATTTTGGAATTTTTACATATTGAATTTTAAGTGGAATCCAAAAATGAAATAATATACAGTAGTACAGTTAACAGTATGCTCTACGGCTCTAGATCCTCAGTCCGACGGAAGGGTGGAAAGTGTGAATTGAACGATCAATCGTTCGTAGAGTGCGTTTTTTGAAACTTTTTGAAACTACAATCAAAATTGAATAATTATCGTATGAAATAATGAAGTTTGACACATAGCAATCTAGATACGGGCATGTTTCAATTTTAAGTAACGCAGCAATTGTTCACTAGAGAGAGGAAAATTGCATTTTCTTCACCCTTTCTAGAGACGAAAGTAGTTCTTTCTAACGTAGTTTCAGAAAAACCATTTTTATACGCTGTCAATGGCAACGAGGACTTTTTTATACGCTGCCAATGCCAACGTACATGACGCCTAAAATGTCCAACTTTTATATCAGGAAATGACTTGAGAAATGTCATGTTCTACCGGCGTTTGAAGAAGAAGGAGAAAAAGCGTCTGACGCTGCCAATGGGAACGATCAGGCTAATTTTTCTTCCGATTTCAAAACCATTATTTTGTCGTTATTCTCACGTTTGAAGAAAAAATAGTATACATTTTGCGGAGGTAAAGTGACTACTTATGGCTCATCAGTATTTTTCAATATTTATATTCAAACACTAGCATCGTTCTGCGGCTAAACAAAGGCCCGCCATGAAAGATCATCTCCACATAAAAGAACCCACTAGTCTTCATAACCATAACAAAATGTAATAGTTCTAAAATCTTACCACTAGAGAAATTTAATCTTTAATCTTTGGTAGTTACTATGAGAGGAAGCTGACCGGCCCAAAGGTCACAATAAATCTACGCTAACTTCTTTTAGGATATGTAGCACATGAGTTTTCGGTTGCTTTCCGATTACACACATACCTAGTTTAGTTTAAACTAAAATCAGATGAAGATATTAAGTAAATTTCAAAATCTACAATTACACAATATGCAATAAAAAAAATTTTTTTCTACGACTCCCTTCACAAAGCATCCATTTCTTCAAAATGAGTCGACTCGAAAATTGTGTATTTCGTCCATTTGTCAACAAATCAGAAACAGAATCAATCTAGCTTCTGAGATGCACGGTGAAAACGATAAGTTTGAGTTTATGGGATTGTATTATACCTTACTACCCAGGTAAGATAGGAAAAAGGTAAAACGTGACGTATAGTAAAAGAAAATGTTTGAACTACAGGTTCTGAGATTTGACCCAATGTTGGTTTTTTTTTCGAAATATAACACGCTGTATATCTTAACATCAATTGTTTTTTTATTCATTTTCCTGATTAAATTGATGTATCACAACCTATATTTTTTTTAATTTTAGCCTTATTTTCTACTGTTTCTAAATAGTATGCCATGGATTCATGGAGATTTTGTGTTGTTTATTGTATCCATATGATGTCATATCAAGAAAAATGCAAACAATTACGTTAAATTATACAAGGTGCTGCATTAAAAAAAATTGCAACTTTGGGTCAAACCTCAGAACCGGTCTACGTCACTGGATTCTACGTAAAAATATCTAAAATAAACAGTTTTTACCTTTTTTTATCTTACATGAGTAGTAAGATATGATAACATCTCAAAAAGTCAACGTTTTCGTTTCCACCCTATATCTCAGAAACAAACGTAGCTCGATTGGTTCTGTTTGTGGTATTAAATATTTCACAAAAAAGTGGTAAGGGTAGCGAAAACCGAATCGCGAGTTTCATTTTTTAAAAACAGCTGAGATACACTACAGCCTCAACCAAAATACACTGTACTGTTTGCTTTACACATTATTAGTGTAACCAAAATATATTCAGTATGTATAAAACATGATGTACTACATCAATAGAGAAGAGCGGTTTTAACTTTTTACTACAAAGTTTGTTTATTAGATTAGAATAAACTTTAAAGACCACTGTACGTATTCAAGGATCAATTCAGTTCAAATAAAAACCGCAAAATTCATATGAGCGGGAACGAATAAGTATAATTGGGTATGAAATAAAACCCTGTACCATCATAATAAATGCCAACATTCTCGTAACGTCGCCGTCGCTTTAATTAATAATCCAAAAGTTGCCCAAATATGTTAAGCGACTTCTTACAAATTCAAAAGTACGGAACAGGTAATTTTTTGCAATGTGCACCCTAGCCCTTATGATGTAAGTACGTTAATAAAGTAGGTCAAGGTTCAAATTCAATAAAGCAGTATTATTTCTAATGTTAGACACAAAAGCCATTTTGGCAAACAAACCAACATCAATGCTAAAATCACTCACAACTGACTCATACCTTGCACATAAGGTCCTTTTCTGGGATGTTCCCTAATCCTTAAGCTATTCGATTTGAAGTGGTGGCTATCTTCACTTGAAACCAACAAATCGTGTACTTTTTCATTATATATCTCGAGGTAACTAAAACACAATTAATTAAGTTGAATAAATACAAAAAAATCACTATAAAGTTTAAAAAACACTCATTGCGGGTTTGCAGCACGATTTTTTTACAATAAAAGTGCTCCGCGTTAGGTGCAAGTTATATTAACACAAACACGAAACTTACTGATTGTAACCAAGTGAAATTAAAGTTTTATGCAATGCGCAGGAATTTTCGCATAAAATTTATCCACTTTCGTGAAACTAATATAAAGAGACAAAGGATTTTTTTCACATGATATACTCATCTATCACGTAATATGATTAACGAGTCTTCCTTAATTGACTAACTGGAGGATCCCATAATTATTACCTTTTCGTTTCCCTGGAAAGAAGTTCAAGCTTATACCTTTAAAAAACGAAATTTGTGTCGCTATTTTAACTAACGCTAAAAAAGCGTGCTTTAACATAATTTGGGCCTCAAATTTAATTCAACACATGATAATATAACATGTTGGTAATGGTATAGCTAACGTTTCGAATACAAAAGCTTTCAAATTAAATAAATTGTCAATACTTCTTACTCACGTAGGTAATTTAGAAAAGAAAAGTGAAATTTTTGACGTTGCATGCAAAAGAAATAGTGACTCATGCAATTCTTACGAATAGGAAGACCAATTTTTTTACGTATCCAACATGCTATATTGCTTTTGATGCATAAATGGCCGAGATGACAAAAGGGCACTCTGAATGTTGCATCGATTATACTCAAATTTTGAATTTCATGCAATTCAGTTCATGTTCAGGTCACTGTTACTTTGAATCGCGAATAGTTATAGAAGCTGCCTGGATTCTTATATGTCTTTTACACATATATGATAGATACATTTGTATTACGCAGGGTACATGATGTACATACCGAAGGGGCTAATTATGTGGCTTATTTTATGACTTCTATCTACAGGGTGTTATAATTTCTGGATTTTTTTAAGTATTTTCTTTATACCTCCTGCGGTTTTTAAGAAATTTGGTGAACAAATTCAATTTAAAAAAATATACTTTCAAAATTTGAGCTAAATATTTCCCAAACTAAAGGAAATCGTGAAATTATTAACACTCGGTCGGTAAAGAAGCGTTTGCGAACCTATGTTTATATGACCTTTTTGTCATAAAATAACCCAAAGAATTATACCTCCTTAAGTAGTAGGTACTTTTTTAATAGCCAATTGATACTTTCTAGAACATTAAGGAATAGTTTTTGGGGGCTAGCTCATGAACTCCCTTTGGGGGTGGATAATGTAAAGTAAATTGACTTACACGATTTATATACGTAAAATTAAATTAGTAATGCATTGGTCATGGTCCTTTAATATATTGATTAATAACAGTTATTATTTATCACTTGCTTGCCCTCAAATGTATAACATGCAAAATTTATAAAGTTGTAAACTGTTGTAAAATTGCAATAAATTTGGAAAGCAAAAAATTAAAATTCTCTCCAGGGCTGCCACAATAATTTCTACCAACTTAACCTTAATACTAAACAAACATAAGTTATATTTTACTGGGCCTAATACTGAAAATGAATCAAAAACAGTAAGAAGATTGAAGAAAAGCAATAAGTAGTTCAAACTAACGGCGCCCTGAAAAAATTTTCCGGCAGTAGCTTCGCTTCCAAGGAAAATTCAATCCCAGGAACTACACCACGAAAATTAAAGTCAGTTCTATTATGATGCAACGCCACGCCAGCTCTCGTTAGAACTGTACTGCAGCATTACTTAACTAACCCTGATCAAAATAAGGGTGAAAATCAATTTTTATCAGCGCACTTTCAAGCGCGTACTTTCTGGACGAATCTTGGGAGAATCTTCCAAGGACCAATTTTCTGGGGTGAATTTCCCAGGGGCAAAATTTCGGCGACGAATATTTGTGGAGCGAATTTTTCGGTGCGAATTTACGTGGAGCAAATTTCCTTGAGCGCAAATATTCCGAAGGAGAATTTTAAGGGGCGAATTTACTGGGCAAAGTTTCTGGGGCGAATCTTCCCACAATCCCAGAAGGTTTTTCTCCTAATCTACATACTTTCCTATAATCGCATCCAAATAAAAGTGATGGTGTGAATAATTAACAAAAGTAGGTATATCCTATTAGTGTTGGAATCTGAGTTTTCTTGTTGATAGATTATAGCTATATGTCATTTGGGGGCAGCTTGCTAAACGAAACTGACGAGTAAAATGTACATATTGGCACTCCACAAACGAGCATTTGTCGTAAGGTACATTAATTCTTGGGCAGGCTATTTTTACAAGGTAAGCGCCATACGCTCTGCACATCAAACATAAAGCTCGACATATTCACTTCCTGATTCCTAAAAATTTCACATTACACATAACCATCTACTTTCCGAAATGACCACTTCGCGTTAATGATGTATTTGCGTGGTTTACCATATGTTTTTTTACAATACTAGAATTAGTATAATAGATATTTTTGTCATATATTTTGTGCTACAATATTAATAGTAACACGCCAAGCCAGTCTAAGAATACACTCGAAGGAAATGAGCCGTTAAAAAAAGTAGAATAATTACTTCGTTTATATAAATTACATTCGATGCTTAAAAGCTCCCAAAGATCAGCGGTACTTCTATGAAGAAGTGTCGAATTTATCTTCAAAGGTAAAGATGTATGTTTCCTCTCAATCTAAGTGAAACTATTACTGTTTTTATTTCCTGTAAAGATAGAAGCTTTGAATATAGTGTATTTTATAATTTATAAGCAACACCATTTTAGTTCAGTATTTCTATGTATTTTGAAAAATGATTTATTAGCGTCGTCTTTAGTTCTACAAGATGAATCGTTCCTTCATGCACTTCCAAAAATTTGGTAATACATATCTATTACTTTCAAAAACTTTCCGTGTATAATTTATGAAACATTCAAAAACTTTCACATTAAAATCAATTGACAATAAATATTTATCTTTGGTTGCCTTTCGATTTCATTATTGTTGATTTATGTTCATACATCCACTAATGCGTGTAAAACACAAGAATTAAATTTACCTATTTTATCGAGTTGTTATTTATATGTTATCTCCGTATGGATGGCGTGAGTTCTCACACTTCACACATGCAAGGACATCAGGATAGCATTAATATCGATCGTAATTTATATTAGATTCCTTTTATTAGATGTTACTTCAACGTTACATCTTTCTAAAATAAATAACACAATCGCAGGAAATTGCCTAACTTTGAATTAGTTTCGAACTTTTATATTTAATTATATGGGAACGGTGTTAACTGTTTCGTACCAGGATCAGTTGCTCTTGCATCTATCAACCTACACAAAAGTGATGAACAGTGAAGAAACAACCGCCAAACAACGTGTACCCATTGAATAAATTATTCAACGATGTACCAAAGTATCTAACATTCTTTTCACAGCTATTGGTTACAAGTGACAGGGAACTGAGGGAACATGCAAAACTACCAACATCATTGCACATTTGTCAAATTTATTACGTAAGGATGACTAACTCTTTTACTCATCAAATATTAATTTGAGAAATTTAGAAATGAGCGAAATTGTTAACTATTTTAAATAAACATAGCTACATTAGAATATATTAAAAGAAATCACAATTTAACCTTTCCTGATCCCAACGATCGTTTCCTGCATCTTAATTCTTGTGACGAAGACGAAGCACATCCTTTGGTATTATGGTCAGCCCCAAGGGCAGCATTCTTTGGAAAAAGTATCCCTCAGGATCTAAAATGGCGGGGAGAACGAGGCTTTTAAGCTTCTTTGAAACACATTACAATACAAAATTACCATAAAGAAGGCCGAGTGATCTATATGGCTTATAAACGATGATATTTAGAGGATTAAGGTTGATTGGGGTGATAACACGTGACACGAATAAGCAAAGATGCAGTAAATGAATAAACAACTTTTTTATGAAATCATACTTGCGGCCCGTCTGTCTATGTGGAAGTGGAAATATTTTTCCATTAAACAAATGGTTTCTGAACTATAATCATGCTGAGCTATAATGAGAAGTAATCATCTTATGCGTAATGCCTCACAATATAGAGTACGCTAATACGCTTCTATCGTCGCGCAATTTTCCATTTGAAAAGGAATATGGTATTAAAATCGTCGATTTGTCTTTCAAATTGACTAATACGCACATTTAAAGCGAGGAGCAATCTCCGCTATGTTTGCCTACGTCAAAAAACCGCGTGGACGTGCTGGATGCGGCGGTTCCGTTTCATAACTTTCATTCGGTCCATACTTAAGTAAAAATCTAGTGGGAGAGCGGGATTCTGACTAAAATTTTCGAAGAGAAAATATGTTATATGAAGGAGTTGGAATATCGTATTTTTCATTCATATATTCAGAGAAGTCAATTTATGAGTATTTATTTCGGTGATCAAATCCGATCATCAGGTTTTTGAGTATCAGATTATAAGAGGAGATAAAGAATCAACGTTGCGCAAGGTAAGAGTAATTAAAAGTTTATTTATACCTGAGCTATCTGAGGTATTAACTATTTCATTGCAAAAAATTAATTGTTCCAGTCAAATTTTTACCAGTGCCGTAGAAATTTGCTTTTATTTTAGGAGCGTACGCTGTTCAACCTCTGTAAGTGTAACTAGTCAGTTACCAGACGAAAAACTTTGACTTTATATAGTTCAACCATTTAATTAAATTTATTATTGTCAACTGGATTGAACAATGACTAATCAATGAACCATGACTTATAATGAACAAAATTCAATTTTTTGTAACGAAGAGCCCGTTTCAAAATTAGTGACGCTCCTTCTAAAGTCAGCAAATTGCCGAATTCAGAATTAGAGAATCTCTATTCAACCAAAGAATACATATAATACTCTTTGATTCACCCTATAAGTTATCGTCTTAAAAAGCATAACCACACGGACAAGCCTAAGTTTGATAAGGAAACTTTTCAGTTCCATTGCACATACTCGAAAGGAAACTGAATATTTTTTTATCACATCTAATTTTTAATCAAAATTGTAGTTGTAACATTTTCGTCTTAATATTTTGGCCGTTTCTTTCGCTATCAATAAAATGCAGTCAAATTAAATGGAATTTGTTGGTTGGAAGAGTACAAATTTGTTAAAATAGAGGAAAATTGTAAAGAAATGTTTCGCTAAAATATGTGTGCATGTGCAAGTGCAAAAACTAAACTCGGAAAAATTGTCTCTTTATCGTAGAACATGTCTGCATACATATAAATCGTACAAGAGTCAAATGAATACCTACAGAAATATTTTTAGGAAATGAAAGGCGTGCAAATAGTTCAATTCCAAAGAACCAAATTCCATGCAGCTTTACATTGTCAAGTTTTCTCAAAAATGTGAAGAAGCTTATGTAACGATTAATCGCATGTAACGTAAATTGGCGAATGTCAGAAAGTATCTATTGTGAATTTCGCGCCTAGTTTAAATTACCACATTAAAAAGGGTTTGGTCTCATATGTATTAAGGATCCTCAGATCCTTTATAGTTTTGTATTGTCGTCCGTCCGTCCGTCCGTCCGTGTGCGCTCTAACTCTTTTTAAAAGTGGCCGATTGAGTTGAAATTTGGTGTACGGGTTCTTTGGACATTAAGGACGGACGCTATTGATTTTCAGGAAGCTGGTTCAATAGGAACAAAAGTTATAGGACTTCGAGTGAATCGGGAACAGGAAAAACTACGGGCTCAATATAATAGAAATCAACATATTTCATTCCCTAGGTCATGTATCGGGTTGGGACTTCCGCTAGATTATTCCCTATGACTCTTAGATGTGTAATACTTTAATATAACTCTTCTCTGTGGTATAGGTCGAAAGTTTTAGAGCAAAATGTAGCAAAAATTACACTTTATACATGAATTTAGAGTTTTAAAAGGTTTCAAACGCATTATCTTGATGCAGCAAGAGTACATCACGTGCACATTTGATAACCGCATGTGTGTGATTCAAAAATGTTAAATTATTGCCATATGGGTTTTGATCAAAATAATCAAAATCGTTATTTATGCACCAAGATCGTCGAGAAAAAGACTAGGGGCATTATCTCAATCGCTCATTATCTCAATGCTCAAGACATAAATTTGATGCATTTCTGGCGACCACATGGATTTTGATCAAAACATGTCAAAATCGTTATTTATGCACCAACATCGTTGGGAAAAAGACTAAGAGCATCATCTCAATGACCAAAACATGAATTTGATCTATTTTTGGCGACCACATGAATTTTGATCAAAACATGTCAAAATCGTTATTTATGCACCAAGAACGTTGGGAAAAAGACCAAGAGCACTATCTCAATGATCAAAACATGAATTTGATCTATTTTTGGCGACCACATGGATTTTGATCAAACCAAGATTAAGAGCATTATCTCAATGGCCAAGACATGAATTTGATGTATTTTGTAACATTAAAATAAATTATCGTTAAAAGTTATTGTAATACTGAGGATCCTTCGATATTTCGTTGTATCGGTTTATTTTCAAAGTTTTGCATGTCAATACTTAAAGTTGTAAACCGCCTGATTTGTAGGCAACGTAACAAACATCTCATCTGTAATAAAATTTAACAGCAAGCAAAATAGGAAACCAAAAAGTGGACCTATTGTTTGAAATTTTCTCAGTAGTAAATTAAATTTCTGTATACTTTAATTACTGAATAGTTTTAGTTATTCCCCCTCGGTTTCCCCCAAAGAAAAAGTGGATATTGTGAACTTTCCCTGTCCGTTCCTTGGTTTCTTGAAAGAATTTTACTTGCATATTTTTTCGCTTGTAAATTTGTGGCCTTTATTGTAATCGATGCAATAATTCTTGTTCGGAAAATAAAATGTTACTAAAAACTTTGTTTTTTTTTTGTTAGTAGCTCAAGATTGGCATGACGAAAGGGCGATTTTTATAAATGTTTGGGTAGTAGTAGCCTACTACCTCTTGTTGATTAATTTAAATTAATTCGACAAATGTAAATTTAAGGTAGATGCAGTTTCACATACCTAACGCCACACTGTAGGCTACCACACGACGTTAACGAAAATTCTTCCAGATAAGTGAACAAATTTTGGCAAAATCTTGGTATCAATCCGGGTTCATCAAAATTTCCCATCATCGTATGTGTTTTACCCGAAGAACTTTGCCCATACGCTAGAACGCACGAGTGGTATCTACTTTCAATCGCAGTTTTAACTTCTTTCTCCACAACTGTAAATACCTTTTGTAACATTAAGAATTTTACATGCAATCATCTTATTTTTAGTCGTCCTCTTACTTGATCTTGGAGAACATCTTCATCGAAACAGTAATCAAAGCTGAATCTCCTTGTCCTTTCCCGACTGTCGCCAGCATTTTGCTCTGACACCTGAAAATTACATTCAACCAATAAACACTTTTATCGACGTAAATGACACAATTATAACAGACACGCAGTTCCTTAGAAAAATAACATTTTAACTTGAAATTGTAGCTATTTGATTTATTTTTGTTATACAGTGTGGCGAGTTGACGGCGGGACATAGGGAAATAACATGGGAAAATACATGTTCGGCAATTCCTACTCCCCATTTCATCCTACAAGAAAAATAAAAACATCCTCGGATAGATAATAAATATCCATCGGATGACATAAAAATATGCAACTGTGAGGTTTCATGCAAGCCTAAAAATTAAATTAAATATCCTAAAAATTGGTAAAAACTGGTTGACCATGGAGTGACGTGCGCACTTGCTAAATTCCAAAAAAGTGGCAAGACCTTTTTCCAAACGACATATTTCATTGTAAGTACTGTAGGGGTTTGCCGTTTAGACCCAAATCACGTTATCTACACATTACGAACGTATAATAAATATACATGTCCGGGATGTGTGGCGCAGTTTAGTTGAAGCTCGGCAGCGGCCTAAGGGTCCCTGGATCGAATCCGCGTTCGGGGATGGAAATTTGTAAATGTGTAGCGGGTTGAGTTGGTAGAGCAGCCTTGGCTGGGGTTCAGCCCATTCAAAAATAAAGGCGTAAGATAAATAAAATAAAATAATGTAAAAGCACTTACCTTCAGATTTGTAACAGCGAGCGTATTTTGGTTAATTACATCTACAACAGATGTGGAATGTAACTTTGTTTCCCTGAAATGAAGAGAAAGCATAAAATTATGATCAAAAACTATTAGCATAGTATAATTATTGACAAAATTTGTTTATGTTTTATTTTTTTTATTTGACTTTATCTTACGAGTATATCATAACTTCAGTAGGTACAACTTAGAAAAGGTTTGTATAAAAGATAATTTCCAAAAAATTGTACGGAAAGACGTAAAAAACAATTCTTTTTTTTTCGTCATTTTTAATCGCAGAAATCTACTACGGCTCTAGAAGAATTAAGACATTCGCGGGAGGCAAAAAAAATAGGCAGTCAAATGTATCAAATCAATTACATATGCCCGCGAATGTTTCTGATATAGTATAAAAAGTATACAAATATAATTATTGTTCCAATTTTGTGCACTATGTGTACAGGAATAGTTGTAGAACTCCTATAGACTTAATTAGGTACTTGAAATTGGAAAATGTTTCACTACATTAACAAAGAACGAGACTTCACGTTTTTGCTTTTGGACCGGAAGTGCTATACTTAGACAGAGTGCGCAAAAAGTCACTGCTCTGATGTTATGTTTGGTGTTCCTTGCATTCGACAACATCCAGCTGACACGTCTTGTATGCGTAGAAAATTGGGACAATGTTAGTAGAAGTGCTTTACAAGTACATACCTGCTACACAATAAGATTTTGTTCCATTGATATCCATCCGAAGTGCGGTAGAGTAGTGATTAATTAGTGGCCGCTGCAATTCAATTATTCTAAGTACAAATGATAGTCGTTAGGGAATGATTTATTTAGATCCTTACAATGAAGTACCAGTACCGAACGAAAATGATGCGAGCACGATGAGTAGTTGATCATTTTTAGACAATTAGTGTAGCCAGATACCTGGTACAAGTTAATTAAGCGTAAAACAAAATAACGATTATTAAGGGGTCATTCACGAAGTGATCTAGTGAACAATGATTCCTACAATCCATTACCAACGTTAAGACAGTCATAGTGTATTCCGTGCGGAACAAACTAGGAAATCATCAAACCAACTGTCCAAATTGCACCCCCACCCATGGCATAATGTGTAGGACTACTAGGTATAACTCCAATTTTCCTTAGTTTGCACGCATGCCAACAATTCGGTTTTTGGGGAATATTGTTATGCCGACGTATTAACAAAATTAAGAAATTTATTAAACGTTACAATTACGTGTTTTTGTTAGGCTGATCGATGTATTTCACAAAATATAGGTTCTTAAGACACAGTTGTGCGTTATTTAACTTAAAACCTTTAGTGTTAAGTGTTTTTTGTTGTTTTCAAGTAACCTATCAATCGAACTAGTGTTTGTATACGTTTACATTGCGACACGTCAAATTTGACAACTGTTTGCTACCGTTTTCATTACTTTATCGCGCTTTGCTGCATTCGCCGATAAAAAAATCCGTTAGTTTCATAAGGAACAATTATAAAAGCATTACTTCCGTACGTCTCACTGCAATATTCTACGTCAAAAGTTGTATAACCCAAAAATGCCATCGGGTTTACCAAGAAAAAGTAAGCAACCTATTTCTAATCTTGTTCGTTATTTTGAACGAGGAAGAGATAATGGTGCTCCACTTTTACCAGTCGCCTATTTTTCTAGATGTAACCAGTTTACGTTTGTATTTTCGAACATCTTACGCTGCAATCCTTTTTGCAAGTTCTAAAAGGAAAGTCGTATTTAAAAGGCCAAATGTTCCTTATAGGAAAAGTTGTTGCCACTATCGAAAAGATAATCCAAGAAAAGGAGTAACGGAGTAACCCAATATTACACTATCAGTCCATTTTTTAGATGCGTATGTAAACAAGTAAAAAGGTTTTCGTCCAAAGGCGAATAACTTCAGCGCATTTTCCATACATTGATCAGTACTTCCCAAATATCTATTTGTGCTGTTTTTCTTTACTAGAGACATCTATGGTTAAAATGTCAAAGAAATATCTCCATAAATGAGAAAATTGACGTTGCGCAGTCGGCGCATGCACACATACAATTTATGCTATATGCGATATGTTTGTTTTTACTAGCAGCGTCTGTGGTTAAAATCTTAAATAGGAATCTTCATAAGTAAAAAAGTTGTCATTTTGCAATCTGCGCATGCGTGGATTTGATTTTTACTATATGCGATATGTTTGCCTTTGCTAATGACATTTGTATTTTTTTATTTTTACTACATGTGATATGATTTTCTTTACTAGAAGCATCTATGGTTAAAATTTCAAAAAGATACATGCGCACATTAATCTGATGTTTACAATATGCAATACGTTTACTTTTACTAAAAGCAACTTTGGTTAAAATTTCAAAGCAATATCTCCATAAATAAAAATATACAATGTGTGATTTCGGATGAAACGTGGGTATTTGAAGATGGGCCAATATGTAAGACATCGCAATACGCACGACAGCACAAACATAGTAAAAAAAAATAAACCCGAGGGACGCCGGTTTCATACTGGTATTTATGAGAACAATATGATCTTATACCTATTTAAGATATGTGGTTTTGCATGCCGGAAATACGGATGGTTTTATTACTGGAGCATCTTTAATTTTTGCTTTGAACCAGGACAGTTTTCTTAAGTGGTTCGGGGACCAATTGCTACCAAATTTAGAAGAACTATCGCTGATTATTATTACAATCACAATTACTGGAAAAGCCAAATTCCTCCTGGAGTAAAACTGTAAAACACAACTACAGGCATGACTACAGCACATTTCCAAATGATGCGTTTGTTTCCTTAAATTCCATGTAGCATGGTTTACCGTTTATTTGTAGTAATACTTTTAGTTTCGCGACTAAAAATTTGTTATTTCAGAAACAAACCTTCCAAACGGTATGTTGCTGATGAGATGGCATTAGAAAATGGACATGGGGTACTGAGGTTGACATGTATGAAAAAACTGACTGGTTATGCGGTTGTATCTTTAACAATTTAGTCTGTATTGTTTTCCGTGTTTGTTGTTTGGTGATAAGCTCGGTGATGAGGCATCAGAATGGACAAAGAATGGCGTTACAGATTTAGTGCATTTATCCGAAAAAATTAAAAATATCAATCTTCAAAGGCACATCTGACATCATATATGTATCTGCTAAATTGAGATTTAATTTATTAGGTAAGCAAGATATACGGCAACAGTTAAATAGTGCATACCGTTTGAGTATCGAAAAACGTAATGAGGAAGTAAAAAAGAACAGGTATGTTTTATCCAAAATTATAGACCGTAGGTATAAAATTTTGTGGTGCTTTGGAACTTGCTCTCCGCAGCCATTGACAAAACGAGAAAATTCAATAAACCCTGGAGTATTTAGAGGTCTCATCAATAAGCTTTTTTATGCCATTTAAGAGGCCCAAAAAACTTCGTGTTGCGGTGACACTCAAAAAATTTTCGCCTCCGGCTTTTTGCCCGTGGCCCCATTTTTAAATTGTGCACCCCCAAGACACACCACTACGCGCCGCCACTGGGTCCAACTATTTGTTAACACATAGAAATGTACCGAGCGATCAAATATGAAAGTTACGCGGCTGTAACTGCTCCAAACGTACTTAATAAAAATAGAGTTACCTACTATGAGCACAGATTTAGTGTTTAAATCTGTGCTATGAGTAGGAAATTAAGAGCCGTTTCCAATGATGTGTCACTCGACCCTATGTTCAATTTAAAATTATTGAAGGGGTGGCAACCCTTTGAAGAAAAAGATGTCTCCCTTCCCACCAAAATTGACGTGTTTTTGCGTTTCTTCCAAAAACTATTTCCTTACGAATTATTCCGTCTGTTTCGTTTTCGTTGGGCCACCCTGTATACCTACTACTAGCTTTGAATATTACATATTGCTATTTTAATTAAAAGATTATAATGAGGTTCGCCCAGAGCTACCGTGATACAAGTTGAATAATTTTTATAACGGAAAACTTGCTATGTTGTGCCACTGTTCTATTTGCGCATAGAGTATTTATAGATTAGACAACATAAACATTTGTAAAATCGTAAAATTACAAAACAGTCGTAGTGTAAATTAGCTACACAATTACCTTTGCGAAAGTGGTCTTATCCTAACGATCACTTTTAGATTAGTCATTATTTAGCCATATAGAAAAACACTCGCACTTTCGGTGAACGGTCAGTATCCGGATATTTATAAGAACAGAATCGGGTCTAGAGATGCTCCGGTTTCCCGTAAGACTTAAAGACTAAACGTGTCGAATAGACCGTATTAAATCTTTGGCGCGAGTTATATTTGGACCAACTCCTGAGACGTTTAATGGATTCGTTTCTTTTAAATCTGTAAAGGCGGCTTTAATGAATGGTCTGGTGCTGATCGTTCGCTGCTGTAATCATAATTTTGAGCTCATGTTTTTTTCATCCTCACAAGTCACACTCCCTTTGCCAATAAATACTTTGATGTATTTAAAAGGTGAATTGACAAATTAAGTATATGACAGAGTAGTGAGTAGAGCTTCAAAGTGAGCGTTTGTACATTAACTAATTATCTACATTCGAATCTACTTGCCGCCTTACTTTGAAACATATGACCGAAAGGTTTATAAATTATAACTAATTATAGTACGTTAGGGGTACATTTGTTACAAATTTTCTGCCCTTGATGACTGAAATACTTAAGTCAAACATTTTGTAGATAGTTGCGCAAAGAAAGGCCAGTGAGTTACATAGGATATGGATAGGTATAAGCGAAAAGTTTCTGAAAATTGTAGGCATGTGCAGGTATATATGGCATATGCATATTGCATATACCTACCTACTTTGTTCTCAACTACTCTCTTGGCGAGAATTACAATGAGACAAGTACTTCTTACATAAACAAGTTACACAGGCTCCATAAATTTGGCCTGTCATTGTACTAGTATTTCAGACTTCAGAGCGAAGAAGAGCTACGTTTGCCCATCACAGAGTCTATTTGTATTTCGCCAAAGAGAAGAGTGTAAAGCTATTACTCTTGTTCATATATACATTGATGCGCCAACCCCTAATTAATAAGTCAAATGATACCCTTGTTACTAATTGCTGTCTGTGGAATACCAGGGTATTGCGATTAGTTAGAACTCTAAGGAAAAGGGCAAATCCTTCGCCACGATTACTCGAAAGGCAAAATTTTCAAAATTTGAAAATGTGAGAGTGTAACAAACATTTCCAGCCGCGATTCTGAAGGAAATTTTAACAATGAAGTTTAAAAGCCCCAAATTTCAATAAGGAATGGAGGATGCATAAAAATATTTCAACGCGTGATTTTGAAACGGAGTTTCAAACCCAGTTTTAAAACCGTGGTAATATTATATTTCAACTTGGGATACAACAGTTTCAAAATTTTGGGATTGTATAGGACCCATTAAAAGTATACGACGCGATTTGAGTTTAAAGTTTAAAATTGGGAGACTGTATTAGCTTATTAAATTTCTACTTGAAACCCTTCATATTCAAATGTACCTACAAAAAATAATTTAAAGCAGAGATCTTGAAATGCCGTAATTTCAAGCGCACCCTGTATATCGGCTCTGTAATTGGTGACGTCCTACCCTTCACCTCAACCACAGTCTAAAATATTTGTGGGTAATACATCGACCGACCATAAGTCACAATGTGTACTGGAATGTCATAAAATATCCCTCGAGATTGCGACCTAAAGACAGATGTTTAGTCGCCTCTTACGACACGCAGTGCCCTCTGCGGTAGGGTTATTCTTTCCCGCCCCTACACAGGTAAAAATGTCCAAGTGTTAAGAATATAATATTCTCGCCATGAATAATTACCATATAACACTTAGATATAAGTTATATATTATAAATTATAATCATATGCTATAATATATGAAAAATATAAGTCAAATTATTTCCGTAATATTGACACATTATGATTTGAAAATATTCTTCGAAATGGCGATAGCGAATTTGTATTGATTACTCAAACTACTCCTTCAATTTTGCAGATATGGAAATACAGGTTGATTACTGGCAACTGCAATCAAGGCAGGCGAAGGAAGCAAAATGTGCTCAAAGGTTCGTAAAATACTACCAACGTCCAACCATCTCCCAGTTTCTCGACCAGACCTACACTATAAGACCTCTGATTCAGTCTGTGTAGGTAATAATTTTACGTAGGTGCATCTAAGAGATACATCTATATAGGTATACGAGTACTAGTACTGTATGCTGCTGATGAGATGGCATTAGAAAATCGACATGCGGTACTACGGTTGCCTCCCAACCATTGTATTTTCAATCCTATTGAAAATATATGGGGTATTTGCAAACAACACACAATACGAGAATAGTATATTTCATTAGGAGTCCGGAAAGCAGGCTTTTTCCGTGCGCGCGTGGCAGCCGAACACGGGAAGGCGTGCAAGCACACGGAAAAAGTCGAGGAAAAAGCATTTCTGGACGTGTAATGAACGATATTTTTTATTATACTTACTTCTTTTAAATCGATAACATAAAAAACAACAAACTCGCTAACATTTTTATTTTGTAACAGTTATAGAAAATGCGTTTTCATGGTTACTCTCAAATCATTTCAAAGGCGATTTGTTTAATTAGTTTATTTCAGATAAGGTTGACGAAACGTCAAAAAATGTCACAAATTGTAAAAGAAGTTTATCTAAATATTCAAACATCTACGAATTAAAACGCAAAATACTTACATATGAAACATTACAACGCATATAGATTTTCTAAAAATTAGTTTACTTCCCTGTAAATTTGTATTTTAAAGCAATATTTTGTGTATTTATATTCAGCGCACGGAAAGAATCAATGGGACCGGGAATAGTATTTTACATTATTAGCCAGGTAAGTGAGTTTTTACTGGCGATAGGAGAAGTTGACTGGCGAGCCGTTAGGCGAGCATGTCATCTCCTAGAGCCAGTAAAAACTATTACCTGGCGTATAATGTACAATATTTTATTTGGTACTCATTTGTAAACAATAGTAAACGTAAATAATTAGTTCTTAAATTGATCTTGAAGAAATGTCTAAAATATCATGTTATCCATGTAACATAGAATTCGCATTAATTCTGGCCAATGAAATGACTAGATTACTTACTTGTAAAATTTTTACACGTCAGCTGTCAGTTTTACAAGTCAGTAGCGTTTAAAGATGACGTTTACCCGTTTGCGTTGTGTCTTGTTAATCAACGTTGAGTAACAAATAAAATTTTATTTATTTATTAAACGTTAGATTAACAAGACAAAACGCAAACGGGTAAACGTCATGTTTAAACGCTACTGACTTGTAAAACTGACAGCAGACCTGTAAAAATTTTACAAGTTAGTAATCTAGTAATTTCATTGACCAGAATTAATATAATGCAAAGTCTCTGTTACATGGATAACATGATATTTTAGACATTTCTTCAAGATCAATTTAAGAACTAATTATTTACGTTTACTATTGTTTACAAATGAGTAACAAATAAAATATTGTACATTATACGCCAGGTAATAGTTATTACTGGCTCTAGGAGATGACAAGCTCGCCTAATGGCTCGCTAGTCAACTTCTCCTATCGCCAATAAAAACTCACTTACCTGGCTAATAATGTAAAATACTATTATTTGTTACTCAGTTGTAAACGTTGATTAACAAGACAAAACGCAAACGGGTAAACGTCATGTTTAAACGCTACTGACTTGTAAAACTGACAGCAGACATGTAAAACTAACAGCAGACATGTAAAACTGACAGCAGACATGTAAAAATTTTACAAGTTAGTAATCGAGTCATTTCATTGGCCAGAATTAATGCGAAGTCTCTGTTACATGGATAACATGATATTTTAGACATTTCTTCAAGATTAATTTAAGAACTAATTATTTACGGTTACTATTGTTTACAAATGAGTAACAAATAAAATATTGTACATTATACGCCAGGTAATAGTTTTTACTGGCTCTAGGAGATGACAAGCTCGCCTAACGGCTCGCTATTCAACTTCTCCTATCGCCAGTAAAAACTCACTTACCTGGCTAATAATGTAAAATACTATTCCGTGCGCTATCCTGGAAAAGGCCAGATACCATTATTTCTAATGCAGGTGTAAATAAAGTGATTTCAATGAAGTATAATAAAAAGGTTATAGCAGAAAAAATTGTTTAGATGTGTGGCAACAAGTCATTGACACCTGATAATATGTAGTCCAAAGTTTTGTTGCATTTTTACAGTTTGCATATACCAGATATCTAATGCTTTTTCTCCAAAGAATAAAAGCAAAGGGTGCACTAAATTGTGCCAATAAAGCCTTCCCAGTTAATAGTTTCTGAAGGTTGGGGATGCTTCGTACCCAGAAAGCTCTTGCTTGGATGATTCATACCTAGTGCGACACTGACAAAGAGAATGTGGTAGCCTTAGACAAGATTTTATTGATGGCTAATAGAATACTGATCTGCCACACAAAAATACACTGCGACGTCCCTTATTCGATGTCACACGAGGGATTTGATAATTTTTTGATATTTCTTTTAATATTTGTACCTATAGTGACACTTTTTATGGCGAGTTAGTGTTTGAGACTGCAAAATACTGACGAGCCATAAGAAGACATTTTGGCTCTGCATAATTTCATCCAACGTGAGAATAAAGACAAAATAATGCTTTTTAAATCGGAAGAAAAATTAACTCGGTCGTTATAGGTAGCCCTGAGCGCGTCGCTCTCTGATGTCATAATATAACACAATATACCTACTATACTGAATGCTGATATTTTAGAGGTCTGTGCGTTGGCATTGGCAGAGTATAAAAAAGTATTCGTTGCTATTCGCAGTTTCAGACAATAGTTATTTGTCCTACTAGTTTTGAAAGTAGGTACTTGTTTTTCATGAATTTGCAGTTGCAATTCATGAAAAAAGGACACTTACAACACGTGTTGTGCCCAAAATTTTTTGCATAGGATCCTTAATCACCCATAGTTGAATATCATTGACATTTGACATCACGCGATTTACTGTCACTTATAAATTGAGCTACTATTAATAGACAGGACTAACGCCACGGAAAGGCACAGTAAAGATCGTGAAAAAAATACCCCTTTCCATACGATTTTTTGACAAGAAAAAGACCGGTAATTTTATAACTATTCAAAAAAATAACTATTGTCACGTTATCCTCAAATTGTAAGGTACTTTATTCAACTCAAAGGTGCATCCCATCCCAGCGATTTGTACATCTCGGCGACGTACACCCCGGCCCCGGCACCGTTTTCCCGGCGATCATTAATATCCCGGTGACTATTGTTTTCTCAGCATCGGTTATCCCGGTAATGCACACTTTTCTAAAGGCGTCTGTCCAACCCCATTTTTCTTTTTTTTTTACCTAAGTAATGATTAGTCAAATAGGTACCGAAAGATGTTGTTATTGTGCGTTATTGACGCATTGTAATTAATTCTTAGAAATACAGGAAACCGAAATATGTAAAGCTCAAATAAGCTGTCTTGTTTACACAATTGCTCTCGGTGCAAAGAACCGATTTTTAGAAAATTGCGTTTTACCTATTTACCTACCCTAACCTCTAAATAACATAATTTCAATTGATAATAGTCCCTATTCAAATTGTATTATATCTAAAAAAAAATCAGTCTATAAAGTAGCAAATAAGAAAACTTAAATCCGATGAATTGTTTCAATATAATAAACATGAATTTGCTTAGTATGTTTACCGCGTCCTAAATGTTTTCCATCCTCCTCGATCGCGGAGATCAAATTGTCGTCGAAGGCGTTAAGTACATTGTTGCCAGGATTGCCTACCGCCGGGAAGTAAAATGGTCGTTTAACAGTTTACAGTGTGACAAAGCACTGTCATAGCAAATATCCAATTTTGTTATCTTTATTAGATTATTAGGGCCCTTAAGTTTCTTTAATTCATCTGTGAAAATAAAAAAAAAAGTAATTTGTGAACCAATTTTTATTAAAACTTGTAATACATATACGTATAAATTAACACATTAAATAAATACAGCAAAGAGATACCTAATTATGATCACCAGCCATACTATCAACGTGTTGTACTAATAATAATAACTTACATTAAATATATTTTAAATTGAGACCACAATAAAAAAGTTAACAAGTCGAATTTTAACATTGTAAAGTCGCGGAATTTAAAAATATTGTAAATTTATTGCCCTTTACAACAAAGACTTCAAAATGTATTGTCATTCTTTAGTTATGCGTTAAATTATCATTGAACATCTTTGAGCATTCTAAATTATATTTAACGGAATTTCTTAATTGCATTTACATTATAGTATAAAAATACCTAACAATGGGGTCATAAAATAATTTAATAAAAATTTTCAAGTCGAATTACCCCAATAATACACTTTATATTTTCAAAATATAAACATTACTATTTGATTGGATTCTTATCACAATAATAATATTTACAAACGAGGGCGAGTGATTTGAGAAGATCACTGAATCACTTACGACTCTCAATAAAAATCGGCAAAGTCCAGAGAGCGTATTTACTTACGAATATACAACACAATGTATTATCCTGACATCACACGTAAAATACTTTGGGAGACAACTAAGAGATATTTTTTGTTCGTATAGCACAGTCCAAATTGATGCCGAACATTTTGTCGCACATCAACAAAATCCGCACCAATTCGCCATTATGGAAAAATACACTTAGTATATCGTACATAATGATGAATTACATTATATAACAAATATTAACAGCTTTAACTTCATAAACTGAAATAATTTTAATAATAAAAATCGAGTAATACTTAGTATTAGTTATGGGTATCACTGGAGAAGCACATTCTGGTTTTACACAGAGCTTGATTACTTATAAAAGTACCTTGTGAATATTACGTTATCGTTAATGGGCACCAATGTTTGATTATGAGAAACTGAATTTTGATCTGTAGCGGGCGAGGACAATACTTGCGCTAGCAAAAATTCATCAGTCGTCTTCTTTTTTTTCAGGTTTGAGATCTACCATCGCGTGTAATTCTTCTGGACTATAACTGAAACAATATATTAACAATTATACATTAATTGTGCACTACGCTTCGTTGTAAAATTCAGTTATTTAAAAACTCTACTAACGTATACTACCACTTAGATTTATTACAAGAAGAGTTGTTTGATATCTGTATCCTTTATACTCGTGAAATTCGATTTGGTTTTTATTTTTCTCAAAACTAGGATAGATCTTATCTGTCAAACAATTTTTAAAACTATTTTTGCGTATGTAATAAAACTAACCGTGAGCTTAAAAAATATAATTGAAAAAAATCGTACAATTAGTAAATTTATCCATAATGAAACTTAAAATTAGCAAATTTTGAAAATATCAATAGACAAAATTCAATAAGTAAGCAACTTACCCGAGCAATGATTGTAGATCACAAACAAAACGATAAACATAACGTTTGCCAGCAGTCTTATGTATAATATTTTTATCGTAGTAATAGCGCAAACCTCTCGACAACTTTTCATAGTTCATCTTAGGTTTATTCTTGCGAATCCCCCAACGCCGCGCCACTTCGTCTGGATCGGTTAATTTAAACTCCCAACCGTCTCCGGTCCAAGAAATAAATCCTTGACAAGATTTGTCGGTTAATAATTCTAGTAAAAATTGCCATAGCTGTATTGGTCCCGATCCTAGAAGATAACCATTGGATAAGCGTGTGGTGCTCTCTTTTAAGTCTACTCTTACCTGTAAAACACGGACCCCCCGCGCCTCCGCTGGATGGGTAGTTGCCCATCATTCCGTTTTGGATGATGGGTTTCGTGTCTGGACCCAGAGGATTCATCGCGTCTCTGCCCGCCATGCCCGCCGAGAGAAATGCGGGATGCGTGTGCGAATGCGCGTGGGCTATAGATGCTAAGTCTGATGGATTGTGCGACCATTGTTCAGGACCTGATGAATTCGCGCCACTGGGTACCGTTTGGAATGGACTCCCGTCGTACGGCGAACCGTATGCCTCACCGTAACCATCATTGTATCGCCCACTACCTGTAAGTGAAACCTTTAAAACATTTGCAACACCCTGTATAATTTTGACGTTAAGCTTTGTATTTCGCTTAATCGTGCGTTTGCAATTCTGGTGCTTACCTCTCACGTATCCTTTAACGTAACTATGAGGATGATATTTGGTTTCTAAAAGACTATTTGCGGCATAAAACTCGGGTGAACTTTCTAAATATGACTGAGGTTGATTGCCTGGCTCTAAGGAATGATATTCTTGCTCCTCTGGAGGATAATGATTTGGGTTTGATAAATAGTGATGATGTTCATCACTGCTTATAGTTTGCAAACTATCTAAGCCTTCGTAATTTGTAGGTTCTCCAGAAGGAGGTGCGCACGAACCTTTAGTGAAACCTGCAAAAGGAAATTATTTAGAATCGATCCCTTTAAGCACACAAATTAGCTTACTATCTTTAAGTTGATGATAACTCCTTTGAAGATTTAAAAAACTCGTCGGAGGTGGTCCCGTTGGGGGAGGTGATCCATTCTCTCTAATATCTTCCGAGGGAGGGCACGCCGGACTTCTACTAAGTGGCCCATAACCTCCTGTAAGAAAAATGGGATTTATAAAATAAACAGGTTACAAATCGTTTCAACGCGAACTACATTCGTCTTGTACAGTCCCCATTTTATAAATTGTGTAATAATAAACCACATCCACAATGAATACGATGTAATCGTAAGGCATGACGTTGGCCAGAATTCAACAAAAGTGGTCCGCGTTGGCAGGGGAATCTCATGAATAGATGACCGGAAAGAGAACGAGATTCTGGATTGGTTCAATACGGCCCGCCTCTACCGTAATAACTTTATTGGAAGGCTGAACTCTCAATTCTCGTTGGTCCATCAAATTGTTAAACAAAATATCCTTGAACCTTAGCTTTATTTAAAAATACTATAATACGTTAATTTAATAAACATACAAACGTGATCGTTTTAATGAAAAGAAGCTTTGGTCAAGCATTGTTTTAAGTTTCGCGCATTTTTATGCGAATCTTGCCCCTCATTTACTCGATTTTATAAACCATTTGCGAGCGGCATAATTATTTCTGGGTATATAATTAAAAACATCAGTCTGAAACGGCTTTGTTGTTTCACCTACACGTACTTACCGAGGTTCCCACAATTCTTTGTATTTGCTTTGTTTAATTATTGCTAGATATATGAAACAGAATGATTTTTTAAGATTACGCATGCGACTGTTTGAATTTCGCGCGCGAATTTTAATGATATGAATTGGCAGTTAAAATATTCTTAGATCCACATAATTTTCAAGGGACTACAGGTTCTACTCTTGCAATGCTGGTAAGTATTTTCAGTAAGATGAAGCGATTTTATTCTAAAATTTTGCAAACTATTTTTTTGGTAAAATTAAAAGAGATCAAAGACACTTAAGTGTTAATACTACAATGATGCTTAGGTAGCTAGGGACCTATGTATACCTACTTACGAAGTGTCAAGTTTAATAATCGTATAACGATCGTTCGTGCTGTGCGAGATAATTAGTATTCTAAAGTCTACCGCATTGTCAGGATGTCCGGTATTAAACGCCGTCATAGATAACTAAGAATACATTCAAAATTTAATATCCATATCACACTTTTGGGGTTTGTGCCAGTGGAAAAGCAAAAACTCCGTTATCAATATTATACAAAACCGAAAGAATATGTTCTAGTACAATTCTATGCATATCTTGATGTGTTAAAACAAGATTGTCCCAAGGCTCCCGAAATTGTTTCATAGAGAGCTATATACGTTTACATTAGCAAGGGACAAGACCATAATTGTGCGTGAATACCTATCGGGCAAATTTCCTAGAAAAAATAGAAAATATGTCTGATAGGTATACCTATTCTCGTACTATTAGTCGGTTGTGCGCGGGTCCACCATCCTGTTGAAACCGCAGTTTCCCAACTTTTGTTTTTTTGTGTGCCGTACATCGTTAATAAAAAGTGCTATACTCAATACATTATGTACTTTCTATAGGGGGTCATATAACAAAATAAACCGATACAACGAAATATCGAAGGATCCTCAGTATTACAATCACTTTTAACGACAATTTATTTTAATCTTACAAAATACATTTTATAGTTAACAAAAATGCATCAAATTCATGTCTTGGGCTTTGAGATAATGCTCTTGGTTTTTTTCCCAACGATCTTGGTGCATAAATAACGATTTTGACATGTTTTGATCAAAATCCATGTGGTCCATAAAAATAGATCAAATTCATGTTTAGATCATTGAGATAATGCTCTTGATCTTTTTCCCAACGATCTTGGTGCATAAATAACGATTTTGACATGTTTTGATCAAAATCCACGTTTTCGCCAAAAATTCATCAAATTCATGTCTTGGGCATTGAGATAATGCGCTTAGTCTTTTTCCCAACGCTCTTGGTGCATAAATAACGATTTTGACATGTTTTGATCAAAATCCACGTGGTCGCCAAAAATGCATCAAATTCATGTCTTGGGCATTGAGATAATGCGCGTAGTCTTTTTCCCAACGATCTTGGTGCATAATTAACGATTTTGACATATTTTGATCAAAATCCATGTGGCCTCAGAAAAATAATTTAACATTTTTGAATCACACACATGCGGTTATCAAACGTGCACGTTATCAACTCTTTCAGCATCAAGATAATGCGTTTGAAAGCTTTTACAACTCTAAATTCATGTGTAAAGAATAATTTGGGTACATTTTGCTCTAAAACTTTTGACCGAGACCACAGAGAAGAGTTATATTGAATTGTTACACATCTAAGAGTCATAGGGAATAATCTAGCGAAAGTCCGAACTCGATACATGACCTAGGGAATGAAATATGTTAATTTTTATTATATTGAGTTCGCAGTTTTTCCTGTTCCCGATTCACTCGAAGTCGTATAACTTTTGTTCCTGTTGAACCAGCTTCCTGAAAATCAATAGCGTCCGTTCTTAATGTCCAACGTACCCGTATACCAAATTTCAACACAATCGGCCACTTTTAAAAAGAGTTAGAGCGCACACGGACGGACGGACGGACGGACGACAATACAAAACTATAAAGGATCTGAGGATCCTTAATAAACTTGATGATGATTGAAACAACACGTTTTGTATTGAAAATCTTAACGCTGTCTTGTACAGCTCAAAAAGTGGCAATGAGAAAGTATTTTTTTTTATTGTTTCTGTTCAAATACCATCAGAAAAAATAAGAACGAAATCGGTAAATTTTGGTTTTTCTGGCATATCTTCGGAAGTAATCGAAATTTTCTGGTTTTCTTCAGGTGCAGCATGACAATTACTCTTTAATTTCGCAACTATTCCCTAATTTGACCATCTTCGTATCTTCTTTGATTCTTAGGTCCCTATACACAACCTTGCACATTTTCGAAGGAAAAGAAATTGGAATCATATAAATCTGCAATGCAGTGGTGAAAGCGAATGTAATGTTATAGAATGGTTCACCTTTGCAGATTTCAATTGAGAACCGATGAGGCCATGACACCAGCCATCAAGCAGTTGCTGAAGCTTGAATGTTAAAAAAGGAAAAACAAAATAAAACAAAAAATATCTAAACAGTATTCATTTTTAAACTTAGAACGTATCATCAGACAGATTTTATATTGGTATATTCTGGTCATACCTAATCTAAGTACCTATTCTAAGTAGGTAATTCTTTTTCGTTTTACATACAAACGTCGCTTACATAAGCTTTTGATTAAAATTAAAACAAAAAGCTGTTATCTGCTAAAAGGGAGATTGTGCACTTGAATCAAGGACATAGTCCCTATGATGAGTTATTACAATAAAATCAGTGAAATGTCGACCGAAACTATGGTTTTCCAGATACCTACCCAAAAGATGAAAATACTTGCATGAACAGCAAGTTGATTAAAACCATAGCGGTAGGCCAACAAAATAACGGAAGTGCAGTACTAAAAACAGAGATCACCAAGCTATCATAATGTATTTAAACCTGGACTAAAGATATATGCCGCTCTTCAATATTAATAGATAGCAAAAAGGAGCATTAAGTACACATGTAGGTATTTGAGATTATTTGTTTTGGAATGTTAATACCTCATTTTAACTTTTAATGTTAATTTTTCTAAAAAAAAGTTGGACAAAACTTTTTATAGGTTATGTACCTATTCAAGAAAGAAATATTTCTGTCTCCGCCTCCCGCCACCGAGCAAAATGTCTAGTTCCGCCCTTGGTTAGATAGGTACCATATTTTAAATTTGAGGGAAGCATATTTTACATACAAATTTACAAGAAAATGGCAAGGCATGAACAAGAAATTCATGAAACATTAATGTACAAGCCAGTGGCGTAGCGAGGGAGGGGGGTTGTGAAGGACGGAGCACCCGGCCACTGTTTAATAATAATAATACTCTTTATTATTACGAGTACCTCAATTGCAAGTTTTGGTGATAAAGAAATTAGATTTTATGTACTGAAAGGAAGGTAGCACCTTACTCCCAAATCCGTCCACGGTGCTAACTATTGCCCCCACCCCACTCCTCTCACAAATGTTTACAGCTTCAGTTACAGTCTCGAAGGCCGATATAAATAAACTTGTAATTGTTAATTTGTCATAGTTACAGTAGAAACACTATCAAATTTTTGAACAAACGTCACCAAAGTTAGCATACAGACGCACGGACTGACATTTGACCTTTTAACCTCAAATTCAAGAGGGTTCTTACTTGGTTCTATATAGCAACTTTTAAGATCCTACCCTCTGTTCTAAAGTTATTTAAATTCTAAATAATAAATGATTTTTAGGACATTTGTCAAAATTAAAAATTGTTTGCGTTTCATCCGTCCGTCTGTCCCGCCGTCCGGACCCATTTCTGCGGTTTTGAACTACTTATAGGGAAATTGCCTTAGAGCTCATGTGCCAAACAGCCATCAACAGATTTTAGGTACCCTTGCCTCTAGTCGTACCAAGTGAAACTTGGAGGAGGAAGGCGCCTTTTCGAGATCAATGGGTGAGGACAGCAGGTGTTACCAGGGGCGGTTTTTAGGGGGGGGGGGCGACAGGGGCGATCGCCTACTGCTCAATTATTGTTTTTTTATTTCATTAGGTTTACATAATAATCGAATTAAATAGACCTAACCACTTGACGGAAAAGTAAAATTGAATAAAATACAAAATAATGCCGGCAGGGGCGGAATCGTGTATTGTCCAGACTGCGACTCACGACTGCACTCAGCACTGATTACCACCGCATAATAATGAATATGGTGCGGATTTATGTCATTTTGCTTATACGTTAATTTTGAATGCAGAATGTAATGGTTATTAGTTTTGGATCTATACGTTTCATGAAAAATGAAAGCGTTTGAGCCTATTTTTATTTTGCCTTTTTTGCTTTTTTTGAACAATGCTTTTTGTTCCTTTTTTTTAAAGTTCACGCTTAAATTGGATTGGGATAATATTTGGCAAGTTAAGAATGTGGTACAGAATGTTGGGTATTCGGAAATTAATGCGGCAATAGATAGTTTAACAAAAAACAGCTGAAATTGGGTCAAAGCTACTTTAAAAAA